TTTCATATCAGAGGCTGACTCTCTTTCATGCAAATAGCCTATTTCATGTCCTTTAGACGTTAATAACTCATGACACATTTGAAATGGTTCAAAAACCAACCACACCAAGCATAACGGCCTCAATTGGATTGCCCATTCCAGCGAAAGACAATAAACATAAGCATCCCGTCTTGCTAATTTAATTGGTAAATACCCAGATTCTGCGTTTTCTTGTTGTTTTAGAGTAATTTACGCCTTATTATCCACAAGGCCTATTTTCAGTTTCCTTCCGTTAATACCCGCGTGGTGAAAAGACGGTGATGTACAAAAGATTTTCGCAAACAATACAAAATGCTGGGGGTTTTATGTTTTTGGCGAAAAACTCGCCAAACATTGTCGAAATTCGTTTTTATTGAGAAAATGTACGTAAAGCTTTGGACGTATTTAAAATCTTGTCAATGAGTTAATGGCTTCATAAAGATTCATCAAATTAAAAGAATTTCAAATACAAAATGGCTGGGTTTTGATATTTCGCGAAAACTCGCCAAACATTTTCGAAATGTTAGTTTTATTTGAAAATTACGAAAAGGCTTTGACTTATTTAAAATACTTGCAATTGGTAGGCATCAAAAAGCATCAATAAAGAATTTCGCAAAAATACAAAAATGCTGGGGTTTTTGTAATAAATTTTGCGAAAACTCGCCGGAAACATTGTCGAAAATTTTATGTTTTTATTTGAGAAAATGTACGGAAAGGCTTACTGTATTTAAAATGCTGTCAATTGAGTAGCATCAAAAGATTCGACTCAAATTAAAAATTTTCGCAAAATACAAAATGGCTGGGGGTTTTTTATTTGCGAAAACTCGCCAAACATTGTCAATTTATTTTATTTGAGAAAATAAACGGAAAGCTTTGGACATGTATTTAAATCTTCAATTGATTATGACATTCCAAAAGATTCGATCAAAATTAGAAGAATTTCGCAAATAGCAAATGCTGTTGTTTGTATTTTGCGGAAAAACTCGCCAACATTGTCAAATGTTAGTTTTTATTGAGGAAAATGTACGGAAACAGGCTTTGGACTGTATTTTAAAATCTTGTCAATGAGTAGGCATCAAAAATTCAATCCAATATAAAGCAATTTTCGCAAAATACAAAAGCTGGGGTTTGTGATTTTGCAAAAACTCGCCCAACATAAAATTCAATCACATGAATGTCACCAAGATGGCACAAATAGCACCCAGGAAGTAGAACAAAAGAAAAATGTCATTATGAAATGAAAGAGAAGCTTCACACGTGATACACAAATAATGGCTCCTGCTAATTTCTTTTAGAATTGAGTTCATTGTCTGCCCCAAAGAAAATCATGCACCTTTTGTTAATAGTTCCTGTACACTATCAAAAAAACCCAAAGCCCTTTCTAAGCCTTTACCTACATTTATTCAAATAACAACTAGCATTTCGACAGATTTGGATGCGAGTTATCGCAAAATACATAAGCCCATAGCCATTTGTATTGTCGAAAATTCTTTAATTGGATCGAATCTTTTGATGCCTACCAAAAAAACAAAATTTTTAAATCAATCCAAAGCCCTTTCCGTACCATTTTCTCAAATAAAAAAACTGACATTTCGACCAATGTTTGGCAGTTTTCGCAACAACTAAAAAACCCCCACCATCTTGTATTTTGCGAAAAATCGTTTGACATCACCCCTCCTTTCCAGCCACGCGGGTTTCACCGGAAGGAAACCATGAAAATAGCCTTTGATAAAGGCGAAATTACGCCTAAAACAACACAGAACACCAGAAATGCATGGTATTTACCAATTACAATTAGCAATCACCGGGATGCTTAATGTTATTCGTCTTCCTGAATGGCAATTCACCAATTAGGCCGTTCATGCCTTGTGTGGTTGCTTTTGAACCATTTTCCAAAATGTGTCATGTAGTTATCTAAACGTTAAATGGGACATGAACTAGCTTATTTGCATGAAAAAGCGCCCTGAATATGAATTTGCTTGTTCGTCGTTGACTGCAAATACAAGTTTAATAATCATTTGCGGCATTTTAAAAATACCACCTCGAAACTTTATTCTGGCAAATTTTTCGCAATTTTCGCATTATTGCAATAATTTCGCAAAATACATATAAGCCTTTTCCCCATAACAGTTTGTATTCTAAACACATTGAAAAGTTTGTATTAGCAGGTGCCCCTTAGGTTTCTATGTATTGTAGTGGTTCTATTGTAATTTAGGTTATAAGTAGTCTTCCTCTGATTTTGTGTAAAGTTATTACTGATTAAGCGAAAGCGAAACGTCTCACGAATGGTTCTTGGATATCTATATACTATCTTTAAACATTTTACATTATGAGCTTTTGAATACATATATATATATATATATATAGAAATTTGTCTTTTGATACTTCCAAAGCACAGCGCTCAATACGTTAGCACGTAGAGCGTGATATATCATAGATTGAAGAAAGTAAAACTACATGGTTTATCTCTACAAGCCTGTTTCGTGAGTAACTCACTCTTCAGGAGATGTATATATGTATATATATGTAGAATTGTTGCCAATTGTGTAACAATGGATCGGCATTTTGATGAGTTCAACAATGGAAACATAGAAGCCGAATTCAAAGGCGGGAGACAATCGAAACAATGCAGGCATAGAATGCCAAAATCAAAGGATTTTCCCAATTTTCCCAAACGAACAATCGAGAATCGTGAGTTTCCCGATTAAGTGGGCAATTGAGGTTCGCTAATCGACACTTAGGTCTATAATCGTGCTATTAAATTGGGTTCGGCTGCTAGCCTGAGATCCCCTTTGTGGTCATCCTCTTAGATTCGACCAATCACCTTTAGTTTTGCTCGTGACGTTGTGCAGTTAAAATTGGTTCTGCACGTGCATGTTGAACGGTAGCCAGAATAGATCAGAAACTTCTCGTAATCGAGAATGGTGCTTTCATCCTGTCAAGCGTCAACGTAATTAGACGTATAATTTGCAATTTGCTATGTAGGATACAAAAGAAAGTGCGGGAATATGCGATTTCACTAGTTTCTGCAAGAATTAACTTTCATGCATGAGTCGTGGAAAATATATTGTAAGTGTTTGAAATCTGTTTAGTTTTTCGCAAGTTTTGCAAAGTCGGTGAAACTTATTCGAAGATTTCCAGGCTTTGCGAAATTGTCACAAAATGCTTGCAGGGACTTTTCAATTTTCTCTGGGGTTGATACAAAATTCATTCGAAATTTTTCAGACCCCATATTTTTTCTAAAGAAAGGGTCAATATGTTGGATAAGATAGTTTGGTGCAGGAATAACGTAAAAAAAATAGAAATTTGGATCGTGTGAGGTCAGACCAACAGTTACGAGAATAATCAATTAATAATCTTGGGGTCTGTGACTACATTTCTTCATCAAATAGTTGAATTGCCGAGTTGAAGAAATCTTTGCACTCGCAACTAGGAAGTTAACGAAATTAAAAGTCTGGCTGCTCACAATTACGTACGAAAGATTCCCCTTCGTAATCAAGTAATTGCACTGCCGCGAGATAATTATGCTGGAACCGCTTTGTCAGCGCGGGTCGTCAGGGATCGTTAGGCACGCATCGATTTCTCCTTCTTGCAAAGGTTGATAGTGGAATTCAAAGATCTGGGTTTGGTAAATTTACTGCGTCATAGCATTCCCCGCTGTTTATCAAGAAAGTGTAAATCTGCGAAACGCATTTTGATAAAGCAACCGAATAAGAATAATTATTCGTGTTATGTTATCAAGCGAAAAATATCCTTTGTCAAATAAAAAAACCAATTCCCAGTTAGGTTCCACTCACAGAGCCCCAATAAATGCTGGAATCTTCGTTGTCGTCATCATTGTCATCGTCGTCATCATAATCATCATCATCAATCATCATCATCATCATTGTCATCGTCGTCATCATAATCATCATCATCAATCATCATCATTGTCATCGTCGTCATCATAATCATCATCATCAATCATCATCATCATCATCATCAATCATCATCATCAATCATCATCATTGTCATCGTCGTCATCATAATCATCATAATCAATCATCATCATCATCAATCATCAATCATCACCATCATCATCATCATTGTCATCATAATCATCATCATCAATCATCATCATCATCATTGTCATCATTATCATCATCATCATCAATCATCATCATAATCATCATCATCAATCATCATCATTGTCATCGTCGTCATCATAATCATCATCATCAATCATCATCATTGTCATCGTCGTCATCATAATCATCATCATCAATCATCATCATCATCAATCATCATCATTAATCATCATCATTGTCATCGTCGTCATCATAATCATCATAATCAATCATCATCATCATCAATCATCAATCATCACCATCATCATCATCATTGTCATCATAATCATCATCATCAATCATCATCATCATCATTGTCATCATCAACATCAATCATCATCATCATCATCGTCATCATCATCATCATCATCATCATCATCATCAATCATCATCATCAATCATTATCATCATCATCGTCATCATCATAATCATCATCATCATCATCATAATCATCATCATCAATCATCATCATCACCATCATCATCATAGTCATCATCATCATCATAATAATCATCATCAATCATCATCATCATCATCATTGTCATCGTCATCATCATAATAATCATCATCAATCATCATCATCAATCATCATCATCAATCATCATCATCACCATCATCATCATAGTCATCATCATCATCATAATCATCATCATCAATCATAATCATCATCATCAATCATCATCATCACCATCATCATCATAGTCATCATCATCATCATAATAATCATCATCAATCATCATCATCATCATCATTGTCATCGTCATCATCATAATAATCATCATCAATCATCATCATCAATCATCATCATCAATCATCATCATCACCATCATCATCATAGTCATCATCATCATCATAATCATCATCATCAATCATAATCATCATCATCAATCATCATCATCACCATCATCATCATAGTCATCATCATCATCATAATAATCATCATCAATCATCATCATCATCATCATAGTCATCATCATCATCATAATCATCATCATCAATCATCATCATCATTATCATCGTCATCATCATAATAATCATCATCAATCATCATCATCAATCATCATCATCATCATCATCATCATCATAATCATCATCATCATCATCATAATCATCATCATCAATCATCATCATCACCATCATCATCATAGTCATCATCATCAATCATCATCACCAATCATCATCATCATCATCATCATCATCACCATCATCATCATCATCATATCATTATCATCATCATCATCAATCATCATCATCATCATCGTCATCATCATCATCAGTTTTGTCCACTTCGCCAATTCATAATATCGAAGTACCATTCCTCCACATTCTTCGTACATTGCAAAAGCCGTGCTATTTTTATTCCTTGAATGGAAATCACGCACGGACTGGACAGTTCAGTTCATCTTGTTCAGTTACTATTCGAGGAGATCTACGTAGCCTATGATCCAAAATAATGAAAAATCGAGGCTAATGAAATATACGAAGGATCTGTGCTGGCTGGTACTGCGTTATGTTAGGAGGGAATTTAAGTTTGGAAGGAATAGGCACTTTTAGCTGCTCGAAGAAATTCTCAATTCTGAAGTCAATCATGCGGACGAATGTAAGAATCTTTTCATTTGATCATGAATCTAGCTTCTTTTTCGAATAAATTCAATATATTATTACTTCGATAGATTATTTCTACATCCATATAAATCATGAAAGTTATTTTATTTTGGGTTTGCAAACTCATCGGTTCACCCGAGTTACAGAAGTGCAGCGGCCTGGGAGTTGAAAATTTTACTAAGTTGTTTTCCTGCAAATAGCGATTCGATCGTACCAGGTTCTTAACCCCTGAAAATCTTTCATGTGATTGAATAAAAAATATGCCAAAAATGAGTGACTTTAATTCGAAATCTTTACTGCGAATATTGAAGTTAACCTTGATCAAAGACCGAAATTAACTTTGGAGGGGGGGGGGGGGGGTGATGGCTGATAAATTAGTCTAACAGCAGCCGTATTTAACAAAATAAAAGTATTTTACTTAGGTTTCCAGAAAATGAAAATCCTGTCGATATATTTATCGCTACCATTATACGATATGTTGGCCCGCAACACACTGGGTCCTCCAAGACGGAGGAAGGGCCTCAAACGCGTTGGATAATACGATATTCTTGCAAATCTTATTATGAACGGTTTGTAAAGGAGTCATAATCTGTTTTCCAATTAGGTTGTCGAAATGGAGCCAAAACCTACTCAATTAATGTATCGGTGCTCATCCGAAAAGTCATAAAAGTATGCCCTTTCAGACTGTCGTGTTGATCAAGTGATGTGAACATTGTGTTTGTGACGTCACGATTATGCGGAAGGCTCGGGCGAACTCGTCCGTGCTCGGAAAATGCTCGGTGGCTAACTTTGACGCTCAATAACTCGAAAACTGTGTTGAATATTTAAAAAATAATAATGTATCAGGTATTTATGCTCGATATGCCTTCATTTGAGGTCAAGTTATTTTTGCGTGTCAGTTCACCTTTAAATCTAATATAATATTTACAATATACAAATACAAAATACAAATAAATATAGAGGTAAGAAAATTAATTTTCAGCAATCTTATTAAATGCTAGGAAAGGGAGCAACACAATCAGCCCTTTGAACAGTGGCTGCTCGTAACTTTCACAGTTGGGAGGGCAGAACATCAATATTGCGATAATCGATAGAAAGGTCGAGTTTGCAAATTTTTCACTGTATTCATGGTTCGATGTTGATCGTCATGGAGCGCAGAAGAAAAAGCATATATAGATGTGGTTGATGTTTAGCGATGATGTCATTTTATGGGCAAAATTTTTCTTGCCCTGAATTCCTCCAAATAAGCCAATCACAGGCCGCGTTTCGCAATGCCCGAGGTCGAAAATTAGCTTGTGCGCATGTCGGCTAAGGGCAAAAAAAACTTTGCCCGTAAAATGACATCATCGCTCAAGGCACTAGCGGGCCAGAAGCGAGGCTAAGGACGAGACGGGATAGCAAGGAGCTTTTTCTAGAAGAGATACAAACTTATATAATTAACCACAGTAAGGCTATCTTCAAAATTAAATATGAATATCATAGATTTCCTTTGAATCTTTTTGAGGGGGCATTGCCCCAGATGCCCATTAGCAAGAGCCGCCACTGCCTTTGAATATCTGAAAAACGCTATATACCTTGTAAGACTGAGGTCTGTTTTGTAAAAAGAAAAGGTGTCAACAGACACTATTTTTCTACTTATCCATATCAACATACCAATGAACAGTGCTATTTAGCAGGCAACGAGCTACAGGGTGCAAAGCCCTGAAACCAAAGTCTTGTGTGCAGAAAAAGGATGTCTCTTTCTCAGTATTTTTAGACCTGGTTATATGCCTGAATACAAAGGGCCACTCCAGCCCAAAAATTTTTTCTGACATTTTTGCATAAATTGGTAATTAGTCGAGAAAAAGAAAACATCGTGAAATTTTTTTTTTTGAAAAGCTTAACTCGTTTTCCAGATATAGACGCTCAAAGTTGAGAATCGCCGTAAAAATACGACAAAATTTTTTTCGGAAAAAGTACCTTGTGACGTATGAAGGGACCATTGTTTCAACAACTGCGAATTCGAAGTTTAATTTCCACTGGCAGAATTTCTTTTGCGAATTCGCTGCGAATAATGCAAAAGAAAATGGCGTCTGTTCGAAGATTATTGTCATTAAAAAAAGCGAGCAAAAAGCTAAGAAAGGTGTACTTGGTTCGAAAAATTTATTCAGAACGTCTACAGAAGGGGGAGCTTCATCTTTTGGTAAGTGACTTACGCTTACATTGTCAGGAATAAATACTTTCGAATGTCGCCAACTACATATGAGGAGCTTTTATCGTTTATTGCACCAAAGACGCCTGTTTCTAGAAGCGTCCCATTCCATTGTTTATGTTATAGGTGCGGGATTTTCCCAGCATTGTTTAGGCTTAGTCATAGGTTACTCATTCTTCAACCATGTTGTTGTTTGAACCATTGCGTAGTTTTCTGTCGATTTGCATATTTTTTCGTGTGTATCGTGTAAATCAGGCTTAAAAGCAGGAATGGTTTCTACTTTTTCGCTGCGAATTTTCCAATCTCCACTTCTGCGCATATTTTTCGCGCATTCGCGGCGAAAAATTCGCTTCGCACGAAAAAATTCGTCTCGTGTAAATCAGGCTTAAGGGGAGGCAAAACAAGTGCACAGACCTCTTTGAGAAGCCGTAGTGACCTACGTAGTGAATCGTAAACTCCCTATTACACCGGCCACATGTGCACTGAACAGAGCCAAAATAACAATGATTTATTAGCAAACTCAAAACTTTCTTTACCATATCTCAACCTATTTAAGACATATTTGACTGATCTTGCATAATTGGAAGTATTTGTGGTGTTCTTTTATAATATGTGGCTAAAATTTTAAGAATAGCTTTTTGTGACGTCACACTTGAACTCTATAGAGTTTTTAAGTGTGCCGCAATTATAAATTTGTTTTTAAATTATCATGTTAAATACATCAATATTAAAAAAATTAAGAGCATGCATACATCTTGACTTCAAGACCAAGCACGACTAGATCCATATCGGAAAACATGTGTTGCATGTTTAGTGAAAATTATGCAAAGTTTTATGCTTTTATCACCAAAATAAAAAAATTGGGGCAATAGCAGCTTTACTACCTCTTCATAACAACAAATGGTTGAAAAAAACCACACAAAAATAGGAACTGTGACATCTAATAAAATTACTCATTCACCTATCTTGTCATATATTGGGCTTTTACACATTTCGTCATTAACAAAATTTCTGATGTAATCTACTCCACATTATAGTACTGCATTTATTCTTGATTTCGTTATTAATCTCAATATTGTTCGTTTAGTCTTAATATTTCCTTTTCCTTAATACTCGCTATTTATTCCCTTTCCTTTTCTTTAAATATTTTGCTTCTCTTTACTCTGAGCCCACTTGTTTGTTATTCTGAGCCCTTTCTTTCTTTATCCCTTCATTTTCAATAAATTTCACTTGTTATCTGTCGACATAACGAGCTCTCGGTTACACAGAAAGTTGCTGATTTCTAGAAACTAGAGATGTAGTTGATAGCAAGTATATACATACACAAAAACTCAGACAAGGCTGTTAATAAGTTTCACATGATATAAAATCCTACAGAAAAAGAGAAGCTTCAAAACTAATTCAATATTGAAAAAATGCAATGGCGAAACGTCACAAATGCCTGGAAACAGCCAAAAACTCTTTCCTTTTAAGTTATTGCATATCATTCAAACAAATGACAAAGCATCTTTCTGTGACAGACATCTTTTTGAAATCTGACAAATTCATCGATTTAAAAAAAGAAGATACTGTCATGAAATTATGAGTTAGGGGATTATGAATGAATTTGCTTTAGCATAATCAAAATCTAAATTTTACATATTTTTGTTCTCATGGACAATAATCTTGTTTTTGCAACATATAGTATGGACTACCAAAAACCTGTTAAGAAAAAATAGCCATAACAAAATGATTTAAAACTGTTCCGATCAACTTGGTGCTACCCCAAGCTTCTCTAAAACTCGTAAACCTTTCTCTTGGTATTCTTGTCTTGTCATCCAAAAAGAATCTTTGTCCTTCATGATGTCTGCTAGCACGGCACCACCCAAAAATACCATGTGTTTTCTTCTGGGAGGGTCTTCTATTCTTATTTTAAATTTCTGTTGAAAAGTACAAAGCAACGTTTTATAGAAGCATACATCTTGCAGGATTATGTAGGTAACTGCAAGGTGTCAACGTACAATTCTTTAAAAAGTAGAAAATGAAGCAATATGAGAAAATAGCAACATTTCTATATGAAATGTTGACTATGCCTAAATAAATTTTGCGTACTCTGGCCTTTCGAATAATTGTTAACTTTTGATTGAAACACTTTATTTGGAAACTTTTCTTTTCTCGTTCATGCTGCGAATGCATAACTAAATTAGCATTTTCTAGTTGAATCCTGAACTTTAGTCTCAGCCCTCCAGGCTATTCCTCGGATCTGGCATGATCAAAACTGCAATTTGTATTCAAAAGATGGTAAAGTCCTTTTATTAAGTAAATTCTTTTCTTTTGTATATCTTTACAAATGAAACAGATAATTAAGCCTCCCTAGGACAAAACATCAAAAAATAGTTGCTTTGACGTTTCGAGCATGTACTTGTCATCAAGTGGCTAGAATAGAAACCATTTTCTTTTCATGCTCGAAACGTCGTGTTTTTAACAATCAAACTATTATATTTTCATTCTGGTACTAAATTTATTTGCTAACAGTATTATCGTTATTTTTTGCTGAACCTGGTAAAATCTGCCTTTCCTGCACTATTATTAATACCGCAGGAATATTTACATTGACTCTGTAGCCTGACGGGTCCTTACTTGCCCTAAATAGTATCAATCTTCACGCACTAATTTACCTTGTACCATCTTTTGGATAAACTTCGCAGTTAACTAACATACCAAAACTCTTGGACTTTGACATAGATGAAAATATTGTGCAATAGAAGAGTTTTCTTCTTTACAAGCCTCTAATAAAGATCTCTCACTACTAAATATGAATATCCGTAGCCTTCTCCTCCGTCATGATGGACTTCTTTGTCTCTTTGGGAGATTTTCATATAATCTTGACAAATTATGCCACACATATACTTAAAAGCGATTTCATTAACATGATGTTCACAAAACACCTTCAGCCGTCTGTTTTTCATCCAACTCGCATCACAGCCACAACTACTACACTTATTGACAACATATTAAAAATATTGTCTTTGGATCTAATATCAAAAGTGGAAATGTTCTATCTATCATAACTGACCATCTACCTCAATTTTGTATCATATTTCATTTCACATGTGACTACAAAAGATTTTCTCATTTTGCCTATGACTATAGCCATTTTGACTTTAATAGGTTTCTTGCTGGTTATGCAAAAAATGGACATTGCTTTCTTCGCTAAAAAAATTATTGCAGTGGATTAAAAATTTGACAATTGCTTATTTAATCTCCATATCATTAATTAACCTTGCCCCGAGAAAATACGAATAAAAAGCAATGTCCTTTTTTTGCATTAGAAGGCAAACCCTGAATTAGTTTCCGCATTTATATTGTCGAGAATCAGAGACAGGATCTTTCAGAAGTTTAAATCGACAAATTCTGACGTAGGCTTTCTGGAGTAGACTTAAAGTGCATATGCAGCGGAATCTACCATTACAATATTTTAAAGAAATCTATATAATCTTTCATTTTTGTTTTGATACAAAAAAGAATTCCGATAAGTTATTTGTACATAATCAGGGTTTCTTCTTCGTTTTTCCTCACACCACTGATGAAGTTTCAGAGGTCATTAAATCTCTAAAGAATGGCAAATCTAGGGGTCCAATAAGCAACTCAATAAAAATTTTAGACCCCAGATTTCTTTTCACTTATCCATGTTGATAAATGAATCCTTTGAAACTGTTGTTTTCCTATACAAGCTTAAAATAAGGAAGGTTATCCCTGTATTTAAGAAACGTATCGCTACCGAAGAATAAAAAAACAGTCCAATTTTCTTTCTGTCAATTTTAATTAAAATATTGAAAATTAATGTATAAGCGCTTCAGTTTTCATGAGGCATGTGAATCGTTGTTTAACTTGTAATTTGGACTTCGCAGTGGTCAATCTACTGACCACGCACTAATTAGTCTAACTGAGAATATAACGTTGTCATTAGATCTGAACGTATTATATTTATTGATCTCCAAAAATCTTTTGATACTGTAAACCATGACATTCTTTTAAGCTGGAGCACTATGGATTCAGAGGTAATCCTTTGGATTGGTTTCAATATAATTTCAATGATTGTAAACAATTTGTTTCCATAGAGGGACATTCATCTTCCATAAGTAACATTACATGTAGTGTTGGTCAGGGATCAGTGTTTGATCCCATGCTATCTCAAATTTATATAAATGACTTACAAAATGACCAATTATGTTTAGCTCTTAGGTGTTTTTGATGACAAACACCATTCCTTGAAATATCACACGTGTAAACGTTGCAAAAAACTCTCTAGAACAACTGGACTTCTCTTTACACTGAGGCACTGGTTTCCTTTAAGAACTCATGTCTGTTTGTGTTACTCTCTTTTTTCATCTTTTCTCAATTCTGGAATTATTGTCTGGGGTCTTACATTTGACACCTATCTTACTACACTATTTCTTCGCCGAAAGAATATCATTAGATAAATAATTATCACCTTCGATAAATTTCAAAATTTATAGCTCCATCTGCAACATTGCTTAATTCATCGAAGAAAGTTAAATTTGAAGATATATATACTACATTCGACTGTCCTAGTATTTGTTTATAAAGCTATAAATTATAACTTGCCTGTCTTTTTCATGATTTTTTTCACTCCGGATTATTGTGTTCATAGGTTTGCACTCGTCAGGAAGCTAGAGATGCTATTTTCATTTCCTTGAAACGGACGACCCTTCATGGTCGCAAAACAGTACGATACTTTGGCTCTTTTATGGAATACCCTTCCACTTTTCATACGGGTTGCTGGTTCCACTACTGAACCTTATTACATATTTAATTGAGAAAGAATTATGTAATTACTGAAAGTAGAGAGAATTATGTAGATAAATAGACTTACTGAAAGTCGGCTTGTATCACCCTTTAGAACTCTTTCCAAATACAGCTGTTTAATTTCCCTTTCCAACCGACTAGGCAATCCTGGATACATAGTTGTTCCACCTGATAGGACAATGTGCTTATAGAAATCTGGACGTGTGTCGACATCAGCAGCGTTTATTGTATTGAAAAGGAGCTCAGCTACACCAACACCTTCAACGTTTATCAAATGAGGCTGAAACAGTGCTTCGGGTGCTTCGAACCTCTCACCACTTAGTTTAACAACTCTGCCATCTGGAAGCTGAAGGAAGAACAAATTCCAAAAAGCATTGGAAATGAGATATTGAGATGAGATTTGCTTCTAAACGATAATCCTTCGCTTAGTTCCCAAGATTACAGACGTACTAAATCTGGTTAAAATTGCATCTTTATACAGAAAAATACTGATCAACGAATATTAATCTCGCTTTGAAGCTAATTTAAAGCGGTTTCAAAGACCGACACTGTTATTCAAACAACAGATAAAATCCAGTCTTTGTAAATAAGATTGAAAATAAAGGCTGTTATAGATATTAACAGCAAGGTAACTAAAGAGAGTGATGATGTTCAAAGCAATCGCACTGAAGAACTTGACACTTGCAGCTGTTATTTTCTGGGTGAAAAGGCTTTCCATAACCAATTGAACGTCATCGTGACACTTTTAAACCGCGCTCTGACGCTCATTGCACAGAAGTTTTGTTTATGAATCGACGCAAAGCCTTTCCAACTGTCACAATGGCAACTTACTAAAAATTGTCTCATTACGACATTAATAACTTGGAGTTTGCTTGGCTAGAATCCTTTGATATTGTAGGATCACCATCATAGCAGATTAAGCATTGATGCCCCCAGAAACCAATACTGGACACACTCCTATTTGTTATTACGATTAACGATCTTCATCGTGAAATTGATAGGGGCAAAATCCTAATGTATGCCGATGAGAGGGAAATTGTTGTAAGTTGTACGTTGCTGCTTGTAGCTTTCAGCTTGGGAAGGTTTTAATGAACGACTATCTGTTTTCAGGAAATTCTTCCCTAGGGATCCACGCTTGTCCAACTGGGACGACAAAATGCCGTTTGATATTTTGGAGGGCATTTCCCAAAAAAGAGCAGTTATACCATCAATATTCTTTGCATATGTTTGATACCACCAATATTATTCGCATAGGTTTGATACCATCAATATTCTTTGCATGATTTTGATACCATCAATATTCTTTCCATAGGTTGGACACCATCAAAATTCTTTGCATAGGTTTGATACCATCAATATTCTTTGCATCCGTTTGGGAAAATCTTAGTCACTCTGTGCAGACATGGAAGCATTGACATTGAAGTCTTTCATAAAAGGGCAAAAACAGGAGACTTATGGGAAGAAATTATATGAAATTCATCACGTTTTGCTGCTCAAATATATATTTCGAGTGGCTGCTCAAATATATATTATTTTGGATATCCTAGTGATGGCAATCCAACAAAGACGTCAGCTCCTTTGACCAAATGGGAATCCTAAATGAAGAATTTCAACAGCGTTTGACTAGAAAAATTCCTATAGAATAATGATAGGGGATTAAAGACCTTGCCAAACCGACAGCTTCAAGCAACTACGTGTAGCTTTGCACAACTTGATTCACTTGTTTTTCGCGATCATATGATAAATAACATAGGAAAATGACAGCGTGTTCCTGTCTTAAAAAGGGGAAAACTGAATACTTCGTGTTTGGAACAAGTCAAAAGTTTAACGGCATGTGCACAGTTTTATATGATAAGTCCGGTCCTTTAATATTGCTAACCTGTATATATTGAGCTTGGCTGGTAACGCCAAAAAGGTGACCAATGATAATAACAACAAATCCCTGAATATTTTGCAATAAAACTTAGCGTTCGTCTCCCAAGAACAAACGAGGAATGAACTATTGCAGAGAGTAATTCTAAATACTTTCTCATGAAGATCTTTGTGGACCCATCCTTGATTCATTAATCAATTCAGTCAATGAACAAAACAATGTACAACAATTTCAGAGAAACCTGCAAAGCTGTTAAATAAGTACATGATAAGCTTTCTTCAAAGTATAAAGACCGTGCTACGAAAAAAAATAAAAAAGCACAGCAGACGTCAAAACATTTATTAATTTCATCGCTTTTATGACAACGACTTAACTTATCCGTTGCTAGCGAGTTCCAAAACATCTCAAATCACTTCCCTTCAAATAAATTTTTCTAGGAAGTGTTCTCTTAAACAGCTACTTTTCTGACCTTTGTCCCATTTATCATATGATTGCGAAAAACAAGTGAATCAAGTTGTGCAAAGCTACACGTAGTTGCTCGAAGCTGTCGGTTTGGCAAGGTCTTTAATCCCCTATCATTAATCTATAGGAATTTTTCTAGTCAAACGCTGTTGAAATTCTTCATTTAGGATTCCCATTTGGTCAAAGGAGCTGACGTCTTTGTTGGATTGCCATCACTAGGATATTCAAAATAATATATATTTGAGCAGCCACTCTGCAAAAAGTGATGAATTTTATATAATTTCTTCTCAATCAATGTTTCTAAACGTTGCTCGCCCATACTTCCTGTGCAATAACTCTCTTTAAAAATGGAGCAAAGCCTGCATTGTCCTAAGAAATAAAAAGGGTTGCAGATGATCCAGAAAACTTCATCACTCTTGTGCCAGTGCTTATAAGGCCTGCTTGACTGTCTGTACACATTGAACACAAATCAATATACGATTTTTCCCTTTTCCGTAACGCAGGCTACTCAGCTTTAAACTTTTTATGCGTTGGCAAGGTTTATAATATTAATGTACTTGAATTGGTTAGTGTCATCTTTTAGTTAAATAGCGTCAGGTGATAAACACTTCTTAGAACAGCTACTATTTATATAAATACTCTTTTAATATTTGAATTGGGATAGACAAATAAGACCGTTACGGGCACAAGGGGACTTACCGTGTACTGCTCTACCAAAACTGTAGTTTCCAAAGCAAGCTTTTGCTCTTGCTCTATATCGTACCTGAATGATTAGCAAGAGTTTAAATGGGTAAGATGTGGTAAAGCAATACAATTGAAGATATTAACAGAGAGACTCTTCTACATCCTGACAATGCAGAAAACAAAGAGTACAAGACGGATGTCAAGATGCCTGAAAAGGCCAGCAAAACAAGCAAATTTTCATGAAAACATTTTGGACCAGCTTCAAAGCATGAATTTTCAAAAAAAATTTTAACTGGAATAAAGGGAGACAGCTTCATGTTTTGATGTCTAATTTCTTTTAACAAAATACATCATTATAGTGCACGCTTAGCCAACATTCGATATTACAGCAACAATGAAAAGTACAATGTTGATCCCTTCCAACAAACTAGGGCAGCTTCGCCCTGATTGAGTATACCTAGAAATAGGTTAAATTCTTTTATATTTTGTTTTTTTTTTCATTTCTTTTGACTCATACAAATATCAATTGGTAGTGAAATACTTTGCATTCTTAAAATATTTTTATTCCAAAGAGATCGGGTCATTGATTTCACCAAATCCTCTGAACGTGCTACTATACTGCTTAGCTGATTCATCGATCTAGTTTCTGACGTCCTCCACACAAACAAGATTAAAAAACTAACAATTGCCAGCACATTAAAAACATCTTTACATGCTAACGTCACAGCAAAAATTGATTGTATTAGCAATTCAACAGGGGTTCGAGATACGAATGTCCCCTTTATTGGCATATTGCAATATTTCAGCCCAAAATTCCTTGTTATATAAAAGTTGATCTGAATCCTTCAGATAAAGATATTTTATGAATCAAAATTTACAGGTTTCATCTTAAAAGGAATGCAAAATATCTACTGAACAGTGCAAATTTTTTAGTGCACTCAAATAAGGCGACACTATCCTACTATTTTAACTTATCTACTTAATAAATGATGTTAAGGTTTTAACATAATAGATGTGAAAAAACAGTACCCAACATAACAAAGCTTTTCCTTCATCATGCGCACAGTTTCAAAGTCAGCAGAATGGTTGAATGCATAACCACGAAGAAGTAGCAACTACAAAAATTAAAGGAGCTTTAGATGTATTTAAAGTAACAAAAAGTTTCTTTGATTCCTTACCTCATCATGAGCAATCAAAACGAGATAAAGAGAAAAAGTCAGGAAAAAGTTTTGGAACTTTGTAACTTTAAACAAATTTAATCCATTGAAATTTTCTTATCTAATCCATTTTCTTATTAATCCGTTAAAGTAACTGTTTAGGTTTTAATTCAAGAAAAAACTTTTATTCCAAACCTAGCCAACATCTAAAAAAATACAATTTATAGCATAATATAAATACTTTTGGTACTTTCATCTCGTCACCGTCCACATTTATGGCAATTTCTTTATTTTCTGTTTTTTATCAGTGTCTTAACCTCTTGTCTCATCAATCTGCTAAGTGTAATTGAAGCTACAAAGTCTGCTTGTTAAACATCTCATTATATCGAGACATTCCTCTTGGATTAATGTAAACATTAACAGTAGGCGAGTTTCAAAAGTGTCTATAATGAACCTTCAGAAATATTTTACATATCAGGCTATTCAGGTGCATAACTATGCGATGTCCTGTTTTGCTCAGCCTTCATCTAATCCTAATCCCAACGTTATCAAAATGCTATTCTCTTTTTAAAAAGATTAAAACTGTTCGACGGACATCTGATTTCAACACGTAATAAACTCTAACTCATACCTTTATTAAATATCGCGTAATATCCCTTCCAGCTATATCTAGTCTTCGGGTAAGATGTGGTAATGCAAAGCCTTCGTAAACGGGGCAAATGTGTGTAACTCCGTCTCCTGAATCAACTACCACACCAGTGAGTAAACCTGACAAATAACATAAAACTACATGAAAAGAGTATGACAAAGAGATATATCTGTATCTAACATAACATCCTTATTGCAAATTCTTCTCTCGAACACCACAAACCGTTTTCTCGTCCCAAGTTGAGACCCGTGTCTTGAACAAAACACGATTTGAGAGAATTAAACTAAACAAATGAGAACATTCATTGCAGACGTGCAGATTCAAATCATAACTGCTGAACCAACTCAAAAAATGAAAAACAATAAACTGTTTATCAAAAATTTTTCACATCGTTACATTGAAAATGAATGACTCAAGTTTGCTAAGGTTTGAAGCTATGAAAAAAGTTATGATCCACCAAAGCATACATTTCTGGGCTTATTAACTTCACATTTTGATTGATTTCTTTCTTTACTTCCAGCTGGACAGCGTTTCTAACGTGATAGACCTGGCTGGCAAATACACTTGACTTTTATCTTGATTGGCCAACTGTGATTTCATTTCCCTAACTGTGATATTATAAAAGCATTGGTATACTTAAATATTTGCAAACACATGTCTAAATACAGCAGTTAGAGCCTTTTAACTTTGAATCTTTTGGGGTAAAAAGCACTCTAATTCACTGCCAAAAGTGTTTTCTGATTCTCTCAACTCCTTTATTATAAAAGTCGATCTCAAATAAACATTTAAAAGTAATATCTTCTAGTGCTGCTACAATGCGTTACTAAATGTTTAATTTCTCTTCAAAAACACAGCAATCGGATCCTTGACAAAAGACAAATTAGTATCGCTCACTTATAATAATGGATCAACAACTGACATATGATTCCACGAGATTGTCGGGGAAAAGACCTGCAGCGGCTATTGTATTTCCTTTTGTTTGTCGCTCAAAGTTTGAATCCAATCAGAGGAAAGTGTATTAATAGAGCATGCGCAGTTGCTTCCATTTGTCGCAGCTGGCAGGGAAAAAGGTAAGAGGCAGAACTGATGCTATTATCTGAAAACCCTTGCTCATCTTGACATATAATGGTCCAAATGGAGTCATTTTGTTGATAAAGTTATTTGTGACTTCCACTAAAGGAAGTGGTACTATAACATTAACCTTCAAAAAATTCTGAAGCTATGTCTCCCTCATCCTAAGAAATCCTTCTGCCCGTCTTGAATAATGACCCCTTAAAATAAAAAAGTTTTCGGTGGGGTTGGATCAACCAAATGTTATGTTTCAATTTTAAAATGGCTGAATGTATTTGAGTTAAAAACTTTTCTTTAACCAGCAAGTCACTGAACAGAATAGTGAAAGATAACATTAGTAATAGAAACAAAATTTATTGGCTCTTATTAGGTGACCTAAAGCACTTTAAAAAATAGTTAATGACCTACTAAGCTTTTATAAATTGCAAACACGACGCATGCAACTGTCCTCGATAGGACAGAGAGTGACATACCTCAACATTCTACCTTTCTGAATAAGATTAAAGCCTTCTGTCTTTCGAATTTTGAACTGGTGTTACAGTGTTGTTGGAACAAACTCATATTGGGGGAAAAGGGTGCCTGTAGTGTTACTTATCATTCAGCAAATGGTTATAAAGGAAATTTAAATGAAAATTCACTGCTTTTCAAACACTCAATGTTTTAGTTATAAAAGGATGTTATGTGGGTAATGATAAATTTTGAATCAAATTATTTAAAGCTTGAAAAAGAATCCATTGAATTGAAAAATTTAGAATAAACACTGCTGTTGGAAATCAAATTAATCTTAAATACTTTGACCAATGCAAAAGATATCCTGACATGCTTCCCATCGTAACTTTCTAAGTGCAATGGTTTTTTTAATTGATACTGCAAAACAAAAAATAAACATTGGGTTCTTTTAGACTACCTTGTGGACATACTTTGAAAAAAAACTAGCAAACAAATTTTCTCTTAAATAGACTCTGGAAATTTAGATGAAGTTACATGTAAAAAAGTATGTTAAATAACCAGTCCACAAACAAAACGAAACGGAAGTCCTGGGTTCTTGGGCCTTAATCACCAAGTCATGTTCTTGATTTTGCAAAAAATCGGTGACTTTTGACTGGTTCGTTCTGCGTTCCAGCCAATCACTTTGAGTGTGGGGAAAAACACCTGAAAAGGGCGTCTGCTGTGTCATTGTTTCCTTTTGACTCAAGGAAACATAATACATCTTTAAGGCAAGATATTGCTTCACGATACAAAGGGCCATATTAACGGGGTGGAATTATAAAGAATCTGGCTGTTTTGGATTGCAAAATGTGGCCGCTGGACGTATTGACGAGGGGCCACATTAACCGGGTTTTTTATGAGACTATGTATGAGACGAAGTGGCCGTAAGGCGGGGTTCCACTGTATGGTCAATTAAAATTTTGTTTCCTTTGCTCGTTTGTTGAATATTGATGCCTACCTCGCTTAGAATCGCTACTCGATTTCCTTTACGTTGAGATAGAAGTTTCACAAACTTTCCCTCCAAAACGCTTACATACCCGAACCTTACTGCGCATGTTCCATCAATACACTTTTCAGAAGTCTCGTTTCCATTTTAAACTTTAAAATTTAACAGTTCAGGGTTAACAGTTCAGGGTTAACAGTTCAGGGTTAACAGTTCAGGGTTAACAGTTCAGGGTTTACAGTTCAGGGTTAAAAGTTCAGGGTTAACAGTTCAGGGTTAAAAGTTCAGGGTTAAAAGTTCAGGGTTAAAAGTTCAGGGTTAAAAGTTCAGGGTTAAAAGTTCAGGGTTAACAGTTCAGGGTTTGCAGTTCAGGGTTTAAAGTTCAGGGTTAACAGTTCAGGGTTAAAAGTTCAGGGTTAACAGTTCAGGGTTAAAAGTTCAGGGTTAAAAGTTCAGGGTTAAAAGTTCAGGGTTAAAAGTTCAGGGTTAAAAGTTCAGGGTTAAAAGTTCAGGGTTAAAAGTTCAGGGTTAAAAGTTCAGGGTTAACAGTTCAGGGTTTGCAGTTCAGGGTTTAAAGTTCAGGGTTAACAGTTCAGGGTTAAAAGTTCAGGGTTAACAGTTCAGGGTTAACAGTTCAGGGTTAAAAGTTCAGGGTTAAAAGTTCAGGGTTAAAAGTTCAGGGTTAACAGTTCAGGGTTAACAGTTCAGGGTTAACAGTTCAATCATTTCAGGGTTAACAGTTCAATCATTTCAGGGTTAACAGTTCAATCATTTCAGGGTTAACAGTTCAATCATTTCAGGGTTAACAGTTCAATCATTTCAGAGTTAACAGTTCAGGGTTAACAGTTCAGGGTTTACAGTTCAGGGTTAAAAGTTCAGGGTTAAAAGTTCAGGGTTAACAGTTCAATCATTTCAGGGTTAACGGCTGGTCAAGAATAATTTGCATGAACATTTTGCTAAAGCAGATGATAAAGTTCTTTGCTTACCTTGGGCATAGAGAGTAAGTACAGCCTGGATAGCAATGTACACGCCATCAAACTCGTAGTTTTCAAACATTACCTGCAAGAAAATCCTTTTATCAACATGCTGCGCGTCATTTGCGAATATTTGATGTCTGCAGTTAGACAAGGCTCTAACTGTGCAATGTGCCATCAGGAGAGGTAGCAAGTTCTAGACCAGTTTTTTATAAGCAATTTGAACATTTTGAATAAAAAGTCAAATTTCCGAGAAATCCTGAGAACGGACGTAAATTATGCCAAAATTTGGTCACAGTCACGTTTAAGCCAATAAAAAAGACGTGACTTGATTACAAGTAGTTTAGAGCACTCAGAATTTTAAACCTGGCACAAAACAACAGCAACAGTGACGTCACAATACAGCGGGTAATTACTGCACAACTACCCGATCTCTGGCTGTACTTTTTTACACTCTGAAATTCTTCTTACTCGAAAATAACAAACAAATTTTTGATATCAACTGGCTTCACTCTTTCTAACCCATTTTCGTTCTAATTTTTCTGTCCATCCGTTATAAACCACCTAGCTTCGCAAAACATGGCATCGAATGTCGTAGAATGGTCATGGTGGTGCTTCCTCCTTTCATCTTTTCCAATCTCGCATACAATGCGAGCCAATAGTCTTGGAACACTGACGTCATTTTCCAAAGTCAAAATCAATCATCCCCCTCTTCCCCACGGAACAATATTGGTTTACTATGAAATGGGTTAGGAATTTACGAAGCACTTTCTTTTGCGCTTCTTCTATGAAATTTCTCTAAATCATCAAAATTGTTTTAGGGGGAAGGAGGCGGAAGTAGTAATTTTTTTCTGAAAATAAATGAAAGATATAAAATGCAATGCAAATTGCTGGGTGTTCCAAGTACTTTTGGCAGGCATTATAGTTGTTTTTCATTTCTAATAGCCAACCAACTTCTTCAACATCTTCAATCTTTGCCTTCATCTTGCTCGCTTCCCAGCCATCTCAGCCTCTATAACATTTCTTTACATCTCTTTTTTCTTCTCAACACATGTCCAATGAAACCCCATTGCCTCCTACAGATAACGTTCAACAGATCCCTTTTCATTCTAATATTAGCCAAAACTTCTTCATTCGTTTTCTTCTCAATCCATGAGATCCTCATCACTCTTCTCCAAAACCACATTTCTATCGCTACAAGCTTGTTCTCCATATTCTTACTTATTGTCTGTGACTCGCATCCATACAGCAGCACAAACTAGATATAACACTTTAACTAACGCTTTTTAACACCCAACCCTATCTTCCTTGTACACAAAACATTTCTTGTATTCATAAATACCTTCTTCGCCTGACCAATTTTGCATCTTATATCCAGATCTGATTATCCATCGGATGTTATCCAACTGCCCAAATAATTCAATCAACTAACTTTTTCTTCTTGCATTCCATTCACCTTTTTGCATTCTGGAATCCGTCACTTTTTACTGGCAACCATCACATAGTTCTTTCACAGTTTATCTTCAAACCAATATTCTCGCTTTCTGTTGTTACGAAGTACAACAGTCTTTGTACTATTTCCCCACTGTCTGCAATTAACACTTATCATCTGCGTATCTAAAGTTACAATAGTTAGTCCTTTCCAGATTGCCTCCGTCGTATGTCATGCCTCTACTGATAACTTTTTCGCTATACAAGTAAATCAAATCTGGTGATAGAACGCAGCCCTGTCACACTCAATTTTGTCTGTCTACCCATTCATCCAATTCACCTTGAATCCTAAATGCAGCTTTCTGATCATAATACAAGTTTCTTATCAATCATAGATCTTTTCCATCAATCTCTAACCTTTCTAGAAAGTCCATGTTTCTTACAGTCGAATGCATCCACAAATGTATTAAAATCCAAGCATTGAATTATTACAAATTTTCGGCTTTTTCTAGAGTTAGGTCTAGATATTTCAGAGCAGTTTCTGTAAACCAAGAAAGAAAAAGTAACGAATTCACATCTTTGTACAAATGTGTTAAGAAACTAATGCATGGAGTGGCTAAAATTGTTGCTGGATCCGTTTAAAACAGATCAATTAAAAGTTTGTGGAATTTCGACACCACAGCAAGCACTGCAACTATAAATGCTTGGAATTTGTGAATGACAGAAGAATAACATAAGGGATGGACAGAAGAATTAGAACCAAAATGATTAGAAAGAGTGAAGTAAGCTGATATCAAAGATCCGTTTATCAATTTGGAGTATGTAGAATTTCAGAGGATGATGATTAAAGTACAGATGAAGATCAGGTAATTGTAAAGTAACTACACCCCAGATCGTGATGTCATGGCAGACCGAAGCTATTGTTTTGTACATTTTTGAAGAAAATATTTTGTGTGTGAATTGATTTTCCGAGGGCTCTCAGCTACTTGCAATCCAGTCACGTCTTTTTTATCACTTCAAACGTAATTATTGCCTAATTCGGGCAAAATTTTCCCCAGTTCTCAAAATTTCTCACTAACTTGGCTTTTTATCCAAGAAATTCAGATTTCTCATAAAAAACTAGTCCAGAAAACAGCATTAGAATTTCTACCTCTCCTGGTTAGAGCCTGGTCTAATTACATCGCAAATTCACTACTTAGGCCCGTTTTGTCTGTTTGCATAAAAATCACTATTGTGCGTGAAATCTTGACGTTGTGAATAAAAAACGTAAGAAATATATTTATCATTGGATTGAAATATATCAAATAGTCAGATTGATATAAAACTTATGAAATAGAAAAATTCACGAAAATCGTTTTGCGGGATTTTTGTATGAAATTATAAATCCTTAATATTTCTGTAGGTAGCACTAGCTTCACAACAACCATGACTACTTCAGTCATTATCAAAAGAAACGAAGAAATACTAAACTCAAACCTCGATCATTTTTTCTCTGTTTTTGGTTGGATTCATAGGGGGCTCGGTGAGCAGTATCTGAAACAGAATGCAAAACAATTAGCAGCAATGCTGTAGAATGTTGGGATTACAAAAGAATTGCTAGTTTGTCCAAATGCAAAAGTCTTAACATCCAACTGCAAGTTCAAATCCTATATTTGTGAAATCTCTTAATGGTCACTGCACTGAAAAACAATGAATTAGAATGGTCATTATACAGAAAAAAACTCGCACCTTAAATAAAATCACATGAAATTCATTTGATGTTTCAATAGTATGGAGATTTCTTAATTTCACTATCCCTTGAGATACCTTCATACAAAATAAATGGTTAAACCCATGTTTCAGCCACCCTCTAATCCCTAATGAGTGACAAAATGATGACGTCACAAACCAAAAATACCTCTAAATGTGCAAAATCAGTTAGACCTGTAACAAAAGGCATAGGATGAGATATGGCCCCATAGTACAATCGTTTCCCCCATCAAATCACTGTGTTTGGCACAGGTACAAATACTTGCAAAATAAGAAAAACGAGTCAAAAATTAAAGTACTCATTTAGCAAACATCAAATTTTTATTTGCCATATCTCAAGAATCTGTAGTAGATTTAGCTGATTTTGCATACTTAAGGTATTTTACCGTGTTCTGGCCGCTCTACTGGTCATTAATTAAAAATTCTAAAATAAATCTTCCAGAAATCATCATTTTGCTACCCGAATGTTTACTTTCTCTTTCCGGCGCATTTTTCTTACTAATCACCTCAATTCACCCTCCAATATTTTTTCCAAACCCTCTTTTTGTATATTTAATAAAAGATGCATTTGTATCTAAGTATTTTAATTTGTAAATTTAAACTGTAGTTAACAGTCAAGTTTGTTGTTACACTTCTTTTCTTCCCTGTGCTCTCTGCATTCGAAATAAGACAAACGATGGGTGCAAGGAAGTTGCAACACGTAGCTATACTGTTCAAAGTCTTAGTAAATTTCTATCAAAAAACTTTGATAACTGGCAGCAAGTGCACTTTTTAATTAAATGGATATTTTGGGGTTGCCAAAAAATAATCAGTCAAAAACCCTGTGTGGATTTTCAAGGTGTTAGGGTGGGTGCTTGGACTGGGCACTTGTTCGAGTTCTGGGCGCTTGTCAAAAAATTTTCAAAATTAAAAAAGCTTTAAAAAATTAAATATAGTCACGGCGGGTAATTCTTACGCACAGCAACATGTCGGGTAATTTTTACGCAGGCAGTTTGTTGCGTAATTCAATTGTTGTTTCCTACAAAAACTTTTTATTCATCCAAAGCAGTCCTTTCTCTTTCTGTTGACATAAAACTTGGCAGTTGGTTTGCGCGACAGCCTTTGTGAAAGCGATTCGCAGACATGAATCGCAATTTACCTAGGTACAAAGTTATCAACACTACTCATCAATTTTATTGTCCTGGCATCATGCGGACAATAACTAATCCTTTTAAGCATTCAAATGACTCTTTTGTGGCTCACCTTTGACCTATTCAAGTACTGCTGAGAAATATGCTTCCGTTCCTCGGAAAACACGTGCGTAAATATTACCCGACATTCATTGATTAGGAGGTTAATTTTTACGCACTTTTTATAAAACTGCATCGGGGTTTGAAAAGACGGCGCAACATTTATTTTGTTCCCTATATGAAAAAGAGGAAAGCTAAATGTTTGGTTCCAAATTCCCAAGGCTAACAGAAAAATCCCCAAAAAATAAGCAAAGAAAAGGTTATGTCCAAGCTCTAGGTGACATTCATAGCGGACGATCGACGAGAAGCACTGCGTAAATACGGGATGGCTGAAGGAACACTATATGTTATCATTCTAAAATGGTAGAAAATGATGGACCCCTCAAAGGGGGGTGGGGGAAGGGGCGTCTCCGAAGGGATTCCATCAAATTTTGGATGTAGACGTTTCTGACATTGAGAATATTTTTGCGAAATCGCGTGTTCAAAATTTTTATAATATTGACCAAAAGTATGAGTATTCCTCGACTATTTATCCTTAGAATTACCCTCAAAAATAATAAAAATGGAACTCTTTTTAGTGCGATGTTGAAACGCTAAATGTTTTGTCGACATTTCAAACTTTTTGTTGCTCTCAAAAGCAAAATTTTTTCTATAAAATTCTGGCATTTCAGTTTTTATATCGCATCCCTTCTACATAAATTTCCTACCAGTAGGTCTGTGATGAAGGCTTGTGGACTGTTTGAATTTGTAGGTAGCCACAAAGATTCGTAATAATTCTGTTCTATTCAGAAATTGATGTGCGTAAAATATAGCGGACGCCGCGTAAGAATTTGACGGAAGGGTCGGCTAATCTTTACGCAATTAAATTTGATTATATAATTAGTAAGCAGTTTCGATTTCATCACCTATTGTTGTCTGCTAATTAAGTATTGGCTATGAGTTCACCTGGTATATTCAGGTCATCAAATTACTTTGTTATTGTCTGTAAATTTCAAAGTTTATAAAAAATGCGTAAAATTTGCCCTCCATGACTATATATAGTATTGTCATTGTGAATGAAATTTATTGAGCTCAACATTATTGTTAAGCTTTTCTGCATCTGTGAAATATATAAAAATTCGCCAAACATCAGCTTCCCAATACACTGATGTTAACTTGTTCAAATAACAGCGCAGGATATACCACCTGTCACATATTCGAACATTACAGCTTATTCAGAAATGGACATTTATTCAGCAATGAACACTTATTAAGACATGGGCACTTATAAAACCCTTCTTTCTTAGTGCGGGTGCTTAGTGACACTGGGCAATTATTTGTGCTCTGGGACTTGAATTGGTCATTTAAATACTATTGAAATGGTCAATCCCTGAAAATTTGACAGGTAATAAACTTCAAGAAATATTTGAAAGCATATAGTGTCCTCAGGAATTTCTTCTCAGCAACCAAAACTCAGTAGGTGTCAAGATACTGAAATTTGACCAAGGATTTGCTAACACTTCAAACCACAATGTTACTTTCAACAGTGGAAAGGAACTTTAAGCAAACTTCGTATAGAATTGTCCATATAGGAAACATACTTTACTGTTCTTTGGGTTTATGTTCATTTTACTTTCTCCAAAGGTGTAGTCCCAAACATGCTTCATGTCATCCCAGTTTCTAACAATACCATTCTCCATTGGATAATTCACCTCTAGCATGTGCCGAAGTTGGCTGGCTTCATCTCCAACCATTAAATCCTGGAAAAATTATTGAAATCTGAAAATGACAATAGGCTAAACAATTAAAGAGATGACCTTTTTCAAAGACAGATACTCTTTAGGTATCTGTATTGTAGCTGCAAATTAAGAACCTGAGACTAACTCAGATGGAGAATGTAACAGGCCTGGCCATAAGACATTCAGCAGGGGAGTAGTAAAGAGCTCTCCTAGTAATTTCCAGGTATGCTTTTCATAGAAATATAAAAAAAAACAAAAGAAAAATCATTTTTAAGAGGGGAAATTTGCATTTTTGAACAGTTTAGGAGAGTAATCAGCAGCTCCCCTCGAGCATTTGAGATAGCCTGGAGGGAAGCAAGAGCTTTGGATCTCCTCAAATGGCCAGGCTTCTGTAGACTTCTTGTTGATCCTTATTTAAACATATTTTATTCCGTCTTTCACACGAAAAACATTTCAATTCTATACTATAATTTCAACCCTCTTTGATTCATACTACAGTCATCAGCATCTTCATGGAAATGGAAGGGCAATACTGTGTGACATTATCCAGTATGAAATACGTACATATGATCTTCAAGAGGTATCTTTATTCCTAACATGCTAGGTAAGAGGGGAGAAGGTGCAGCTTAAATTTTTTTTCTGGAAACAAGGAACTCTTTCTTTATAAAAGCTGAAAATAAGCAGTTACTAGAGCTCGGGGGGGGGGGGAACTTAATAGGTTTGACGTACGGGGACGTGTCATTATTTAGGGGTACCAAAAATGCGGAATTATGGGTATCAGTTTCTCAATTATGTGCGGAATTATGGGTACCATTTGAAGAAATATACAGAGTTATCGGTACCATTTTGGAAAACCAGTTAGCTAGGAACTTATAAGGCATGCAAAAATCATATTTTAACAACCATGGCTATAATGGAAATGAAGCTCTTAAAGAGACAGCTTCCGGAAATGCAAATAAAAATGGTGTGCAAACAACCAGGATTACAGAACATAAAAGGGCTGAAAGTGCCAATAACTATTTTAATGGAACATTTCTTGAAATTGTAGAGCCAAGCACCAACTTTGATGGGACTCTTAGATCCCCAAGGACAAGGACCACAATAAAGCATTTGCATTAAGGGAATCCAATCATGTAAAAAGTTACAAAGATCAACTCTGATTTGATGCCTGTCAGGCATTGGCCAATGAGATAACAGAAACCTTGTTGTTGCATGTCAGCACAGTTTTTGCGCTTACTTGGATTACATAATGAATTGGATTGCTATATTGTGAACACCTGACTTACACCAATGGGTTCCCTGAATGCTCTTGGAATTGAGTGATTGATGTGTGATGTTAAGATTTTAGAACAAAGAATATACAAAAGTTTTTGTTGTGTCTTGGAAAATGTTCTGTGTCTTGCAGAATTATGGGTAGACTTTTAATTTGCTGCTACTATTTGTGCTGCATGTTGAATTTGACAACGTGAAGTGTTTTATGTCAATGGTATGTAATCGTATTAGGGCCTTATCATATGAGTCCGGCTGACCGGGCTGGCTCGGTTAATCTGGCTAAAATCAGCTTGCTATCATTTGAAGTTTTCCCAGCCCGGTTTGAGGGGCTGAAGAAAGTCAGGTGACATTTGCCTGGTTACGTTCTTTATTTTGCCTGCCAAGATTTCAAAAATAGCTAACAACAAAGAGAACATATCTGCGGCTCTTGTAGCTCTATCTCTATCATCTCTACAAGCAGTATGCCAGGACATTCACAGTCTATTGATATTATGGAGGCTACAACAAGTTAAATATCAGGTAGTTTTCTGTCAAAAAGAAGGCCCTTTTGAAACGAAAAAGAATGTTGAACCAACGAAAAATGGAGAGGATGAAAAGAACTATTTGGTTTCATCCTGGTCCCAGAGAACAATGGTGGATCAATATGCTTTTGGGAATGTTGGGATTCCCATCAAAAGTGCATATGCCGTACTTTGCATATACCTAACATGGCATTTTGCTTATCAAACAGACTGACGTTTGGGTTTTCCCTTCTCTCCAGCGCTTCACTGATAGCTTCCAAACCCTCTCCATGTGGAATACTGGGATAGAGTCCCACAACATCAATTGAAAAGTAAATTTGAATAAAAAGAATCAAATGGAAATGCACCCGCTTTTTTCAAAAGGCCCACATATTCTTGGAAAACAATATGAAGTAACATAAAAATATTACCTTCACTTCAATATCTCCAACCTTTGCTGTTGAACGAATCATAGGACGACCAACCATAGAAGGGAATATGTGAGATGGGAAATTCGATCCGGCAAAACCACACTTAACAAACTAGAACGAGACAAATAAAATTTAGTTAAGAAATAAAAGGTATTCTGCAAATTAACAGGCATAAATATTACAGAATTATGGAACCATCTGAGCAATATTATCTAGTGCTTTTGAAAGTAAATAGAAAAAGCAAACCAAAATGTGGAGAACAAAATGGGCCGCTCAGAGCAGAAAATTATTAGTATGAGCCTGCTGAAATTTTTACATACGAAGGACCCCACTTAAGTTGCAAAACTATCCAACAGGGGTGGAGCATATATGTTTTGATTTAGGGAGGTAGGAAAAAGACCTATTTGGCAATACCAAATGTTACAAAACAATTTGAAGGCACTGACCCCCAGAGTCCCCTCAAACATTGAAATAACTTATCCAATTATTTTTTGGTGGATGCAAATTTTTCTAAACTTGGCATCCTCAACTTCGAAGATTTCTTTAAATTAGAAACTGCAAAATTGATGTACGATGTTTACAACAACAACTGCACCTAAGTTCTTTATGAATTATTTCAGAAAATTAGTGTAAGACACAACTATAAAACACGCCAGGTTACGAAAAAACACTTATCTTTCCCTCTGGTGAGAACAGACTGTCGAAAAATGTATTACCTTTATTGGTATCAAAATCTGGAACCAAATACCAGAAGAGATTCGCTCCAAACCAAGCAAAAATTTATTCAGTAAATTTCTTTTCAACTTGTTACTTTACCAATATTAGTATAAATACAACCGACCACTCTGCTCCACTCCATTTTAATGAATTCTGAAAATCTCTAATTTAACTCTCCTCATTAAATTCACCTTAAATTAGAAGCTGCCGTGTCCTACTCCTTTTTCCACTTTCATGTAATTTTTCTATTCTTTCTTGTAATTTTGTTCTGTTATTGTTGCTTATAATTTTTTGAAATTCAGATTGTATAATATTAATGTATATCACAAGCGTATGTAATAGAGCACTGGGCTTGAAAACATTTTAGGCTTATCTCAGTGTCCTAGGCAACACTCACGGACATTCTCTTTATAATTCTTTAATTCTTCTTTCTGTTTAAGACAATAAGTAAATATATCTTTAATAAACACGCTGTAAAAAAGTTGCTTAATGAAAAGAAATTTGAATATGAATTTGAATTTGAATTCGAATTTGGATTATGGGTCCTACGAAAAAACATAAAGATGATGGCTGCGGAAAACTATGCCAGCAAAAATTTATTTTGATACAGTTTGCTGCCCCGCAATGGAGCCAAAGGGTATTAGCACATTAATTCTAATACCATGAGGCTTTTCGCCTGCGAGTGAGATTCTAGTATGATGCAGCAAGCATTTTACAAGAGAGAAATGCAGAAGAAAAATGTAAAATGTAGCATCTGATTCGAGAAATAGATCTAATGAATGTGAAAATATTGCCTGTGACTCCAAGGAGTAGTTTTTAGTGCTTAATTACCATCTGCGCAAAACTATGAGTCAAAGTTTCATACAAAGCAACTAATACAACTGCATTTAAAATCAGTGGGCTTTAAAATAATTTCATAGCTGTTGCTCTTTAGATCCAGTCTTTAAATTTTGTCAATCAATTAAATTTTGTTTAAATTTTGTCAATCAAATTATTAATTAAAAGGTATGGCTAGAAAAAGCAAAACTAAGTTAATTTCGCAAAGTTAATTTTCAGCAATGTTTTTCTCTAAGCAGAGGCTCTGCTCTCTTTTGCAGACAGCAGCACTCATAAGCAGGGCTTGAAAAAATATTTTTCTTCCCGGCAGAAAAATATAAAATTCAAAATTTCCTGCAAGGCTTCGAAAAAGTTATAAGCCACTGAAGTGATATTTTAAGTTGCCTGATTTGTTTACACATTTGCCCTAAAAATAAACTGTCATACTAAAAAAGAACTAATTGCTGGTCCTCAATTTTTGATCATAGCTCTTCAAACAGCAATCATTTTGTTTAAACTGTATAAGATGATCAAGGAGAAGGTGACAGAGCAAAATACTCATAGTTTGTTTTTAAGGTCAAAGTTAGTATGTCTATAATAATTTTGATTTAATTTCATATCAGTACTAGACAATTAGATACTGTTGAAGTATTGACGTATCCTACATCTTGCTCTGGGTCTCATGTTTGCTGCTCAATTTTATCATCAAAGCTAGTAGTTCATACAACATGTAAGAATACTTGTTTACTTTTCAATGGTTAAAATTAATGTTTTAAATCAGAGGTGGGGCTAGAGGCAAAGATGTAAGCCCAAAATGCTTACATTCTTTTAACATAGCCATGAATGATATATGCAAATGCCAGTAGAAAAGTATGAAGAAAGTTGGACACATCCAAACAGGTTTTTGGGCATGTTCACTTTGAATACAATTGATGTAACAAGATTGGCTGTCTGTGTTTTTACTTATCTAGAATGGCGTTTAAAGAGAAATGAAGCTTTAGCTTGCTTGAATTTAATCAGTAGCTGAAAATCATGTCAAATTGCTTGAAATTAAGTATAAAAGACACTGATAATACCAGATGATTGAATTTTAAAAGCTAATCTTCATTTTTTGTTAGTAGTGCAGGATAAAAAATTATGCAGTATGTAAGTATATCACAAAAAACAGCGTTCAGAAGAAAGAGAGTAACATAATTTTAATGTTCATTTTAAAATCAAGCAATGGAGATTTCACGCTAAAAACTTCTTGGCAAACAGCAGCTGGCGCTACCAGACATTATCCAGCCCTGACTATAAAAGACAAAATTTAATTATATCAATTTCAGATTGAATTTACATTACTCTGATATGAAGATAGATACATTTGGGGATGGGCAAATAGCTTAATACTTTGACATCTTTACTTGCTGCTTGAATTTTTATACATATAAATTGAAACTAAAAAAGGAAAAATTGCTATTGAAGTTAGTTCCTGGAAAGAAGACAGAATCCCAGAATGCAATTGCATTTATTTGCCTTATCTGAAGGGTATATTGAAAAGGTATTAGAATACACTCCCCTCACAAAAGTATTGCACCACCTTGTTCAAAATGGCGGCACTTTTTGTCAATATTTCCACAATACAAAACATTTGAATGCATGAATTGGGTGAAATAGGCATATTTTATAGCAAATTACAGCGAGAAAAGCTTGCAAATTTTACTGACGCCATTTTATTCCTTAGTTAGAAATGTAAATTTTACGCAAAAACATTATTGTTTGAAAAAGTGTAGACTACGCCGAAGGGAGAAAATTTGTCAAATGAGATGCGAGTCCCTACAATATTTTTACAGGGAAGTGGTCTTTAGTTTTTGAAAAATTGTTGACCATGTTAGATGCAGCCACACAACAGCTTCAATAAATCAAAAAAGGTTTCTCAAGAGTGCTTCAGTAGTAATAAACCGAGAAGTGGGTTAATAAAAAAAATTGATGTTACAGGGGTAGCGATTTTGTCTGTTTTATTTCACCATGTTTACACCAAGGTACAGTAAAAGACATGCAACTTGACGCTGAGCAATGTTTTGCAGCTCAAAATTCTTCCAAACAAAAAATAATGTGGGTCTTACACAAATATAAAATAAAAATTCACCTGCGTAAAGGGAAACCATTTTTACAACGATTTATTTCCGAACAAGAAGAATTCAAGTTTTTCCGTGGCGTCGTTCAAGTCCAGATTTGTACATCGTTGAAAATGTTTGGCTTCGTATGTAAAAAAATCCGAACCATGATTTAAAAGGTTCTTGAAGAACCAAAGAATCGCTAATTAAAAGAATTCTTCAGGTTTGGAATGAAATTCCACAATAATACGTTGCCCAATTATATGCAACCAATTCAAGAAGGCATAAAGCGGTTTCAAAAGTTCATAGGTCCGGTCAAAATATTGAAATTTGAAACTGTTAAAAGACGTTTTGAAACTGTTATTTTGAAAAAAGTGCTATAAAAAGATTGAAGTTTTGATTGGTGATTGTTTCACTTCCGACACACTCCCATTTGCCACTTAAAAACAATCAATTCGCGCAACAATAGCTTTCGATAATTCTTGCGCCATTTTCCCTCCTTCGAGGTGGTGCAATACTTTTGTGAGGGGAGTGTACACAAAAAACATTAAGAGTTTTAGTTATTGCAACCTAAACATTGCAATTCATTGTGGTGGCTCTTCTCAGAAAAAGGACAGTGCTTTAAGAAGCCCAAAAATGATTGTTTTCAAACAATGACAAATGATTGTTTAAACAAATATTTAAAAGACACTACCAGGCACTATGAGGGAAACACTTTATTATCAAAGTGGACTACCACAGAAGCACTGACTCTAGCTTGAAAAATTGGTGCAATCTACATAGATTTTGTTAGAGTTACTTCCCAAAATTTTTTATTAACAGTTAAAATTTTTAAGAAAATAATTGTTTACCAGTCTGCCATAATGTACTTGATGGTGTGTATGTTTTTAGTGTATAGAAAAAAATATGGTTCTAAGTTGTTACTTCTAGTTTCATGCTTAATCAAGCTTTCGTGGGAAAAATATAGCAGGTGTACTAACCACAGCACACCTGAAAACATCCAGGCATGTGGTGGCATGTGGCATTTTTTGCAAAATCTTATGGTTATTATAATAGATCTACACAGAAATTGCCAGCACGACAATAATGACACTAATAATCTTGATGGAATTTATTTCGCTCAATCCTTAGCATCACTACTTACATTTTAATAAAAAATGTGTTATTTCTGAAGACTTGAGCAAGTTTCTACATAGTTTTCATCTCCTTCGATAGCATATCCTCAGCAGAGTCAGTGGGGGCTTGGTGTTTATCTGGTTGTAATGAACATTTTTGTGTGTAAATCCGTTATCAAGCATCATCAAGCATCACAGCTATTATACACTAAGTGAGCAAAAGTATTGCACAGGTTTGACAATTCAGTAATGGCGACCGCGTTGTCAACAACAAAGCGATCAAAATGCAAACCACTTTTGTGAAGCCATTAGGCGTCTTTTTATGGTTAAAATCTAATCAAACCAAACTTCAAACCATTGACAACACTTTTAATTTAGAAATTGAAATAAGTTATATTTTAAAAAATTAAAATTATTAACTTTTTAATGGACAGTCTCCCAGCTTTGAAACCTTTGTGAGACCTGCCAAAACTTTATCAAAAGTTTAGTAACAGGTCCTGTTAATCACGACATGACAAGTTCAGAAAAACATTTGCAAGATCACATTTAGGTGTTGGAGTACCAAGTTGATCATAAATGGCCTTGTATTTGGTGGATGGAAAGTGGCATATTTTAAGCCATTTTATCACATTTACTTTTTACAACTATGAAGACACTTGAGTGAACCTGTTTATCACGGGAAATTTGGTATTTTCATTAAATGAGAGGACGAAATGCTGTTTTATACAATTTTCAGGATTATTTGTTCCTATTACAACATCGCAATCGGTTGGAAAAGATGGACTTCACGATTTGTGACACATTTAATTGATTGAATTTTGCTGCAATATATCACGAAGCGGCCGCTGAGATTAGGCCCATTGCGGCTCCAAAAATTTCAGACCAAAACATTTGACAGATTCTCCAACAAAAGTGAGGAAAATGAGCAGTTCTAGACACCCAAGCATAAAGTAAGTGCCCCCGAGTTCATTGTAATAAGATATCGCAAACTGGAGCAAAAAATGAACTTTTTTATTGCAAATGTTTCACAGGTACCTCAATCATCATGGCTCAATTTTTGCGTTTTTGCGACATGTTGATATTGTTCATAAATTGAAAAGAATCAAGAATATTCTTGCATTTACTATTTTCGCCATCAAACCTTGATAAATTTTCTACATATTTCTGTTAAAAAGTCATCTTATAACTTTTACAAAACTTGCTATGGCCACTTGAATTTTGGTTCGATAGAATTTTTTGCTGCAGTGCGGCCATGCGCCCATAGGGGGGGGGGGCTGAGCCAATAGACAAACTTCTACTTTTGCTATTTTTTAACATTTTGTACAAGAGCCCCTTTTGTTATTTTGACAGCACTATACCACTGTATTTTAGTAATAGAATTCCTCTGGCAAAAATTCAATCTTGAAAACTGGTTGGCAGTATATAGGACATCGACAATTTGCGATAAATAATTTCTTAGCTCCACAAATTGAACGACTGAGATGTTTCTTAAAGAAGCCAACATCCGCACGCATGCCCTACTCATTTATATTACAGATTTAATTTTGTCAATTTGCCTTATAGCACTTCGTCAAGCCTTGTGAGCTTCTGGTTTGCAGGAGTTGTATTTTCATAATTCAATGATACAAAAATTATATTTCCTGAAATTCTTGGGGCGTCCTGTTGTACCTTTTTTAAATGAAAGCTCCCCAACGAACTGCGATGCTTTTGGCTTAGGCCGGCCACAAACTTAGTCACAAAATCAAAACATAATTAAATGCCAATAAATTGATCCTGACTTACCCCGGTTCCATTGTCACATACAATAACGTTATTACCCTTGGCATCCATAACGCCTTTGCTGTCTACCTTTGTCGACAACACCCAGTAGCAACCTTACAGTGCTTGGACTTTTCCGCCTCTTCCCATTAGTAGTCTGGAAACGAGGAACCGAAGGCCATTCACTCATCTCGATAAAAGACTGGGACGAGCTTGGAAGTCGGGAGAATCTAAAACTTTTTGTGAAACAAAATCACTAATTTACTGGAAAACAAGAAACAGGCATCCCGAAGCAGAGGGCCTGGGCGCACAACCATTTGAAACATGACTGAAATGGGCAATGAAGAAAATGTGAAAACCATTAAACTAGTAGTTTTCATTGTGTTAATTATGTTTTTCTTTTCGTTTCATCATATTAGGGTTTTGTTCTTGGTTCCCTCCTTTTTTTAATTCAAGATTAATGGCTTACCTCTCTCGTCCGCAAAAATAGCCTTTTACTTATTTGATGATGATACTCTTATGTAATATCTAATTTGAACTGAAAGTCTAAATGAGCTTCAAAGTGTGGATAACAAGGAACTGAAAAAAGTGAAAACGTGGCTTGAAGCTAATAAATTAGGCTTAATATTGATAAACTAATTTCAGGGCCTTTGCGAGGCACTTGTTGGAGGACTACAAATTTACTTGATTAAAAAAATTTAGCCTGAAATTCTTTAAATACTGTCACAAACCTCTTCAATTGATTTTGTCAATCTAATCCTATTGAAAATTATTTTTTTGCAAAAGAATTGAACAGCAGATAAAAATAACTGGTACAATTTCGCCGTGGTCTTGAAAAATACCATGTTGTCAGTTACTTCTAAAGCTAGGTAACAGGAAGAACTGGTTGTCAATTTAGATCCCTCTTTCCATCTTAGCATGCCTTTTGAATGTTCAAAAAAATCTGGAGCTCATAGTGAATTGCAGTTGACGCTTCTACCAAGAAACGTTAGGGGAAATGGACAAAAAAACACAATTTTACCAAAAGAGGGCCTCGATTTTTAGATTTAGTGCCAACAAGAAATCTTCAAATCTTCAAATCATTAGTTTGTTTACCTTCATTCATATAAAGGAATATCATATTTAACCAACGGAGCAACTACCTTTGCTTGATCCTTTCTTGACTTTATGACATGAAGGTCTCTGAAATACCTAAAGCGTTTCTTCCATCGAGCGGATTATACCTGAAATTCCCTACTGAGATACTATTGGGGAGTGTGACATCCCTCACACCCCCGGTCGCGACGCCCCTGACTAATTTCATAACTTTTGAGTCACCTCAACAATATTTATCTGAAAGTGTCAGTATCATAATTGGAAATTCCCTATCAAAGAAACTTGTTATGTGAAATATTTAGGTGTTCTTCTTGATGAAAACATTTCATTGAAGTTTCACTGAACTGCCTACTCAAAAATTGGCTAGGGGCTGTGATATGTCTTTTCAAAGTGGAATATTTCTTAAATGTCAATTTTTTGCCTGTCTCTGCAATTCTGTATTTTCACCCTTTCTACAGTTTAGCATATCAGTTTGGGGTCTCACTGGTTGGTGTAATTTGTCTGCGATCATCGCAAACGAATTACACTTTCATAAGAACAGTCAGACTTTCTAACGTTATGAACCAAGACCCAATAACAGAGGAGGTGATGCTTATGTAGCCATCTCAGCCCATTTGAAATGCATTAAACTTACTATTCACGGTTAGAGATATTTCATAATACCTTCTTGGGATATATGGTCAAATTTGAAAAATTCCAGAAATAGTTTTTTTGTGGCGTCATCGCTTCCATTTCGAAATTCGCTTGCAGCACTCATTTTCACGCAATCACGCATGTGTAATACTGATTCACAGGTCACGCGCCAATGTCTATTCATGCATTCACGCATAATAAAAATTTGTTTCACGAATTCACGCATCGCAAATACGCCGATCACGCAATCACGCCAAAATACCCGGTACTCCGGCAAAATATTGTCATGATCAAAAATCTCCTGGTAATTTCTTTAAGAGATCTATCAAAAATCATTCAACACACCTGCAATATTGTTTTTATTCCTCGTCACATCACATATAGTATTCTTAAATTTTTTAAAAATGAATCGATGTTTTTAGCATGTTGACATTTTACCGTATATATCATACTATTCACTTATAACTTCATTAAAATGTCCCGTTTTACTAGAGACAAATGCGTCACTGAGAGCATATGCTCGAAAGTTCTTCAGCATTTTTTCATATATCTGTCAGCACCTTTTAATTACCTATGAATCATGATGTGATTTCCGACAATCTAACTCTATCTTGATGATTCTTTGCTTAAATGTAACATCTTTGTTTTAATTGCTGAATATATATTTACATCGAATATCATAAACCTTCTTCTCTTGGTTACTTCTTCCCTTTATATGCGTTTTCCTGTGCTACAGAATCCGATGCCAGGAAAACTTTGAAGCATTTCAGCTAAAAGTCCTGAGACCCCTAACATCATGATGGGGTACTTTCTTTTTGCTTTGAGTAGGGAATCTTCCCTCAGAAAATTTGCATGTCCAGAGCATGATTCCACATCCCCGGAAATGAGTACAAAAACGTTGAAAAATTTGCTTCTACCTTTGCATACGAATAAACGAACTTTCCAACACTCACTTGAAATAAGCAGGAACCGACGAAAAAGGGTAAAAGTAGCAATCTCTTTCAAAAGTTGAGTTTCATTCAAAAGAATCTTGACTAATCATTTTGTAAAAATATATGTGGCAAAATCGCCAACAGAATCTTGAATCTTGACTAATCATTTTGTAAAAATATATGTGGCGAAATCGTCAGGTCATAAAAGCACTAAATGACTTTGTAAAGTTATATGCTGAGTAAATCAAAAAAATTCGAAAATTTATTTTCAATTTTGTCTCAAACCTTTTTGAAATTCTAACAAAGTAGATTTTTTGCTAGGACCATCAAAGCTCCCATAGCTCGAACAGCTCTAAAGTACAAGCCGACTATTCTTTTCTTGTAGTTAATATAGCAAAAGAAAAGTATTCATCTTTAAGAAAATTCTCGTCTGTTTCCATGTGGGCCTATTTCAGGAATGGGCCCAATGCCACTGCACCAGTTGCAACCAACTTAATCTGGCAATGCTCGAGAGTTTTGTTTTTCAGACAATGTTGAGGCAGAGCTTTTAAGAAAGGGCCGGGTGGGCCATGGCCCTCTTTTTTGTTAAGTATAGGTATTAAATCTCCCTTTTAAGTATTAAATAGGTAGCCCCCTCCCCCCCAACTTTAGAATCGGTGGCGTTGGCCCTGGAGGGAGCTTGATAAAAAGTGGAGGGTGATTCTAAATATGTGCTGCCTGGAGTTTACATCAACTGGTTCAAATTTATTAGAAGACAGGGAAGACAGGGAGTGCAGGTAAGACAATGAATAATTTATCATCTCTTCAAAATTTCTTAGAATCAATAAACTCAGGGTGCCGTAAAAGACGAATGAAACAAATTTTATATAAGATAAAAGATATATCAGGCTTATTAGAAAAGTAAAAGATAGTTTTTTGCTCTGATGAAGCCCCGTATGCCGGGGCGAAATATTAGCCATAACTGATTTATGTGTGTTTGTTGTTGTTCATTCTCGTCGCATTGCGGTGTTCCTTATACACTACTATTATATTGTTTTTTCGCCGCAAGGTTTCCTCCGGAGTCCGTCGAGCAGCCTGCTATCGTGGCCTCTCCTTCGCACACTTATAAGAAAAGGAGGACTTAAAAGCGCAGGGTCATTTATAATTCTGGTTCTTGCGACGAGTAAGATAAGTAAGAACAGACTTGATTTTTGAAGTGGGGTAAAAAATGTATACACTGAGGCATGGCATCATTTGATTTCTAAAGGGTCTAAAAGGTCAAAATACTAGCAATGTTAACATAACAATAATCATAATTTAGAGTGTCAATGCCCCTGCAGCGTAGCTAACAGAGCTGTCGTCCATGTCAACGCAGGATCCAGACTGCGAATATGCATGAAATTTGAACTTGGGCTCCAAATTTGGCTGTTTTTTCTTAGCGATTTCCAAGGCCTGAAACAAGGCAGAGAAGAATAAGCTAATATGAACGTTACTTTATCATAATATAAACTGGTTCAAATTATTATTAATCAGATTCATAGAAATTTTTGATCTTGTTGTTGCAAATGAACATTGAAAACGAGGTTTTCGCACAAAAAACTCCAACAATTCTATTTACATAACGCCCGAATCGTACTGATCTTCATGTCACTCTAATAATAGAGTGATTTAATTGATTATTTTTCAGATTATACCAAAGTTCTACTTCACAAAGAGAATGTCCCCTAATTGAATTAGAACATTTTTGAAAATAGCAGGGTAACTCCATTGCAGCCTTTTGGCACTGATTGCAGCACCGAGATTTTTTCAGCATTGCAGCACCCGAGTTATTTGGTGTATTGCAGCGTAGCATTGCATGCTTTCTGATATTGTTACTCATCATATCACGACGAATATTTTCCAGAATTTATAATAATCATATACTTGTAATAATAATGGTATTATCGAGCATATCCACTACAGGTATGGCTTCAAGGAAATTCAAAGTTTCATGTTTGCAGCTCAGTGTTTTGGATGACCTTGAAGGCTAACTTTAATGGATTTAAATCTCATCTTTCTGCAATTGGTAGCCATCCAAGTTTAAAAAAAACTCTTATGGGTACATTGTCAAGGTACGAAGCTTGTGACAGCTTTCTGTAGCCGCTGCAGTGTTTCAACAGATGCTGCCTCAGCGGAGATCAAAATTAGTGTAACCAATTTATAGGAATTAATTATTCCGCAAATGGTTTACGGGATGGTTTACGGTGATGACGGTGCACAAGTTAAATTTGGTCTTGGTACATTTGCTTTTTGTCCATTTGCACCTAGTCCAAAAGTCCTTTCCCTAATGACTCTGGATTCATTCCCTCATTTTCCATACGCGCGCGGGCCTTCTATTGTTGATAGCATTGTCCTTTGTGCGGTCGCGCCTGTTTCATTCGCTATTGACCCAGCTGTAGTGTGCCTTGTCACTTGGCTCATTAACTCTTGGTCCACTTGCTCCGTGTGTAATTAAAACTTTCTTAGCTCAACATCAGGATGATGACTCACTATTGACATAAAAATGAGATCTCTGCCGTTTTGCCTTTAGTATCACAAATTCCACGTGATGTGGAGAAATTCATGTTTCCAATTCTATTGATAACAGCATGAAGTAACTATTTTAGCCAGTACATCGCCACAACCATTCATTAAATAAAAGCATCCGTAAATTGAAAAAAAATCAGAAACAAAGGAATCAACATATCATAGTTAAAAATGAATAAAAGTTACGTTGAGAAAGATCCCAATTGGGTGTCTGCCACAGATAGTATTGGAGAATTTCTTCAGATATTCGTGAAAGCCATCTACATCCAATCTTTCAATGAGATCCATTCCCTTTGAAAAATCAAAGAGAAAAATCTCACATAAAATTCAGAGCAAGCGGCTGTATTACTGTGTTTCAATCTGAAATGGACAATGTTCTTAAGCCAATATGAGTAATTCACGGTTCATATAAACAAGTAAGTTATTGATAAAATCTTTTAAATCTAGGCACAAGTGCATCGAATTTTGTTCAAGATCAAGTAGAAATCGCAGCCAATGCTGATATTAAACATTAATAAAAGGTTTTTTACTAGCTAGTACCACTTTTGACTGTATTGGTGAGATCAAATAACTATATGCAACGTGCTAAATGGTAGTGCTACATGTTTATCTTAGAATAATAATCATATACAATTTCTGAAAGACATCTTTCACAAGTACAGTATGAGGGGAAGAGAAATACATTCATAAAAACCAGATTTAGGTTTTTCCTCTTTTGTGTAGATGCTGGCGAGTATCCTCCATATGGAAAACATAGCCCCGGGACAAATCTCACGAAACAGAGTCAAGTGATTATCGTAGTAAAAGCGACTATCGTAGCATTTTCGAGCGTAAAACATCGCCGCCTTAGCAAATGTAATGGGTTATTAAAATTATTTCAATGATTTGGAATTAAAAGAGAAAACATTGCTTAAAAAATGCCAAAGAGCACTTCTGAAGCAAGTGGAGAGCTCTGTAGTTTTGGTTGCTCACCATTCTATCTAAAGCTTCGATCGACTGATGAATCTTCCCGAACGACTTATCAACATAGGTGTATCTAAATCTTTTGCCTGAAATACATGAATAATATGCAAAACAACTGCAAGTATCGAAACTTCTTAGTTGTGAAAAACGAGGTGTTCTAGAAAGACCTAAAATATGATATTGTCGCACATCCAGGGTACTGAAAGTAGTTTTTAGGAAAATGTAATGTAATGATTTTCGTGGATATAAGTAAACTCTAAGGAAGAGAAAAAATCGAAAATGATTTAACTTAGATTTCTGAAATTAAGTGTAGACCTGAGTCAAAAATAGCTTAGGTCTGACTTGGACACCACGTCAAAAGTATTATAGCAAGCGAGCTGATACAAACGACCCATCTCTCATAGGTGAAAATATACAATAACATTAAAAGAGATAGTGATACAGTAAATCCCCGCATATAAAAATCTACAGAAATAAGAACCTAGAGGCTGTTTTTCCTAAATTATGCACCTTGTAATTAAGAACCTGTTTCAGTGTGATAAAATATAATAGGTTCTTTTCCCAAGGGCAAAAAATAGAGTTTTCAATGGTCATTTTTTACTCCCAGATTTTTAAAGATGAGGTAAAATCACAATCGGTTTAAAAATTTTCAATTGTGCATTTTGAGCATTTTATACACTTTAACGAAAGATAACTTTTAAATCACTTTGACTTTTTTAACATAATTATATATAGCAAAATTCAAAATGTTGAAATATAAAAAAAGCATTAGAATTCATAATTTTCAATTCCTGAGGACGTATGAGATCATCTCCAGATCCACCCACTGTCATAAGGCAGCCAGTGCGCTCAAATGTCTTCCTGTAAATATCTTTGTAATGTTACATTAATAACATTGCCAAAAGGAAAAAACAGGGTTGAATGCATCTCTTGATAATGAATCCTAAAATTTTGAATAAGTGATCCTTCGAATAAGAACCTTGATACCCTGAAATTAATCCAAGTACCTTTCCAATATGAACCTCCTTCAGCCTGAACCTCAAAATAGTAGGTTCTTATATGCGTGGATTTACTGTAAGGCTCATGTTCATCTAGCAATTTCCATTAATAAAAAACGCGAAAAAGAAATCGGAGTAAGTAAAGAATTCAAGTCCTTTGAAACTTGCAAGTAAACAGCATTAAAAACCGATCAGTCCTGCTTGGGTAGGGTCCATGCTTTCACATTGCCATTTGGGTTTGCCAAAAGATCGCTGAACGGAAATACGAAGCCTCGTGACAAACTCATGGCAAACTCATGTGTCAATGCATCTCATGATCTAATCATAGATCTCTGGCTTGAAACATTTTTTCGCCAATAATAACAGGACTCCCGTGGATAAATTTGAGTTTAGGAGCTTTAAGATCAGAAAGAGCAATAATGTTTACAAAAATATTAGAACAAAAAATGCTTTATTTTTAAAGTTTCCTTTCCAATTTGTTGTCTTTTCTCATCAAAAATTGCATACGTTCTACAAAACTAAAGGGCACTTCTTTATTGTATACAAATATTACCTCATATAAAGCAAGTAATTAGGACTAAAAGTTCCATAGCACGTACGTACCCCAATGGCAAAAATCAGACGAAATTACGAAGAAATTCTCAGGTTGCAGAATATAGTTACTGAATATTTCTCCATATACAGCTTCCCTATGTTTGTTTGTACTTCCAACTAAGACGGGTATTACTGTAAAAGAGCCACGATATCTAAAGAAAATGAATAACTAGTGCGTTAAGAAAAGTTGGCAAAATTGAACAATGTTGGTTCAAGCACTTTTGGTACGTAAGAGGCACAAGTTTGATACTACAGATGATATCATAATAAACAAATCCGAGTATAAACAGTTATCATATCCAACTTTATCATATTCACAATCCTTAATATATAAATAAATATAGCATGCATTTCTATAGTTGTGGGTCGGAATTAGTGCCCTAATTATGTTGTCTACAATCTTCACACTTGAGTATGTTCACAAAAGGATTTTGTATTACCAGGTAGACTTATTGCAATAAAGCAGCGCCGTCGAAAATGTAATATTTCTGTTATTTCTGGACTATTCCTTTCCGCACTTCAAGATGTCTAAATCTGATTCCACCTCCACAGTTCCTCACTGCATATGCTCAACTTCCTTCACTCAAGCGAAGAAGAACAGACAAAGAGGCCTCAATAGTGAAAGAATTCTTCACACACACCATCGTCACAATCAATTTCTAAGAACAGGCTGCTTTTTCTTACCTCTCCATTACTTTGGCAATATACGGCAACTGCATCTCTATACTGTGTTCATTCTCATCCGTTTTCAAATCCATGTTATCAAACTTTCCGGTTCCGAAAAGCTCATTGTTCACTACATGTCGGAAAAAGATTGAGAAGTACCTAAGAAAAGCTGCTTCATATTGAAATAATTGAACTCTTCTATGCTCGCAAATATTATGTCCAGTCATTTCAAACGGTTGGGAATGAATCTCAAACTATATGCGACAATGCTAATCTTGAAACTAAAAAGTTAGGATTGAACTTGACAAGATCAAACTGAATGCTTTTTCTCCCTTGCATAGTATTTTATTTGTGATAATTAAGAATAATACTTACATAAAACGTAAACGTTTAAACGGCATGGTCCTAATTATAGTGAGTGCAAATTCTATCTTGAACTACAAACTGTGTGTTTTACCTTCCGTATCTATTTTCAAATCGTAGAGTGGTGTCTGGTAAACTGCCATTTTGGTAAGTGCACAGCCAGGTAATCCATAGTGATGGGAAGGACCCAGAATAAAGACTCGTTTTCTGCAAATAAGTAAGTGTTTAAGAAATAAACCAAAAAATGGCTGAGAAAGCTTATTGCCATACAGTTGGCCTAGAATGGCAACTAACGCTGAACTATTTCTGTCAGGTCTAAATTAATATTGCAAAAAACATTTCACAAAAACAATGCTGGAATATAAAAAAGGATTGCGGTAGGACCGTGATTCAAAATTTCAGGACCCCCAGGTTGGAGTTACAAAAAATATATTTTAATTGGGGAGATGCTTCTTGGCATATCTTAGTGGTATATATCTATTGGAGCCTTGAATGTCGAAACATGAGTATCCGAAGTGACAGTTGGCAGGCTAGTGCTAGGTGCACAGAAATTTTGTATGTTAAAGCTGGAGGATCTTCCTAGCGCGTGCGAACATTTTTGAATTCGCAAACCTTTCTTTGGGAATTCAAAAATATTCGCACATTGTTAGCACAGTTCATTGCCAATAGGAAAAGTAATTACCAGAATTAGCAAGATAATTTGAGAAAGAACATTTACATCATAAACGTAAAAGCACACTAGAGAAAGGAAAAGGTTGTTATAGTGGAAAACCTTAATGGGGAGGTGCTTATGGCTGGGGAACAGAATATGATTACTGTGGTTTCTGATCAATAAACACTCACATGTTGCCAGGATCTATTTGCTTATATGCATGTGCTGCGCAGGAGCCACAATAAGAGTAACCAGCGTGCCTAGAGAAAAGTCGTGAGCGAAAAGATTCAGTTGTTAATCCTTTGCTTGAGTGTCTTTTATCCACTCCAAAACTGTGGCAAGATTCTCAAAATACAGGTACTTAACTTAGGCTGGTAGAAACTTAGCTTAACGTGGGCTATACTTAAATACAATTCTTAAATATAAACGTAAACCTCACGTCGTGAGGTTAATCACATTAAACGTACATCATTTCTAGCTACAAAACTATTACCCGTTGCACAGCTGTAAATCCAAAGCTAATGATTGTCTAAAAGAGCTAAGAGAATATCTAGATTTCTTTTATTGACCAATACCTGTTAAATTTCATCAACGGCTAGAAAGTGGTAACTAAATGTTTAGTTCAAAAAAGAATTAAAGCAGAAGGCTAGATACTACAATACGGCTATTTGCACTTTCCACAGCCTCGCTTTCGTAAGGCCATTTTGGGTTCTTTTCTGTAAGTTGGTCTTTTAATCATTAATTAGATTGGTCAGGCTTTTCTATCGCCATTTAAACAGGAACGTTGTTATATAAGACGAAAAAAAATTATATTCGCCCATAAAGACTTCTAACAAGTGATTTTCTCATTGCGGATAGAATGTTTATTATTCGTCATACTCAATGGCGAACCATTTTAATCATTTTGACTAAGCCAGAGAATGATTATTTGATCAGGTTATATTATCTGTAATTACGTGTAATTACATTGATGTGAGCGGTCTTGTGAATGACATTGCAAAAGTAGCTTACGGTGAAATAATAGCCCTAGCAAGACCAGCTTCTTTTGCTGCTTTTGAAAGCCAAGCCTCTAGTTGTGAATCCAGAGTTGATTCTGAAAAAAAATTGTGACTAATTAATTAAATTGAAATTGAGAAATGTTTATTGAGAACAACACATAACAAAGTAATATCTTGAATGGACAAATCTTTCACTGAGAATTTCACGTATAGGCTTCCATGGCACTACCTATGATGTGATGAGGCCCTTACTAAGGAGCTTTGACAATTGGCATCGACTACTTCAACCCCGTGTTGAGCCCCTATACTCCCAACCGTGAACATTTGACAATATTTGCCAAGTTACCTTATTAAGCAAAAATAACGCGGTACATCAGTATTACCCCCTCCAAATCTATCCTAAACTCTTGTGAACTAATGTAAACATTTAAGGTCCCTTCCCACTTAGTAAATGTTGTCATCAATTGTGAACTCTCCCTAATGTGGTCAAAAATTGCTTTTCTTTCTTCGTAAATTTTTACTCTCTCTTTTTCAATCATTATCATCTTCTGTCTACGCTGTATCGCTTCCAAAAACAGATACAGGGAAATATATTTTGCACCAAGCTCTATAACCGGGTAGGTACTTGATACATGATTCAAAACAAAACCTCTAAGCGAGATTACTACACACCAAAACGTTTATCGGAAACTTCACAAAATGATGACAAACGACAAACAAGGAAAAATGCTGACAAGGAAAATGATGAGAAGGAAAAATACTGACAAAGAAAGAGAAAGCCAACATCTAAGAAAATTAGAGAATTTCGCAGAATAAGTAGACTTGTCACAACATATAACATAATCAAACAAATGATTACTTTTTATTATTATTATTGTTATTATTATTATAAAATTATTTACAGTAGGCGAAGCAATTTTTTTTAGCTAATATAACAGCTAATTAAAGCCTACTATTTAAACTAAATTTACAAATCTTAGATTAATTACAATGAATGGATAAAACGATGTAGGAAATGTACAAAATCAAAAGGATGACTCGTTAGATAAAAATATACAATTATTCGATGACTATTTCAAGAATCCAATCTGCGCAACGTAAGGTTTGCATAGTCTGCAGTTGCATTTTGTATCTTTCCAAGTTTTAATCTTTTTCTTAAATATTGCGAGGCTAGAAGATGTTTTAATGTCATTTGTAAGCTTTTGCCAGAGCTTGGATCCCATAAAGGTTGTACTTTCTATACCATAAAAATTTGGTTTTGGTTTTGACAGCGATATTCGGGATATGTTTCTAAGATTATAGCATGTATTTCTTTCAGAAAAGATTTCTTTCATGAAACTTGGGTTGAGATTATATAAAGTTTTATGTATTTCTGTAAGAAGCAATTGCAGATTTTTATCATAGATAGACGTCGAGTTGTCTTTTCGAGACGAGTTTGAAAGCTTGATTCATAGTCATCATAGGCAAGATGCAAAGACTTTTCATGAATTCTGTTAGTTCTGTTGTTCATCTGTCGATCACTAAACATCCAAATTAAAGGGCAGTAGCTAAATTGTGATAAAATTAAGACGTGCATAGTCTGTTTTACTTTTCTATCATCCATGTAATTGGAGATTCGGGATAAAGCATGTAGCTTGTGGCTGGCCTTTTTGCATATCGATTGTACGTGTCTTTTGAACGACAAATTATTATCAATACTTATTCCAAGAAGTTTTTGTTCTTTACTTGGTTTAATAATTGTTTTATCTATTTTCAGAGATGTTTCACTGCTCCCAAAATTTATAAGGTGGCACTTGTCCCCATTCATTTTCATATAATTATTTTAAAACCATTCTCACAAAATAACTACGTTTTGTTCTAGTATTTTAATAGCCTGCTTAATGTCTTGGTGGATGACATATAGCGTTGCGTTATCAGCATAATTGAATATTTGGCTATTTGATATAAACATAAACATGTCATTTATGTATATATTGAACAAGAGAGGTCCCAAAACTGATCCTTGTGGCACACCTAGACTCGTGGTTTTCCATAAACTGAAAGAGCCGTTTATTTTGACTCTCTGTTTCCTCTGGCTAAGGTACGATAATGTGAAATTCAAGGCGCTGCTACTAAAACCATAAGCATTGAGTTTAGCAATCATTAGGTCATGATTCAGACAGTCGAATGCTTTTGACAGATCCATCAATAGTGTACTGGCTGTTTGTTTAGTATCTAGAGCTTTTTAGCAATTTTCTATGAGTCTGAGTAATTTATGTTGGGTGCTATAATTCCTTCTGAAACCATATAGCAGTGGTGATAGAAAACCATGAGCGAAGGGAGTAATTTGTGATTCCATGATTCTCTCATATATTTTTGATGCTGACAGTAAGGTAATAATTGGTCTAAAATCTTTCTTACTGGATTTATCATCTTTTTTATGCAACGATGAGTTGTCTCCTAATTTGAGTTCTTTTGGACATGTCATATTAGATAGGTCCTCATAAAATGTTCTTTGTAAAATTTCAGAGAAAATGTCTGAATATTCTTTAAATATCCTAGCAGGTATACTTTCTATTGGTGAGGCCTTTCTGGTATTAAGTTTGTTTCTCTGATCCCAAATTTCCCCACTGTTAACTTCCCTAAATTCAAAGGGCTGTGGGTCAGGGTACATTTCTCTTATTTTTATGATACTTGGGTGGTTTTTATATTTCTCAATGGCTTTATCAATTGGGTCATTTATACCATCTGTAACTGATATGTGAGCTATATCTTGTTGGATTCCTAGATCTTGTGTTATGTTTATAAAGTAGTTGTTTAATAATTCTGCAATCTTGCGGTCATCACTAATTAATTCTCCATTTTCTTCCAATGTAATGAAGGGTGTTGTTTTTATCTTTTCTGCAAAGACCGGTTTGATCACTCTCCAGAATTTGCGATTATCTGTAAGATTATTTAAGTCTAGGTTCCTAAAATAACTGCTTTTAGCATTACGTAATAACTTGACACATTTGTTCCTTTGCCGTTTATATGCTTTATGATTTTCCTCATTTTTGTTATTAGTATATCTATTTTTCAATTCGCTACGATGCATTATTGCCTTACGTAATTCTTTCGTCATAAATGGCCTGTCGTTTGCACGAACATGCTTTCTCTTACTGGGGGCATGTTTATTAAGAAGACTTTTGACTGAGATATCAACACTTCCGTAGTCTCTAAAGCTTAGTATTTGATGATTCAAAATTTCAGATCTAAGGCTCGGAATATTGAATTTTTCGTAGCCTCTATATGTAAGTATTTTAGGACCTCTCTTGGTGAAATCACCGTTGAGTATGCTCAGTATCATTACGTGGAAGTCAGACAACCCTGTTTCAACATTAGTCGTGTTTTGAAAGGGACTTAAACAGTTTGTCAGTATCAATCTATACATCGTGGGTTGTCTAACTTGTGACAGGTTGGATTCTTGATCAAGTTAACTAATTTAAAAGTGTACATGAAATACTTACAATTACTTGAGAATCCTGGCTATTTTTCAGCGAACTTTCATTGAAAAATAGCATCAAAAATACTTGTGATAAGATTCTTTTTGGAAAGATTCAAGCAAAAGAGAAATTACAGCTACTGAATTAGTGAGAAGAAGCTCTGCTTATTTTGAAACTGTGAAAAAACAAAATGCTCTAGATTCTGAAGAAGTGCATTCAGAAGAGGAGCAACCAATGTAAGGTAAACCTAACTTTAAAAACAAACAAGTTAACTAACATTTTGCCCAAACATGAACGGCGTCCGGTAACAACATATTTTACTTGCAACATGTTTTCTTATGGTAACAAAATTGAAAACGACTAATGACACCTTCCACTTATAAATACAGGGATATAGATCCATCAGGTTCTTAGAGACTTATTCAACTTGCTTATATAAAAATTGGCAAATAAATTGATCATCTCTAATATTCCCCCTTCTATCGACAGCAGAAAACTTAATGTACAAAAATCTACAATCATTTGTATGATCTTTCAATGATGGAGGGCTCTGACATCACTGACCTACAAAAAAGACTGGATCGAGCTTTCTATTGTCTTGGAACATGAAGGCTTGAAGCCCGCTCAATTTCAAAAGGAAGAAGGCCTAAAACAGAGGCGAGAAGCCATTTCTTCAAAACGAATCCTCGAATGACATGGATAGGCGTTCAAGAAAAAGGCTAAAGCAGGTGAAAATATTGCTTGGTTTGAAAGGAAGGCCCTCTCCTCTGATGGGCTGTTCTGGGATCCTCTTCTCGAATGGCGACACTCTTGTCACAGTAGCAGCTCGATCAAGTCTCCTTTATAGTCAGTGACTGACATAGACCACAAGAACTTACTATCTGCATTGTACCAAGTTCCTGCATGTGTCGCTACCCGCTTTGACATACTGAAAGCTCTTAAGACGGTAGACTTCAATATTAGCACTTCCTAAAACAATGAACATATACATTTGAACAATGAACATATACAAAGCAACTGAAGCATTAAAGTGCTGTGTAGCTTATAAAAAGGAAGTTATAAGAAAAAAGTCTCTGGTTTCCTGAATATTTCCAGTCAGGTATATGATGCATTTGCAGACAGCCCTAAGGAAGCAGTCTGTGATTAAGTTTCTTTTCAGTCTCTAAACATTAAATTTATTTTTCGAAATTCCTTTTTCGTGATAAATGTGACTGTCAGTTTGCAAAATATCTTGAAGATCAGCCAGAAAAGCGGAAACAAAGCATTTTTCCTGGTAAAACAAACGTCACATAGTGGCTAAAGAGAAGCAGAAATTTATAACCAGATGCGTATCGAAAAAAAGTGGAGACAAGAATAACAATAAACAGGCGGGAATTATCAAGACCTTAAAGGGCACTGCATTGGAGGAGTTAGTGATGCTATGCCTGCAGATGTATTTAGAAGGAAAATGGCCGGAGGATTTCTGTCAAAAGCGTGATGGTGTCGCTACAGAAGAAACCAGCTGCCAAGAAATGTGAAGATCACAGAACGATCGGCTTGATATCTCATGCATCAAAGATGACAAACAAAAACGGAGTAATGGAAACCGGGCCTAATGGAAACGAATTAAAGAGTTAAAATGCCTCCGGAAATGGCATCAATATAACCCAGAGAAAAGAAATTAAAAATTACTTTAAAGAAAATTAACAAGAAATGAAAAAAAACAAAAGAGAACAAGAATCGTAATTCAAAACGTGGAACAGCGCGTGCGATAGAAAGCATGTCTCGGGAGTTTTAGGCGTGAGTGGAGGGCGTGCACGTGCGATCGCACGCCTAATATTATCAGGACCGCATCTCAGTCTTCTTCATAGCTGAAATTTTTCAGAAATTTATAGAAAGTTGTTTCGTATCAAAAAAGACTTGAATATAGATGTAAGAGAAATAAATATACATATATATCTAACATGAGAAATAATTAAGTATAAATACATGTATACATATTTTACAATGTTTTTTCAGCATTTTTGGCAATTACAATACAATACATTATCTGTTCAAGAACCTCAACTGAGCCACGAAAGGTCTACACAGTCTACAGTTACATTCCTCTCCTTTCCAGGCCTTCCAGGGAAAGGCATGCGATCACACTTGCACGCGCTGGTACACGCCTCCCTAAACCGAGGCAGAGGCGTACTGGCAGCAAATCTCTCGGGTTGCTATTGAACGAATTAAATATGTTCATTTGGCTAATGAGCAAAGAGGATTACTACATAACAAAACTTCTAGCAAAATTCTTCAAGAAGTCCTTTGAGAAAAGGTCGAAATTCCTAAGCGACCCCAGCATTTAAGCGTTTAATATTTTTATACAATTATTATACCTTAATTATTGAATTTCGTTCATTATAGAGCCTGCATAACTTTGTAGTTAAATTATTAGTTTCTTTATTGTTCGTAGCTTTAAAAAAAATTCACTTTTATCGCTGTAAAATTGTAAGCAGTTAAGGACCATCCCGGCCTAGATACCTGTATTTAAAAAAAAATAGCTATATACAGAAAAGGGTCCGTACTACGTATAATGTAAGCAACAGGGGCGTTGTGGCTCCTAGGAAAGGGCCGGAAGAAAATTATCATAAGGGGGCCCACTCTTGTGTATGATATCTCCAATCACAAACCTTAGTCGCCAAAAATGATATGTACCTGGAAACCATGCACCTATGAAATATAAAAAAGATACCAGTTTTTATCATTTTGAAAGGTTCATCTGCTATATTTGTTGGGGTGTAGCCCCTTATTTCTACCCATAGTTACTTTAAGACTGCGAAAAATGAGGAAGAAAGCCAATGCTGTAGTGCACAGTTGATACTAACCAAAATGGAAAGGAAGACCTATATACACTGCGAGCGAAGCGAGCGGAAAATTTGCTTCGGCCACGCCCTTTAAATTAGCTTGAAACACGTTTTCGAATGTTTTTTACAATCGTTTACCTCGTTTCATAAATTTTTAGGCATACTTTGTTGTGTTTCGTTAAAATTCAGTCCTTAAATTGGAATTCCTTGCTTTAAGATGACCCCTAAACCTCCAGGCCCTGGGACAGTTTGCCCCTCCTTGTCCCCCTCTCGTCGGAAGCCCTGTTCATATTCCACTCATCTCTTTCACAGTTGCCTGTTTGTAAATGTTTACCTCCTCTAATTCTGAACTGTGAACCTGAGTATAAATGTAAGTGAGGCATTTTCTCACCAAAGATTTTGTTCATATTAGATATTTTCCTGGGTTTTACAAACTCACTTGAAAGGGGCCCACCGAGAAATTTCCCGGTGTCCCGCCTAGCCACAACGCCCCTGGTAAGCAATACTGAAATGTTTTCTTCCTAAGGATTTATCTTCATTTCTGTGACTTGTATTCTCTTGAACATAGATATCTTTAAAATTAACAGAGTTATTTTCTCGAATTTATCTACGGAGGGCCCGGTTATTATGAAGTTGAGAGGGCCCGGGTTGCGATCGCAACCTAGCATCCCTGCCAGTCCGCCACTGCACCGAGGAGTGTGTTTAATCGCACGCCTATTTTTGTAATAATTTGTTTGTTTTTTAACCAAAGCGCTGGAAACTAATAAGGTGACAAAAAACAATATTAAATTGTTTCGTGTTTTTTATTTTGATGTGTTTTACCGGTCTTGTCCAACGTACTGGGTCACCGTAATCATTTTGAAGGGCTGTTGTGACGACACTTGAGAGCAATGAAACACGGACCAAATGACTGTAGCATTGGGCTAGTAGTAGTCCGATAAATTTCATTCCTACATCTAAGGCTGCAGAAACCATCATTATACGACAATTTACAATCGTCTTCTAGCCAAGTGTTGAGAGAACCAACTCGCATTTTTTATCATAGACCTTTGTTAGCATGCACATGTTTCTTAACTACCATTTTCGAATGGTTAACTAAGTTACATTAAAAAAAATCTTCCAGTTTAGATCTGTGCCATATTTATTCTGTTCGTAAATTTGGCATCTTCAGCAAAAAAGTAAAAGGGTCACAAAGGAGCTCGCCATATTAATGAAACGGTGACATTTTAGGCTATACTATTTAACCCCACAATAATAAGCAATATGTAAACAATATTGCAAGTTGGGTGCAAAATACCTGATCATTAGGCATCCATCATTCATAAAGGGCTACAGTTTTGATTTGAAAGACTTTGCCAAAGGAAATATGGCACATTTGTCTGACAAGAATGTCCTGTTCTTCCACAAATTATTCAGTGTTGTATCGTTTTCATATGAAAACGGAAAAATTTGGAAAGCGGCAGGTTGTGACAAAGGCATGAAGTTTTCAAGGGTTACACTTGGAAGCAGGATGATAGTACTCTGGATTCAAAAAGAGGGAAATCTGCAATAGTATTGTTCTGAAACATTGTCAATGGTGTCAGTTCTAAATTGTGCCGTTTTCAAAACTTTTTTTATATTCCTTTTGATGAGACATGTTTGAAAGTTGCGGCCAAAATATTAACATTTTTCAAGGGTTTCATGAAGTCTACCAGAATGGTTGGTGGCAAGAAGGATTGCTGGGAACTGCATCTAATATATTTTCAGTATCAAATTTAGTAAAGATCCCTGGCCATAGATATTCATTGTTAAAGTTGTGAGAAAATTGAAGAAATGACTTAATAAACACCGATAGCACTCCATCACACACCTGAAACAGTCAAGGGGTGTGAAATGCCACACTTGTGCTAATTTATTCTCAGTAAAGCCTGCCTTTCCAAGATTTTATTCTCTCTATTTAAACCTGGAGAGGGTATCTGATTGTTTCATGTCATTGGGAAGTGCCTGCCACAATCTACTCCCTAGAAACGATATCGTCTCTAAACTATAGCACATATTGTGCGCTTGTGACAGTAGTAGATTGTGGCAGCTTCTCAATCTATATGTACTATGATTTTTTCAATAAAGATATCATTCATGAAAGTAGGATTGAGCTTCCATTTTGTTTTATAGATTTCAATCATCAACAGTTGTAAATTCCTAATGTGGATTGGGACCGCATTGTGTCTCTGAGTAACATTGTGTCAAAATCTGATTTGATATCTTTGTAAGTTATCTGCAATGCCCGTTCGTGAATGTGATCAACTTTACTATGAAGTGTTCTATCGCAGAACATCTAAACAAGACAACAGTAGTTGAACTGGGACAAGATAGATGCCTTCATTATTCTCTTTAATTGTTCAGTATCAAGAAAGTGAGAGATTCTCGAGAGAGCGTGTAGCTTTTGCCCAGCCTTTTTGCAAATGGATCTCAATTGCTTTTTAAATCACTCCAAGCAGCTTTTCTTCCATGCTCTCTTTTATCCTGACACTTGCGATATCTAAAGAAATATCATTACTTTTACTCCCAAAGACCATTAGACGGAATTTGTCCTCATTCAACTTCATACAGTTGTTCAGAAACCATTCTGCAATTTTAAGGACATCACTTTCTAATGTTCCAATGATACTATCAATAAGTATACTGTTGTCACAAGCATAGATAGTTGTATCAATTACTCTGTGCCGAAAATTTCATGTTGTCGTAGTGAAATTTTTTCACTACAGCACCAAATCCCCGTCAAATCTAAAGAAATATATAAATATTCAAAACGAAGTAACTTGCAACTGAACGGTCCAGACAGCATGAAGTTCTCAGTATAAAATAATTTCAAGATCATGATTTCAAATCTGAAGTCCATTTCTGAGAAAGGTCTGTAGATAGCAAGATAAAAAATCAATGATATCAACCCGAAACAGTGAATTGGATAGAAACTTGACTTCAAACTTTTCCTCTTCCACATACTTGCCATATTGTTATGTGCCTGTGAGGTTTGCTACTAGATCTAGAGAGGTAGGATGTGTTGTGTGGTCGACCAAGTTGATGAATTATTTGTTAAAAAACCGACTCGGAAAAGGATGATCACTGGAAGCTAGTTTCTTTTCTTGTATAAACTTGTTATTAAATAATCTGTGTGTCTGATTTTGATATAAATTCAAATTATAACTGTAAGTTAAAATTAACTAAAATATTTTTAATTGGCATATCAACAATGAAGTTGGATCCTTGGAAATTCGCACATCTGCTTTTCGGGCAATAGACAAAAGGTAATAGCAATAGGCCTTGAATGAATAGCAAGAAAATGATTCAGCAGTAAGTCAATATGCCTTGAAAAATCCTTTTCTTACCTCAACAAAAAATGTTTCTTTACCCTGCTTTAAAGCTTTATTATTCAAGCTTTTCAGAAAGCGATCTCCGGCTATTGTTTTTATTAGGAACGAGGCCTTTTGTGAAAGAGACAACCACTACACTACAACCACAACTTACAACTTGCAACGAAGGAGTCGATAATCGGAATGACCAGAAAAAAGTACTTCATTCAGGTGAAATTTAAATGAAAAATGCCAAGTTTTAAAGATTGATCTTATTTTAATTTTATTTTGACGTCCATTTTATTTCCATTTTCACAAGGACTACTACTAGCCTAGTACTACAAGAAATTCTGATCTTTTCTCCCTGAGTCCCCGTGGGCTGTGATGTGAAGACATTTCGAAAATAAGCGCCGCGCAAATCCCTTGAAAAGCCCTTTTTGATTGTTTTGACACATGAGATTAAAACCATCCTGGTATAAGAGTTTGGCATACAATATTGTTTGCTTATCGTTTTGTAAACATTTCAGTAACAACTTGATCTTAATTGCCCCTGCCCAGTTATCTCCATGTGTCTAGGAAAAAAGGATTTTGTGTCAAAAACTGGCGAAAATTTATTTTGAAAATATTCAATAGAACCTTTTTGGATGGGGCTAAATCATCAAAAAAGAATTGAAAACCTTTGCAGTTTTATATTGTTGCAATCTCTCTTTCATGGGGAGGCAATTTATATATTTGAATTCTTTATTCCTTATATGATCTGTTATTCAGATTCAAACAAAACCTGATGCATTTATTTTTAGCTGCCTGAGTTGTTTTGGTTTATCTTTTGTTTAAGAATGGAAACCAAGCACTGCTTGCAGAATTTGAGAAAATGATGCTTTCTGTAAAGAAATCTGAGCCTGCCCTTGATTTTACCAACGATTCTGGTAGCCATTGGTTTGCCAGACAGTCCTCCGCAAGAATTATTCTTGATGTCATGTCTCCTCTCCTGACGTCCTTTTTTCTGTTTGTATGTTTATTTTACTGCCAAAATGTATGCTTTTGTTGTCCTCTCCAAAATGAATGCTTGGTTTCTTATAAACAAACCAATCACAAAGATAATCCAAGTTGCTTTTTAATTGTTTTTTTATTTCATTGACGTTATTGTTCCCAAATACAAGACAGGAGTGATGTGCATACAGAAGTAAGTCACAATCCACTGCCAGTTGCATATCATTTACATCTAAAAAAATTTCACAAGGTCATGAGGTGTCTTTTCTTATGTTTACAACAAAAGTTGTGTTTGTTCCTTATAATGAAAGCCAAAAGTATTCTGAGTCAACAAAGCCAAGGTGCTTCATTCCTCAAAGGAAAATTTTGTGGACGATTGTGTCAAACGCTTTTTGTAGATCTACTAATATCATGGCAGTAAACATACTATCTTCAGATCAGGCCTTGCTCTCAGCCAAATGAAGATAGACACTTTCTAGCCCTTAAAAACTCTAGACACTTTATTTCGCACCTCTAAATAAAATTTCCTTGAGAGCATTCTTCAAGAGCTTTTGGAAGATCGAGAGCTTCATTCTACTGAAATGGTGAAAATAATAGACAATTAGATAAATTATGCCCCAATTAGTTAGTAAATAGATCAAATAAAATCAAGCAGTATATGAACATTTTGTTCTCCTTTTATTTTATATCTTGTTTTCTAAAATGATATAGAAAAGACATTCAAAAAAATTTTATCTCTGAAAAAATGAGCCCCACAGCCCCCCCTCCAGGCCCCTTTCTAGCAATTTCGATTCTAATTTTCATGAATGTTTTCTGAGAGCGAAAGTCTAGCTCCACAATGCAAGATGTCAGATTCCAATTTGCATCTGTATTCCATTTTGTATCATTTTGCATCAAAGCGGTATCGAATATGCTTTTTAGTCACCGGTTTTTTCGCATAAGGGAAACATATGGGCACCGTTTTTCACAGGTTTTCAGAAAACAATAACCACTGGTTTCAATATTGGCGCATAGATAGCATACTGTAAATTGTCACTGTGAGCGGCGACTAATTTCTCCGATTTTGAATTCCTTGGATACTTTTGGATAGAAGATGAAATAGGAAGCTGGGAACTCTGCTGGAATCTTTCCAACAAGGGAGTGCTGTTGTGTGGGGGTTCAATTTGGTAGTCAGTCGGGGAGAGATGCAGCAATTTTTGCAATTAAAATTTTAGATAAAATTCAAAATTTACAGAGAAAAATAATTCTCAGAATTTGACCGGTTTTTTGAAACCTGTGCAACCGGTCTGGATCCGCGCCTGGCTCGTAGTGATTTTGGAGTTCAAGTAATTTCAAGTAACCAAAGTTTTTTTCAGCAAAAGTTCTCTGCTTTAATTTTTCATTGAACGGATTTTGATGTTTTTATGATCCTGATTTTTGGCTCTAGTACTTTACCTTGTACAATAAATCATATGGTGATCAGATAAGTCTTGGTTGAGAACACCTTGCTGAAAAACTTTTAGAGCCCAATTATAAATTATATGATCTAATAGAGTTTCAGATTTTTCAGTTATGTATGTTGGTTCTTGGATCCTTTGCCCAAGTCTTTGAAGGGCCCAGAATTCTTTATAGCGCTTGATCCCATTAGAGTTACTCCTTTTACTGCCCATTCAAGTCTCCCAAGATAAAAATTTATTGATTATCAAACTTTTCTATTTTCAAAGAGGCTACATCAAGTTTTTTAAGAAAACCATTTGAGTAAGGTAGTCTGTAAATGATGCAAACTAGGACTGTTTTGGATTTTGGCAAAAATATATCCAAAAATATATGCTAGGAAAAAGTTGATTGACTATGAAGTCTTAGTGGCCGGTAGGCATCTTACTGTCACAAAATATGCTGCATGCGCTTTTTTCTTCTAGGTAAATGGCAATGTCATCATTCGCACACATATAGGCATTCATTGTGCTATGGAGCCATGTTTGTTTGATGAAACTGTTCAGGTCAGTACTTTGTTTGTGAGCTACCATATAAATTTTCATATAAAAATAAAGAGAGAACGACAAATTAGAATGAAAAATAATTCCATTTTTTGGTAATCCAAGAAGATTCTTTAAGATAAGATAGATTAAAGGATTATATAATTGAATGTGTTTATAATATTTCATTTGAAACTTCAACGTCACTCACAATCCTTGAGAAAGAAGGTATTTCAGAAATATCAGGAGATATTCACATGTCACTATCACATTTTTTTGCACAATCTGGGTTTTTGAGTAAATGCTTTGGATAGCAGAATCGCATGTTTTAGTTGTGGTTTTTTTATCTGAAAAAATGAGGTGACTGTTCTCTTTGGGGGAGTTTGTGGTTTCAAATGCTGGAATGGACATGCTCTTTTATTCTATCCTCGAACCCTTTTGCAAAAACTATGATGGAGAGCAGCATTTGATTGGGCAACCACAACAGACATGTGCTTGCAACTCTGATTGGCCTTTTTTCGATCCGCAACTGGATATATAGCTAAAGTATGTTCTAAAATGTATGCTTGTTTCAAAACCATTTTTGAATTCTGTACCACAAAATAATTGTTTGCAAATTTTTCTGGTCTTGACAGAGGTGGACATGGAATCTATATTATTGTTAACTTAAAACTTGTCAATATAATTCCTTTTTGAGTTTCATCTATTTCAATTGTGTATATCATTCACATTTTAGAATCAATATTGCCTCATTAATTCCACTGCCCATCTCCTCAGGTCATTCTCCAGTCTATAGAGAGCATTGTTTACAATCGTGTCCAGGAAGTGAAGACAGGTGTAGATGCGAAAAAATGGATCTTTCAATTTGGATGCACCAAAAGTAGGATCCTCGCTTATGGACATTTGAAGTCATCTTTTCCTGATATCTTGTTTATAGGCTCAACCAGCTTACAAATAGTTTCTACCAACATTTGCAATTAAGTAGCTTTTAAAACCTGTCCACATCAGATCTCTTAAAGATCTGTTAACGTAAGTCGTTAGTAAGACCTGTAAAAGTGAGCTATTATCAAGACCAATGGAAGTAAGCCTTTAGGACCCGTAGATGTGAGCAATTATTAATCCAGTTGAGAAGAACCTTCTTTAAGACCTTTCGAATCGAGCGAACATTAAGACCTGTTAAGATCTCCAAATATTCCTTTCTTGAAACTTTTTAATCAAGCACTTCAAGACTTTCATTCAAGTGCTTATGATCTTGGAATATCTAAGAAAGCTATTTACAAATATAAAGTTATTGTCAAATATTTGAAAAGCAGAAAATTTATAGGAACTATAATATCAAGATATCTTTGAATGTTGCTTTACTTTCTGCAATTATTGAATTTTTAACTCATTATAAAATCTCGTGCATAGCTTCGCATATCAATAGTCGATTTCTAATAACTGACACTGAAATACTTGTAACGATTTCTATTTCTTAAAGGAGATGAAATGCTTATATCTTATGCATTTCGACGCAGTCCAACTAAAAATTCCATCTTGATGAAGAATGATAAAACGGTATTTTGTCTTGTGGCTTTGCTATTTTGTGTTGCTATTTTTCTTTATAGTGGTTGTCTCGTACTAAAGACAACATGTTTTGCTCAATGCAATACACACACCTGGTCCAAAGAGTTAATGTTTTAAGATAAAACAAGCTGTAAGGATGTTTTAATTATTAACAATTTACTTAACTGAGGGCATGAATATTTGTTATTTAGAATTTCGTTGTGGCCGACTATGCGTTCTAATGTAATATTTTTTCAATTCTCAGCCTGGAGAAAAGAAACCATCACTGGAAGGTATACTTATTCATTTTTGCTTTGTTTCACTGTCAGTTCATGAATATTTGAGGGTCTGTCTACATGGGCCTATTTTTCAATTTTTTGCTGGCTGCAAATCCAAAGCAATTTATTGTTTGGTTTTGTAAATTTTGTTTCCTATCATTTTCTTCCACATTGTGGGTTGGCACGTGAAAATCGACACCTTTGTCATTTTTTGGCCAGGGCAGGAAGGTGGCTGTTTCGACAAAATCTTAATTTGCTTCTGTGCACGGAGAAGAAACTGGATTTCTAACCAGTGTTTATAGGAAACCAACGTTTTTTGGCCCAATACATTGGTTGGAATTCCCTTAACAGAAAAGTTGGTCTCGTTGAAACCCTAGCTTACAGAGCACTGATGAGTTGCTCCAAAACTAAGTTGGGACAAAATCAAAGAAATTCTTCTGGAGAATGACTACCAAGAAGATTCCATTCATTAACAATGAAATAGAGGATCATATACACACTTAATGATAACAAGTAAGACCAATGATGGTATGAGAGTACAATCCCCTCACGAAAGTACCCGGACAGTTCGAAGATCGATTGCACTTTCAGTTAAAAACAAATTTAGGGTGGCAATAATTTTTTTAGAAACCCTTCCAAAGTAAACCAGAGCATTAGAATGCTGCAAAACTTCTGCGCTTTTTATCCGTTATCATTTTTTGTTAAAATTCGAAACCTTTGCGCTACAAGCCTTACGCAAATCAACTGATGTCAAATAAGCGGAGAACATTAAAGTCAGGTGACTTGAATTTTTTTACAAACTGGTTCTTGAGACACAGATATTTTCAAATAAAGAGAAACCCGACGTTTTTACTGTCAGTTGGGAAAAATGCTTGCATGACCGATCATAAAACATGGATGACATTTGATAACATTTAACATGATCAAAAACTTTCTTGCAAAGCAGACATATCATTCAGTGCATGGCCATTAAAGCCATTTAATTTCTTTACTGCTGCAAGTCCTGCTGAAATCGGTTGGTACGATTCAGAATTTCATACATTCACAATTTTTTATCATTATCCTTTCAATATTTATCGTCAGCTTTTGAAAATTGTTTGTGGACATTTAATGCAATTTTGCGCAATGATGCAAGCCAGTTTTGATGCAAATTTGATTAGGGCGGAACGCTCAGACGTTGGTGTCGCGAGAGCTCTTGATACTTTTTGTTTTCAAATTTTTTTGCATATCTTGAAAGCGGTAATCTTTGTGCATCCAATGATACTAGCAATTTAATGATAGCTTCTTCCCATCATTGTGATAAAACATTATTTCTAGACACTGCTCAGAAGTCAATTCTTTTCTTTTGGTCGTTACCTTGCTGAGGAAAAACCCGCAGAGTTTGCTTACATCGCGCTAAGATTATTATTTGGGACGAATAAATAGATCAAAGGCCAAAAAAACGTGTAGAAAAAGTTCGAGGAAGTTGATTAAAAAGTTTTCATGAAAGCTGACTTTGAAATTTGTAAACAAATTTCTCTAACAACAGATTCACATCTGAATTCGAAACTGTCCGGATACTTTCGTGAGGGGAGTGTATAAGGAAATTAAGTTTGCGGAAACTAATATTTCTGGAGTTCACGTTTTTGGGTGAATCCATGAGCATCTTTTTGCGAAAAGCCAATTTTAAGGAAATCTGCAAAAATGAGCTGCAGCTTCTATTGAACTCTTCATAACAATAATTTCAGCACGTAAAATGTCCTCTAATCTATAAAATTTTATAAGAATTGAAGGGCAAATATAGCTGGAAGGCCGCCGAGAGGTTTCAGAGGCTCTGGGGCAAAATGGGAAAACGATGCCCCTGAAAAATTTTGCGACCACACCCTTCAGATTAGCTTAAAATGCATCTCAGAAAACTTCTTGCAGTTATTTCTTGCAGTCATTTCTTATAGTCGTTAGCTTGCTCCTTATAGCAAGTTATTTGCAATACACCCTTTTTTATACGAACCAGTGAATTCGAGTTCAAGGTTGACTGTTTTTTCAAAATATGAGGGTTCTTAATTTGTTCTTAAATTAATAGGTTGTAAGCAGTGCGATTGCTAGCGTTTTCGCTCAGGGAGGTGTTCAGGCCTTATTTCCCAACAAAGTGAGTGAGACAGCCTTTATTTGCCCACAGGTTTCAATATTCACCGAAAAAGAGCCCGACATATGGCTAAAAGTTTTTGAGATAAAACGTTGTTCAAAATTGCATTTTGCAGTAGCTCAGCCTCAGCTCGTTCTTAATTAGGTTGTAACTTTTGACCAATTTGAGGCTCGTGTTTTTATAAAAATTTTCTTATAAAAAAGAGTGTGTTACAAAAACGAAATTTGACCATGACCAATAAATTGAATGAATTATCGGTTGAAATTTGGTCAAACTTCCTATTTAATGCTAAGGTTCCCGCTGCGTGACCAACTTTCTTGAGGTCTGCAAACAGACGTGACGCCCCCCCCCCCCTCCCCACGTCATCAAAGATACACCCATCCTACCATAGAATAGTAATTGCTGTGCTAACCATCTATGCTAATAGACCGGGCTACAGTGGCGGTAGGTACCACCTCAGGGCGGAGAAATTCAAATGGATATTTTCAGGTAGCTATGGGTCTGGTTACTTGGAAAAGTGATGGTGAACGGGAAATTGTTGGGGTTTAAGGGGTAAATACAGGGGTTAAAGTTCGTCATATTAGCATATTACCTCTGCGGAGGAGCCAGTGTTTTGTTTACGACTTCAGAGCATGGCAAGTGCTTGTTATCATAAAAAAATGATCTAGAGGGTGTCTTTTAGAGCCTCTTCTTCAAATTCCGACATATTGTTACAAAAGAGTAGTCATGTGACCATTTTTTACACCTTACCATATTTGGAAGGTGAGCTTATTTAACAGAATACCTTTGTTCTTTTTTTTGTACCACGTATTCTTTTGTTTGATACTCTTAAATGTTAGAAGATGCAAGTTAAGGCAAAAATACCTGCATTTGTCATTGTTTGTCCATTGTAGGTTTCATTTTCACTTTCTTTATCATCTCTGAAGGTCACGTCTTCTTCAAGATCCAGGAACAAGTCAGTCAGTTCGTCTGGAAATGCTTGTCGTTGCCAGTCTATAGTCAGGTTCCCTTTCCAGCCAAAAGTAGAAAGATCTGTTAAATTTATGGACCTTTCACCCGATGACTTCCAAATCTTTGCAATGATGTTTGATCGCAATATGTGTAGCCTCAGTGATGATTGACATGGAGGCAAGAGTGAAAAGTCTATGGCTTTACCTTGTCTTACATACTTCTTGCCAAATAATTTTTTCCTCACATCATTGACATTTTTTTGCCGGTATCCATATAAATGGCAAACAAATCTTCAAGGTTAACAAATATTTGCTCATCAAGTTCCCAAACCTGCCCAAGTAGCGAAAATGTGTTAACAAATCTGTTGTTCTTCTGGACAACCTCCCAAAATTCTGATTTCCCTTTGCGGAAAAAAGATGACACATGAATGCATGAAAGCCTATCAGGCACTTCTTCAAACCATCTTCCATCTCAAGATCAGACAAAAATAGTCCTTTTCTATTCAAACCAACTCCAAAATCGAGATATACTTGACTTTGCTCTTTAATAATACTAAATAAAATTACCAAGATGTCGATGTCTGAGGATGGAGAGCGTACAACAACTTTTTTCGATGGATGCCGAGTTAAAGCGTTTCTTTTTCCTTGTAAACTCTTTGTAGCAGATTTCATGCTATTAAAATTCTTTAGCTATGAGATCAAAATCTTTAATTTCATAATAAATGTTCTGATCGATGTTGGCTTCAGCAGCTTCTTTTTACGTTAGTTCGGCCTACTTCGTCGTGATCGTTATTGGTGCATGATGTTTCTGTTGCCTCTTTACCCGGTACCTTTGGCAAAAATTACACAGCTGGGGTTAAACATATGGTCTCTGAGTAGCTGCAGTCTTTAGTCTTTGTGGACGCTGAATAGCTTCAGTGCTAGTTTCTGCGAGGAATTTCTCATGGGACAGGATCTTTGTAAATTTTTTTATAACAAGGTTCTAAGTGAACTCCGTGCTTATTTGGATCAACCTCGTCAGGAATGGAGCTGTATTGTTCTTCGTGGAGATTTTTGCCACCAAGTCGTAAACGAGTAGCCTTTGCAATTTTATCTTTATTGATGTCAGACAAATCTTTAATAATACTGTACAGACAATCTTTGCTCGGGTAATGAATAATACAGCTTAGGCCTTGCATGTTTAAAAATATAAATAAAACACGACCTCCTCAATACTTTAAAGGTACACAGAGTATCCAATTTTCAGAGTGAAAATAACAACTTACATACTGAAAATGACGCTTAGAGCAAAACAATTCTTTCTTGGTAATGATGCAAACAGGTCTTTTTGTTCTGCTACGTATTTCCGTGATTTCTTGAGTTCATTGCGTTACATATTTTTTGTTACTGTTTGTACAAATATTTTCAAAGCGATGAATTGCGAAAAAAGTTGCCCAGCATCTGAAGGAGATGTGGAGTCATCACGAAATAACCAAATGCGCATGAAATCAAACGGACCTAATAAATTATCATGTCTTCGCAACCATTATTCTACACATAGTTAAAACCAGTCATAAACTTAAAGTTATTCAGGGTATCTATCAACAACAGCTCGGTTGTAAAATAAGCTTGCTGATTTATACATTATTTTAACATTTAGGAGTATTAAACAAAAGAATTTTCGGGTACTCTGTTAGAAAAGGCTCACCTTCCAAATATGAAAAGGGGTAAAAATTGGTCACGTGACGACTCTAATTGTAGCGATATGTCGGAATTTAAAGAAGAGGCTCTAAAAGACTCCCTCTAGATCATTTTTTATGATAACAAGCACTTTCCATGCTCTGAAGTCGTAAACAAAACAGTGGCTCCTCCGCAGAGGTAATATGCTAATATGACGAACTTTAACCTCCGTATTTACCCCTTAAACCCCAACAATTTCCTGTTCACCATCACTTTTCCAAGTAACCTGACCAATAGCTACCTGAAAATATCCATTTGAATTTCTCCGCCCTGAGGTGGCACCTACCGCCACTGTAGCCTGGTCTATAAAGCAACCACGTCAGGTTTGCACGGCTAATAAGAGTATTTCACATTTCAAGGCGTTGCTTTGGTTTACTCGTATATTTGCACTTTGCCCGAGCTATCCGAGTTTTCGTTTTTCCCATCGAGCCAGAAATAAAAATCAGATTCATTTCTGTATTTATTGGAAGTATTTCCTCTTACTGAATAATGTGCAGTCTTCTGTTAGATGTTTAAAACTTTTGGATTTTATGGACAATTGTTTATGATATGTAATGTTATAACTTCGTATTCTTATAAAGGGAACAACGAGTGCACTATCGAAAACATATACGGTCCTGGGTCCTGTGTCATGGCTCCTGGGTCCTGGATCCCGGGTCCCGGGTCCTGGGCCCTGGGTCCTGCCTTAAAGCCCTGGGTCCTTGTTTTCCGGTATGCCCCGCTAAATATGATTCTGTTTTTAATCCTTTCCTCCAGGGGGCTTCTGGCAGTGCTTCGGCATCTTCTGTGAGCAGCTTGTTATTACTGCAACTGAACAAATTGTGAATTCTTGTAACTCTCCGGTTGGTACTCCATAACGGAAATATAATCTTCTTTTTATGATACCCATTTGCATCTCAAAATGTCGTCTTGTTAAATTAGATACTGGCTTTGAAAACAGCAAACATTTTACGACATACTAAAAGCTTTTTCGTCTGACACTCCTCAGAGCATAAAACGTCAGAATAAGGTTCCGAAAGAACACGATGTAAAATATATACCCAGTTGTGGATCGAAATAGGCCAGTCAGAAAAACGCAAGCACAACACCGGTTTGGTTGAACAATCACTGCCGCGAGCCTAAAGAAAAATTACCAATGGAGTCCAGGAGAGAAAACGAACTCTTTCTGTCTACACAATGGCGGCTTTTTCGTTTTTATGTAGATCAACTCCAAAACTGCTAGATGGAAGGACGACCGGGCTCTGCCAATTATCCGAAACATGTCGTCATTATAGAGTTTTGCACAATCTGGGTTGTCTAAAAGATGTTGACCAATGGCAGAATCACTTGTTTTAACAGTGTTTCTAGACCTACTAGATCGAGGAGGCTGTTCTCTTTGAGGGGCAGTTTTGTTTCGTATGTTGGAAGGAACATGCTGTTTTATCCTATCCCCCAATCTTTGGGTTGTGCGCCCTACGTAGCCAGAATCACACTGGCACGTAATTTCATAAATGACGGAGCTTTTTTGGTTGGTAGGAACGCAATCCTTTTGAATGGTTGGAAGGGCTCTCCTAGTGCTGTAAACAATCCGAGGATTGACAGCAAAGAAACATTTGGTTATGGCTTGCCTAATCTGACTCTCGAGTCGCAAGGAAGTGTTACCAATCCATGGTAGTTTCAAATAAACTGGGCACTCTTGCGGACCAAACTTTTGAACAGCCGAAAAACTTGCGACCTTCTCCTTAGTATAAGATAAAATTACGTCTTCTGGGTAGCCGTTGTCCAGGAAGATCGTTTTGAATTTTTCCAGTTCAGCGTGCAGTTTAGATTTCGAGCAGATCATGAGTGCCCTATGTACTAATGTTTTGACAAGGTTGACTTTGCGTTGTTTTGGGCAAAATGAATTCCAGCGTATGTACTGACCGGTAAAAGTAGGCTTGCGATATACACTGGTAAGAAATCCAGTGTTAGACTTTTCGACCAAAACATCTAAAAATGGCAAGGAATCATTTTCTTCCTTTTCAAACGTAAACTGGAGGGCTGGGTGTAGGCTATTTAGGTGTTTTAGAAAAATATCACACTCAGCCTCTGTTTTGAAAATGGTATATGTGTATCCACATACCGAAAATAGACACCTGGCTTTTGGTCGTAGTCGAACAAACGCTCTTCATGAAAGCCAACAAAGATATTGGCCAAGGCAGGTCCCAGAGGGCTACCCATAGCGACACCATCCTTTTGTTGGTACATTTCATTGTTAAAACCGAATTCAACTGAACGTGTTGCAGTTTCCATCAGTTCAATGAATACTTCCTCTGGGAATGGTGGGCTATTAAGCTCGCTCCGGTACAAAGCGTCGGCACATATTTTGATGGTCTCACTCAAAGGAACATTTGTGAAAAGACTACTAATGTCAAAAGAACACATGAAAGATGTTTCGTTTTCGATGTTCAAGTTTTGCATGAACTCAGCGAACGTAAAAGAATCCTTGATGCAATGTTTTGAATATTTTCGATCCACAACTGGGTATATATTTTCCATCGTGTTCTTTCGGAACCTTATTCTGACGTTTTTTGCTCTGAGGAGTGTCAGACGAAAAAGCTTTTAGTATGTCGTAAAATGTTTGCTGTTTTCAAAGCCATTTTTAAATTAGATACCTTAAACCCTACGCCAAATTTACTATTTTCTTGCTTTCTTTGCGAATCCCCTTATCATGTTCTGGTTTCTCTTTTTCGAATATGTTTATTCATTTGCCTAAACTGCTTATTGACTGCAGAATTTTTGCTCCCATTATTTTTCCAGTTCTTTATACCTCACTCCTGCCAGTTTCTCAACATACGTACAATATTTACTTTTTTGCCGTAGTTTTCCTTTTGCCTTTCTGAGAGCTAGCCTTTACTTATGGCCTTTTGCTATTTCCAGATGCAGAATATGTTCCTGAATGAATGCAATCCAAGCAAATACTTCTTTGGCTCTTCATTATCACTAACGATGTCTACAAAACGAAAAAAGGCAGCCTTCACAAAAATGTAAACACGATCAGTAGTTTTCCTTCCTTAATTACTTGACAATTGTTTAGCAAAGGACGATCAATTATGTCACAAATTGTACGACTTGTATATCTCGAATTCGAAAAGGTCCATCCATTAATGCGTATGTTATAAAAGTTAAAATGACCTGAAATCACCTGAAATCTGATCTCCTAGCACATAGCAATTTGATTCCCTATTTTAAAGGAATCAAACATCGCAAACTCGTTGGGCCTGAATAATCTTCATGTCACATCAGTTTACTTTATGAGAAATTTGTGACTCTACTCCTTTTTGTTGATCATCAACTGTATTTTCTCTTTTATTTCGATATTCATGGTTTCGTGTAGCAGAGCCAAGCACGACTATAATGTAACCCGAGAGCCTATGAGGCACTGCTTCGTAACCAACGGCTAAAGCTTGTTGTCCAAGATAGAGACATTCCGGGTAGATTCCATTTACAGACCTTTATCTACCGCCACACCCTATACAACATTGTATTGTCTGTTTGTAATATAGCTTACATATTGAAATGGAACTGGTGGAACTCAAATCTTAACATCGTTTGTCCAGGGTTTACAACAACCCCAGCCTATTCCATCGAACTTTGTCTCGTTCCTTTGATTTTCTTAGGAGGTTCAAATCCGCAATTGAGCAATCAGAGGAAGATAGAGATGTTTCCCAAAAGTTTCAAGGTAAAAAGCGTGAGACGAATACTGTTGAAAAAATGGCCAAACTGTGTGGACGTTTTTTATACGACACTCACTCTAAGGATAGTAATGCTAAATCGTGCGCATCAAAGACCGAACTTGATTGCCAATCATTTGCTACTGTCAACAAAAGTAAAAGACATTTGGAAGTGGATAACTCAGTGCCTTTGCAAGACTCCAAACGAACAAGGATGACCAAAAGCATTAAACCTCAATCAAAGGGGATGAGTGAATTTGAAGTTGTAGAAAAATCTAAAGAAATGATATTAATTGACAATTATGATGAAGTATCCTTTGAAAATATAAGGCAAGTTTATTTTTCTAAATTTATGCTGCATTTTGATAACTATTCCCCCATAGTATGACAAAATTTAAATTAACTTGAAGTACGAGCTTTAAGAAAGATTTTTCTAGCAGTTGTCATGAAACAATGTTTTAGTTCTAGACAATGGTAGTAACGACATATTTAAGGCAAGCTATCCTCATTACCCTTGAAGATACCCAAGAGATAATACACAGAACTGTATAACATCATATGTCTTCATCTGTGTTAACCTGAATTTACTAATTCTTTCTCGTTGATTGGAAATGTAATGCAACGGGCAGGATTGTTTTCAAATTGATAGCAGAAAAATGAATTCTTTGTTGTTGATAATTTATATAAAACTACTTTCACTTCACATTTCCATTTATGCGGCCTTTTGCGGTTTTATTCTCTTGGCATTTTTGTTGAACTTTCAACCCTCCACAATCTCTCTTACGGTTCTAATATGAATTTATTAGAGTTATTTCTCGGCAGTTCCTCTTTGGTCTATTTGTTTTAATCTGGTCATAAAAATTTCTGAAACTTTTAGTCTTTGTCTATTGCTTTGTCATCCTTAAAAAGGAAGGTTAGTCGTCGAAATCTATCATTTGGTACGGAAACTGTCTTGATTTTGTTTATCAAGACTGGATCACTGGAATTGCCTGACGAATTCGAAAAAAGTGCAAACGAGCAGAGGCTTTCAAGGTTGTATATAATATAATTTTTCAAATTTTCAGGCAATTCCCAAACAAAAGACTGCCTTTACTAAAACACCATCAAATCATTAATGTTGTCATTATTCTGTCTTGACAAACCTATGAAACAGAGCCTCAAGTTATCACTCTGTTTTGTTGTTTTAAAAGATTGCCCGAATTATTTTGTAGTTCTGTGACCGATATTACTACTACCCAGATTCGGTCTGTTGTGAGGTCTATGGAGCCAGATATCAGAAGTATTTTTGAAGGCACGGTAATGCTTGTGAAATTTATTAATCTGTTGTTCTAGAGTCGCTCTATTTCTATACGAATAATTCAGCTGTATGAAAGATTATTGACCTTCACTTCCCGATAAAATTAGGCTAAAATTGCCAAATACTGGGCTATTCACGACATTCTAATTTATTGTGGTGCTGTCTTGCATCTCTAGATTTTCTTGTGAAAACGTTTGAAACATTTCTTGCAGACGTATTCAGCGAGACATCAAGAATACAAAAAAGGAGGAGCAAGTCGAGGTATTTTAATCAAACCGCCTTTTCAGCTTAAATTTACTCATACTCCAACATGCCATGACCAATAGAATTCTTATTTTTTCTCTGACTCTAACACGTTATACCAAGTACCCAAATGAAATGAACGAAGAATGCACGAAGAATATTCAACATTCGATATCTCAAACTAGTAGAGGAAAGCAAAGTTTGTGCAGAATATCAAACATCGGCCTAAACAGGATAATTTTTAAGGGTTTTCTTTCGAATTTGGAAACATTTTCAGGGACCTGTGTTTTCGGACTGTCGCTGTATTAACTGATGAAGAAAGATTGACGAAATTTAGAAATCAGCCAATGAAAAGCACATCGACCTAATCTAGCGATGATTTTCGCCCCACAAGCTGCTTTGAAAAGGGCGCCCTGCTGGCAATGATGCCAACAGGATGCACATCATTTTACTGTGTTGAGTTTATGAGGATGCAAAGCCAAGGAAACATGTCTCTTTCTTTTTTATATATATTTATATATGTTATAAGCACTCCACCCGTATAAATGCTCCGTATGAAGATTATTTTTATTATGAAGAATTATGTGCGTGCACTATTGATAGCATTCTCTTCATTTGTAGCCAGACTTGTTTCAAATTCAAATTATCACCATTTTACTGAAGAGCAACAGGAATGCATCACGGACACATTAAGACAGATCTTTTGCTATAAACATACAAAGGTAATTCTACAGCTTTCAGAAATAAAGCTACATCTAGTGAAATTAAAGTATCAACAGATCACTTCAAGTTGGACATGTGTTCATTATTCCAGTATGTGACAAATGATATCAAATGGTTTAAAAACAAATCGTATTGCCTATTTTTATGTCTTTCTGCCATCGATCTTAAAAACATGCAGGATGATTCAAGAAAGGGTGCTGCCAAATCAGTGTTTTATGAGAAAAGTTGGAACTTAATCATTTATTTGAATTTTTTGCATTTATATTTGCTATTACAAGTGATGTCCTTTCCCTCATGAAACTGTTTGATTCTATGAATTTGTCAACAAAGTTATTGAATTTGCTCATAGTTGAATGCAATAGATCTTTGTGTTTCATACTTGAGACTAGAAGCTAGGAGTTTAATGTCTTTAAGTACAAGGATTTTCAAATTGTATGATATATCTTTGAAAGACTAGATTTGGCAGTTACTAGACAAAAAGTCTCTCATTAGCCTTAGCTGCATTCGCAAGAAACTAATTGTGGCATATTTCGGTCATTTCTTTTGCCCTAAGAAAAAGAGCCTTTGCAAGATATTTTTAAATTTTGAGCCTTAATATGTAATAAATTTTTAGTCTGATGTCTCCTGTCTATTATCAGAGCTACCAGATACGTTTGTTGCCTGGTTAAAAACTTGAGTGTGCTTACTGGCCATGACAAGTCTAAAGAGAACAAGATTTTATGAGTGTCTTTGACATGAAAGGAATATATGCATTGTAAGACTTCCTTACATCCTAGCTTACCTAATCCTATCACACAGTTCAATGGGTTTATATCTCTCGTTCTCGTTTCAGTATTTCGATTACATATTAAAAGTACTCGTTCCTGAAACCATGGTGATGGTAATTGGGGCTGTGAAGAATAATTGTAAACGTTCAGAGGTACTTGCTTTTAAGGCTTTTTATGCTGTTCTACTTTCTTTTTGCGTCACAAAGGTTTTGTAATGATATATGTATTGTAGTCTACTATATGTACGGTCTATTTTGCACATGAAAATAACGCAATGAATACATCAGCTGCTGCAAAAACTGCAATTGCCTCTGCTTAGCTAACAATGAGTCAGGCTTTGATTGAACAAGGACTAATAAGCTCTATCACTGCCCAATGAGTTCTATTAAGTGTTTAGATTGTAAAGATAGCTTTTTATAGTTGTTACACCACATAGTCGTAGAAAATCGTTAGCCATATAAAGAATGTAAATCTGCTGCAAATTTGCTAAGATGGGAAATTGATACACCAGAATTTTTCAAATAGTTTTTCTTGTATCTATTCAGTTTAAAAACTTATAGTAAATAATTTCCTAAAGTACTAAGTACGAACTACTAAACTACATTACAAGGACGGTACTCAGGAGGAGCAATTTATCACGACTGGCCAATGGTATTGGACGTGTTTGTTAATATAGCTAATAACATAGTTATAACAATACATAGGCATATAATACACTATAATGCTACATAAACAGTACAATATTACATATGCATGTTAATACCTAAGCCAATAGGTTGATGATCTTTTGGCTTTTCATAACCCAAAGCTAAAGGAAGAATTGATTGATTTTGCACACGGATATTTTATCAAGTTCTTTCAGATTATGTTGTGTAAATCAAAAGACTTCTTAATTAAGATTTGTGTTACATTGTATCTTAATAATGTGCAGTAAGCCTTTAAAGGGACTGGTTGCCTGATATTGACTTGCAAGCCATAAGATTGATTTTTCAAGGCATTTCCATGTATTTTATTGACGTAATCTAGGATAGGAAAAATTGTACTGTAAAATAAAGATAAAAGCAGTTTTGAGTGAAAACCACTCCATTCGTTGCATTTTCAAAAGTAGGATTTTTGAGCTTTTTGCTTAATTATATCAATATGAGCACTGTAGACATTAGCTCTATATATGCTAGGCTTGCGGCGCAAGCGTAAAAAGCTCTAGACAAATTCTAAAACTCTTGCAACATCTCTACCAGTAATAAATACGTTGTAGTGTTAATGTTATAGGCAATGTTTAATATATTCCGCAATAAACGCCATCTTTTCTGGTTATGAGCGGCATGCGGGGAGCTCCAGCGCAAACACGTCCATTGGTTATTTTTCCAAGTAAACTGACTGCTAAAAAACTGTGACATTTGATAAATCTGAAATACTGAAGCCCCTCCACATCACTCTTTTTACCGGTCTATATTCGCCATCGACAGTAAAAAGAAACATGCGATGCTCCAGTGCAGCTCAAGTGCAGCTTCTGAGAGAAGTTCGAATTTTCTGGACTGGAGCTTGCAGTCGGCCTGAGCGCAAACATTCCCAAATATTTCACAATTCACGACATTTTCTGCCTGCGAATATTCTTTGCGTGATATGTCATTTCAAATCTAATTGTTTTGCTCTTTTTACTATTGGGACTATGAAAGTGAGAGGAATTGTCGAAACTGTCTGTTTATCATGATCTGCATTCAGTAATTTGAGTCAAAAGGCTTGCCAGTATAGTCAGAATGTACGGACCAAAGCATTCGGTAGACCTGAACCCAACCTTGCCAAATACTTGATGATTTGCAGGGACCAACTTTCTTAAACTATTACATTTGAAAGCATCATAAATTCTAAAAAGTGTCGCATCTCAGTATTCTCATCTTTGTCAACTATGAAGGTAAAAAATGAGCAGAAACTTGTGCTCCTTTCCGCTCAGGCCCGGCGCACACTTGAGCTATCAGCTGAGCTGAGTTTCACTCGTGATTGTTGGCGTAAGCTGTTTCCTCAAGTGTGCGGTGTCCGGTTCTTGGATTTTCGTCACGCGTGTCATCGGCGCAAGTAATTTAACATGTTAGATAATTTTGTGCACGAGTGGAAATTTCCTCACAGTGTGCGCGCATTTTCAGCTATCAGCTCAGCAATCGATGCGAATTCGCATGCAATTTATGATATGTTACCGCCAGGGGCGAAGCCAAAAAAATTTTCGGAGGGGTTCAGAAATTATTTTTGCCGAGAATAAGGGCGTGTCTCACTCTCTATCGATGTAGTCATACGATAAATAATCTTTTATGCTGCTTTTATGCATTTCTATTTCAAAACTCATACTTTAGTCCTATACTTTCAAAGTTCAACTGTTACAGAAACGTTAATATTTTGCAATAATCGCAGAAAGGTTACAATAATACTACAGGGTAAGAGAAAATGTCTTTATTTGCCAAGCAAAATCCTTAATGTACTGATGGGCAAAATGCTGGGGAGGTGGGATACAGCATAGCCTATTTGGCGAAGCCCCTGGTTACCGCATGCCTAAATTTACCATTAATTAAGAAGTACCAAATAAATATACCATTGATTTCGAAGTACCATCAAGGTATTTGTACTCATTGCATTCTTTGATCTTTTATCACCGAATTTCCAAGCATACCTTAGCCCTTCTCTTATATTTTTTGACAACCATTATCTTAACCATTCAATAAAACCAAGTCATCAGCATATAGAAGGGAACAGATATTTCTGTCACCTAATCTAATAATCTAACACCGGTAGAATGATCATTCATCTTTGAGTCAACATCAAAAAGCAACAAAGTGAACAGCAATGGACGCGACAGACAACCTTGCAAAACACCGCGATGTCATAAAAGTCTTAATTTTTGCATACAGGGACTTAATCACATCTAACATTACAATTAATTTCACAAGAGAAAAAATTATCTATGAGACTTTTTAAGTCAACTGAAGCAAAGGCCTTCTTAGAATCCCCAAAGCATAAATAAAGTATCCTTACTAAAAATGTATTCTCAATTATGGCATGAAGTGTAAAAACACGATTTTCAATATGATTTCTATAGGCAATTCAATTCTCCAGTATCTGATTCTACTGTGTTAAACTCTCCCGCTTTCTGATTCAGGCGGTTTTCAAAAATTGCTAAGAAATGCTTTCCAATAAAGTTAAGCATTGTAATCTCTTTATAGTTTTCATGGTCAGATCATTTAATTTTTGAAGGATTTATCCTCTATTTTTTTCTCCAAAGGCAACTAATTTATCTGTTTAAAATTTCTCTTAATTAAATTTCAAGTAAAGTTATCGGATTTTATAAAGACGCCTTCTTCTCTAAACGCCTCCCTATACTAAATGCTGAATTGAATTCCTAAAAAAAATAGCAAAATAGCTGCTGGGGACTTTTATCAAAGGCAGTACGTAAATTGTAGAATGTCGGAATATTGGATGCTAGCTACATGAACTTGTGGATTTGCAAATGATAAGTACTAGTGTCATTGACTATCACTGAGTGAAATGCGGAATTATGTCTATGCTGAATATTTACCGGTCAGGATATTGAAATGTTGGATGTTCGGCTAGGGAATCATTGTTTGTTATATTTACGTTACCATTTTTTAATCTGTAAGAATTTGGAATTTATGCCAGTTAATGATGTGTGTTTCATTTTAGCTTCAAAAAGACAATGGAGAGATGGGAGGTACATCGCCCTAGTTGCCATCTTTCAAGAAAACCTTTCGAAGTTTGTGGTGTTTAGTGTTTTATGTAATGGCAAAATGGTAGCCACAACCTTTCCAATTTAATACTAAAAGTTTTTTTCTAAATAGCGTAGACAGTATGTTGTAAAATTTAAATCTACCAAAGTTGAAAATGAATATTTTTTGCTTGTCTATATTAGGTTTCGGAACAATTTTTGGTGTTCTTGAACATCTTCTTCTTATGTTTGTTTTTTCTAAAATTTCATGGTGGAGAGTGGAAGTCTTGACTATTATCGAATTTTTGGCTATGTTTTTTGTACATAATTAATAATCTATTACTTGAAAATCTACGGTACACAAACCAACTCTACAGGGAGTTTTATAACAACCAAAACCGGTCTGGCTCTTGAAAAATCAAGTTCTTCTCTGTGGAGATTTCCTGAACCTGGTGATTGAATTAAGAATAAAGTCAAGAGGAAAAGTGTCAGAAATATGAAGGAAATATGACGGGCTATTATTTCTCTCAAGGTTACGGTAAACGTTTTTGACACAATATTTGGTTTTCTTTTCCTAAAACCAAACTATTAACGGAATCAGATAAAACTATCAGCATTCGATGCACAAGAATGTTGCGATTCCAACCATATCAAAATAATTGGCAAATATTGCAAAATGATACTTTCCAGGCAAATGTAATGCTTAAATGAGTGTACCACTTTCAAAAGCTATTTTTTACCCTTGCGTTTAGGGTATTAAAATCTGACTTGTATCAGCAGAAAGCACAGATCCTAAGCTACCACAGTATGTCTCAAGTTCCTCCTCCCCTTGAAATTATGCCCTGTCAAAAATTGGAAAACAACAATTTTTCTTTCCTCTCATTGCTGTATTTGGCTATAAAAGATGGAGCAGAGCAAATGCAAAAATTTTTAGACACAATTTGCTTACCCTACACTTTCCTGGCCGTGTGCAAATTTTTGAGCCATTCGATTGGTTCCTTGGTCTTCAGGGCTGTTAGACCCAGATTTTGAGAGAGTTGTGCAAAATCGAATATCAGCATGAAACTTCGTCCACAAGGGTAGTTTTGGGCGCTGAACAAGATAAGATGCACACCCCCAGCTGAGATATGCCCTCAAGTGCTATTTTTAGAACGTGTATTGGGCCCCGGCCCGGAAAACAATTTATTCTAATAACATCGCTGGTACTTGTGATACAAACATGAAAATTGGAAGAAATTGGCAGTTTGATATGCTCAAAAAGACAGGATGCAGACCCCAGCTGAGAAATGTCCCCCAAGTGCTATTTTCAGACCATCACTAGGTCCCAGGTCTCTAAAGCGTTTATTTTAAATACGTTGCCGCAAGTTGTGATGCCAGCATAAAAACTGGTAGAGATGAGCAGATTGCAAAATGCAGTTAATGGATCGTTTGACCACCTCAGCCAACATTGTTGGCTTATTAAGAAACATATGCTTTCATCCAAAAACCCTTATTTTGAGACACTTCTAGGGGGCCCCTTCAGGGGCCCAAATGTTTAGGGGCACTGAGTTTTGTGCTTAAAAGTGCACACTGTGCGTTACGCCACTGCACAATATGTGATATATTCAATGAAAACTAGCCTGGCAAAAGGTTTTGTCCAAACGTCTAAACTAAAGGATGATACAAATTTATCTCCAGTTCTACTCAGCTCAGCAACTGCAGACGCGTGCTTGCTGTTTTAGGAATTAGTGCCCAAGGTGGGGGAATCATCTAAACAGCAAAGTATCTGCCACAATACACAGGGGTTTGAGGCAGGAACGTAAATTGGCAGATATTTGGAGGGGTGTAGGGCTCAAAATTTCCGACTGATAAACGTCAATTCTAATTTTGTATGAGGGCCTTAACTTTCATAGTTTTTTACCAATTAAACCTTATAAATTGTCTCGTAAATAATTATTCAGCTGTATGATAAGGTTTCTAGATTTTGTAAATTTGGAAGATCGAGCATAAAGACCGTTAGTTTAATTAATGCATCAAAACATACGTAGTCCAAATATCAGGTGTTAATTTTTCTCCTTCTACGACTTGCCCATTGCTCCACTCGATCTCGAACGTAGGAAGTTCTTGACAATTTTCAAGCGACTAAATGTTCTTTCATTCTTTACTACTTTACTGTTAAACCAAGCACGTAAATACTGGGGGGTCTGGGGTGCTACAGTTTACAAGGTCATTTGTGTCAAAACTTCAGTTTTCACGAATGATTCAAATTTTTTCCGATTAACCTAGCTCTCTACCAACAGCTTCAACTTTTCCGGGTGTGCTCAAATCTTCCGACTGGGTAAAAGATTAGGGGGTGTCCTTACAATGGTAAATTACCAGTCTGTGAGTGTATCGATTGGCCAGGACCCTCGACAGATAACACGAAAAAGATACTCGTTGTGTGATGCACTCTCTATCACCAAAACAATAAAACAGAATTAAAATGTGATCAACACACTGATAAAATAACTGAAACTAATTAACAAACAATACGAGGATTACACGACATGTTGACAAACTCATTTAATAGAAAAGTCAAACCGTTACACCATCTCCCCTCTATAAAAGAAAATACGCGAAGATTAAAATCTCTTGATATCCAAGAAAGAATAACAATTAAAGGACCAAAAGTCATCAAGACCTTGATGCATGAATTGGCATGCTAAGGTGGTGCATACATAATCACTCGGAGTTCCCAATTTTTCCAAATTCTTCTTGGAAATCAAAGTCAAATCCCACTGAAGGCCCATGCCTGCCTTCTGCTGCAACCCTACATGGCGGCCACATGCAAAACTGTTTTGGCAAAAAGGAACGTCACTTAGATTTGAAGAATCACACGATGTTGTGTGTACTCCATATTAGAGGAATGATCTGTTAGTTTGTTGCAACATTGCTATTAGTATTTTAGATGTTTAAAAGGAAAAATAGAATGGAAAATATATCAGTTCAAAATTCCAAATCAGACATCCTCATCTTCGCACAATAAAACAGGGACCCCAAACAACATCAAACAACATCATAGATATGTCACCAAATGTAGCATACTTAGGCTCTTCTCACGACGTTGCATTTTTTTATATTCCATTAAAAATTTTACAATACATATTACATACTACTTTCCCTACAATTCCTTAACAATACTACAAGAACTATACCATGAGGAGCAGAAGACTATGACTACCCCATGGTGCTTGAAAGAAAAGTCAGAACTACACACAATTTTACAAATTACTACTATAAAAAAGGGAAAATTTACTCGGCATTAAGAGATTTGGTGGTGGTTGCATGCATATGGTTAGATTTTGAAAAGATATCAGTCAAATCGACCAGCTGAGCGGACGAGACGTAAGGTCAATTCGAGTTCAAGTCATTAGAAAGTTTTCATCACCGTATAAAAGTATGTGTGTCAAGGAATTGTTTGAAAGATTGGTGACTAGGACAAATGGCCGTAATAATTCTACAATTCCAGCAAGAAGATCTCTTCGCTGAACATGAAAAGAAGGGGAAAGCAACATAAAGTGCTCAGTATCCTCAATGCGGACTGAAGGTCTGAATGCGGACTGAAGTATCCATCTATTAGCGGACTGAAGGCCCAGACCAACCAGCCTAGGTCTTCAAAAGTTAGTACGCAAAAGATACTCCTTGTTTGATGCTTGCTTTGTTATCCAAAAGTAAAACTGCTATTATCAACACACTAATAATAAGGAACTAATCAACAAAAAAAGGAACGCTACACTATAATACTTTACAAGACAAGTGACTTTAACACACAACCACGAAAAAACATAATTCATTAAATACAATAGCAGAACTGTCACCTCTGGGTGCTATAGCTTGTTAAAAAACCTACAGTTTAAATCGCTTTGAAAAAAGCAAACATTTTACAACATATTGGCTAAAAGTTTTTTCGTCTGACAATCCTCAGAGTATAAAACGTCAGAATAAGGATCCGAAAGAACATTACGTAACATATAAGAACATAGTTTTATAAACATTACGTAATGCGCCTTTGAGGCGCGTGGATAAATAGCGCAATAAAAATGCCTTTATTATTATCATAATATTATAAATTGTTTGCTTTTTTCAAAGCAATTTTCAAGTTCTATACCGCCAAAAACTGAAATCCTTATCTGCCACACGCATGAGAATCTCTTCAAATAACCAGATTGGGATTTTGCTCAACATAAAATTGGGGTACTGTACAAAATGTCCTCCAATAGAAGATGAAAGTTTCAACAGCGGGTCATTCTAGCAACGAACGTACCGCAAATAAGAGGAAGGCTGTCAGTAGAAAAACAAGCGCTAACAAGGGCAATACAGCACCTTGCAAGACGAGTTTGGGGCATAAAAACTTTTAGAATCACGGTGAATTACTTACCTTACACATTAGAAACTTCTTCTTCAAATGCTTCTTTCTTAGACTCTCAACTCGTTTGTCCTAGGAAGCTTCAACGAGTTATTGATCTGCACAAGAAGAGCTTATCGCCAATCAACAACTGCCTTGTGACAAATATATCACATGCTGCTGAGTCAGATGCGTATCAGCAGCCATTGTATGTAAGCTAAATAGACTAAAAGATATAAACACGCAGCTTTAGACGAGCAAACGACTAATGTTTGCTTTCCAATAACTTCAACTGACAAACTGTGAACAACTGCTAGCAGTGACAAAAGTAAAGATCAACGAGAAGCCAACAGAAGAATTGATGAACTTGAGTCTGAGATAATCTAACATGGATGTTATGGTATTATTTCTGCATATTTCATTTTTCTGCATAATCTAGAAAGGCAATTGCAACTTTCATAAACAATGAAACACTGACAGGAAGGCAGATCAGAAAAAAGACTAGAAAAATTGATTTTTTTCCCAGTGGTTTGATTAGATTAACTGTAATTAACAAAAAATATTGACAAGAGGACCAACCCAGGACTTTGAAGCCAGAGAACAAATATCTAAATAAACAAAGTATAAGATGTTAGTATTAGTTCTTATATTACTTTCAATAAAATTGCGTCGTTTACATTATATTTAATAACTCATCTGACCACTTATCTGAGAATACTGTCCAATCTTATGTAAATTGTTATTTTTTGCATTATTATTAGTATGTTTATGTAATTTGCAGTCATTGTATGTAATTAGTGCTTTTATTTGGATATTGTATGTAGAGGAATTTTAAAATTGAACTGAACTCAACTGAACTGAACTGAACAATGTTTTGCTGCTTCATTAAGCTTCATTATGTAAGCTATGGCAATGTTTTTGAACGTGTTATGTACAGTGCATGTTCCCAATGAATCAATATACTTCTTATATTTTTTTCCATCAAGTCAAGATAGTTTCCAAGATAGCTTGCTATACAAGGTTTAGGTTATTTAACAGAAAATGTCCAGCAGAATGGTAGTATGACAGAGAATGGTAGAAGAAAGCACTAACCTAACAAACAGATCTGGCATAATCATTTGGTATCAAGAGTTCATTTGTCAAACAGAGTAATATATTGGGTGCAACATCTGTTTTCCTATCTGTTGTTTTAATAGTTTTAATTGACATCACTATTCTTCATAGAATGTGAATGACGTTAGTTGGACAGACTTACATAACGTAAAAAAGAGATTAGTGCACACAAGGTCTAAATTTAACAAAAAGGCAGATAATTGTGTAAATATACTTGTGCAACCAGTCAAGCAAAGCTTACCACAGATTCCATGCCTGATCTTTATAGAAATTACTGCCTCCCCAGTTTCATCTTAATTTTTTTTAACTGAACCTATATCGATATGATACCCAGGATTTGACAACATATTTGGCAAAGTACATTTTAACAAAAAATTCCAAACAGATGTTGGCTGAAAATGATTAAAAACTGACATCAACTAGTGTGTAAAAAGCAGGTTGATAACAAGATATGAAAGTTGAATCATTGATTATTGTGAGGTTTGTACCAAATGTAGCTTTGTCTGGTTTTAAAAAACATGGAAAATGACAGTTCTTAATCTTCTGGAAAATGAATAGCTTTATTGCAGTGTTCTATTGTTAAGTTGACGAGAATGTTTCTTGTGAAGACTATATTGACCTTCAATAGATGAACATTTATGAATAAATATTCTGTGGATGGAATCAAGTTGAAGTGTATTGACTGGAATGACAAGACAAAAACAAGCTGTTGTGTATTTGCATGATAACAATTACTAGGTATGACAGTGATCAACAAACTACAAGACGATAAGTGTCTATGCACTATGGTGTTAATTGAATGTTTGATGACAATGGTCTAGAGTGTGACAATGACCTTTAGCATCATTAGGTTGACAATGGTGTCATTTGTTTTCAGCTTCAGATTGTAAGATTTTTTGGCAAATAAGAAAATGGGCAACCTGGGTGGATGAAAAATCCCCTTCAATGGTAAGGATCCTATCATTGGTACCCTGTACAAATTCTCCTTTTCCTGAAAACTGAATTTTTGCTCCACTGTAATTTATCAGCTCTACAATTGTCTTCCCACCTTTTCCAAGAATAGCACCAACAAGTGAATCAGGAATGTGCATTTCAACATTCACTTTTGTCTTGATGTAGGGCAGGTTAGCAGAATTACCACCTTGAGCTAAAATCTGCATTGCTAGGGGGTTAGCTCCAAGTCCTAAAACATTGCCACCTCTACTCATGCCTGTTGGCCCACCCAGAGCAGAGGCTCCAACCATTGCAAGCAAATTTTGTTGCTGGTTCCGGTTTCCTGCTAGGTTTCCAAGCACTGAAGTCATGGCAGATAAACCACTATCAATATTGCCATGGCCACCACCAAAACGCCCACCTACATGCCCATCTGATCGTGCATAGTGGTTACTAGAGTAAGACAATGTTCTGTTCATCATATTGCTAGGATCTGTAGCAACCTTATCAATGATGAGTCGACATGCTTCTTCATTCTCTTCAGGTGAACCTGTCACAGTCACAACTCTCTCCCCGTGAACCTGCTCTTGATCTTTATTAGACAAGATGATTTTTGCTCCAGATTGTTCCATTAAACTTCGGATCATACTTCCTCCTCTTCCAATAATAAGGCCTGCAGTACTATTTGGTACAATTATTTTGGCTTCCTTCTGTCTACTTCTGTCATCAATGGCTGACCCATGTGCATGGCTTGCTTCATTTCTAATCTTATCCATCACATACTTGTGCAAATCGATTACTTTGTCAACATCACCGGTTATGATACCAATTCTCTCCTGTGTACCAGGGTAGTGCTCATTATTCTGTGACAATTTTATCCTTGCTCCATAAGTAGACTGAAGCTGCAAAATGTTTTGCCCTCCTTTGCCAATAATTGCACCAGCAGCATAATTTGGAACTAAGATCTTCAGCAACGGATACATCTCTGTAACAGAATATATATATTTTTTTATTCCGAAAATAAACATAATGTCATATATGTCATATAAATCTTTCCATTGGGGTCATTCCACGTCAAATCAACACACCTTGAAGTCACTTTTGAGCTCATTTTTTCAGATATCAACAGAATTTACCAAAACGGTTAAGAAGGATATTTCAACATGCTAAATAAGGTAACGGAAGGAATTTGATTGATGTTAAATGCCATAAAAATGCTGTAAAGCAAGGAATAACAACAAAACCTTTTGATAATGTACATAAGGTACAAATATACCAGTGTGCAAATTTTGAAGCAAAATGGTCAATGGCACTTGAATTGGATACAGGTTATTTACTTGGTAATGGAAGGAGGGATAGATTTCCTAGAATAAAATCTTTATGGGATATTGTAAATTCTATCTCAATGCTGCAGCATAGCTACTGTTAGACTGTTTATGAAAGATGCTACAGGCTCCCTCTTTTTAAATCACTGGCAAAATTTCAATTTCAGTAACAAAGAAAGTTATCAGTAAAGTGTTTGTAGCATGCATATAAAGTAAGGGAAGGAATAGGAATAAAGTAACAGAAGGATGCATGTTAACAGATGTGAAAAACTTTAGAATTATTACTTTAACCCAACAACTATGACAAATATTAAATGATCTGATACTGTGTAAATCAAACTTTATCTGAAATACTTTGATGAAACAAGGTGTAACATCAGATATGAAGGTTAACAAAGGTCAGTATGCCTTGCACATCTTAACATACAGCTGTATTGTAGGTAAAAGTTGAACTTCTTCAACAATCTGTGCAAGCCTTAGTTAACAGTACAGTTTTTCAGGGCTGTCAAGAATCTTTAAAAAGCAAGTCAAAGATTGGCTAAAAATACTTAAGAACATTTGGAATTATTATAGTGTTAATATTTGCAACAAATGTACTAAAGCCTTCTAAACAATATCTTGATCAGTTTATCATAATACCATATGAGACAAGTATCACCCTTTTGGATTTCACAATTTATTTGCCTGTTTTGAAACATGAAGATTAAGTAATCTTGTCTTTCCTGTCAAAATTTTTGGAATATAAATGCATTTTGAAATAACTGTAGAAAATCATGCACATAAACTTTAAAAGGCCAGGGCCACATGGTACAGAGCACTGAAATCATTGTGGCATACCATAGTTTTTGGGAAATGACTACCCTTATAATGTATGACAACATCTTTGTAAATTGAGGAATGAATAATTCTAAAACAGCTACGAATATTAAAAGATGATAAAGACAGTTGCTCAATAAAGTAGCAGAAGGAAAAGGCACAAAAAAATAACGGAAGGAAAGTTTTAAGATACCATATAGAGTTGAAAAGACACTTCTATTGAAAACTAGTTTGTGTCAGCAATCTTATTTGGACAGAAAGAGATTCAAATATATGGTATTGGTGAGTTGGCTGTTAAGTGCCCAGAAGAAAACATTTTTCAAATATATAAAGTATATAACCGAAGGAATTTTGTTTCTCCAAGGCATAAAATGCTTTCCATTCCTAAATAGAGTATATTATAGTAAATTACAACCAAGCCACCAAAACAACTACTTTAAAATATTCTAAAATATGTCCTTTGAAGAAATTCTAGCTTAAATTCACCTCCAAATTTAAACTTGGATATAACCAAAAGAATATATGCATCAAACTTCAAATATGAATTATTACTAAACTTAACTGCCCTGTAGCTTAAAACATAGTTGAGATAATTCTTGGCTTTAACTTTTTCTATATTGTTTAGATATCATAGAACCATGTAAATGCCATCTATACTCTTGCTTTATAGGTTGAATTTTTTCAAAATCTGTCCTTCATTTTTTAATATGTTCTAAAATCAATGCCTTCATCAATAAAAACCAACAAAAATTCATCCAATAATCTTCTTCTATCTCAGAGTTAATAGCATTTAAAATTTCAGGTGCCATGCACCTTTAAGCATCTCTCCAATCGCTAAAATTGCCAATTATTAAATTTGTCCTTTACTTACTACAAATGTGGGTGATCGCTATTTTAAAGGGTTGATGAGTTTTGTTAAAAAATGATTCTACTGCTTTGTAGACAGAATTTTACTGATATCTATGAATATGAGGTTTTTTACCATTGATTTTTATGGAATGACCCATTGGTCTTCTGTCGATGCATGGCAAAACAGGCCCATTTTTAAAACAGCAAATTATATAAAGTCATTTGTTGCTAAAAAACAGGGCCCTGCTCTTCAACAAATCATATTTAAAATTGCGATAAAAAATAGCATACCTCTGTGGCATACTTCAAAAATTTTTGGAGAAGGAAAACTACCGCAACACAGCTGGAAAGTCAACTAACATGAATCAAAATTACTGCCACTTTGAATTTTTATAAATTTATCCAAGATTATTTTTTAACAAATTCTGATAAATATAAAAACACTCATCGCCAATTTTCACATTATTCCAAAATCTACTTAATATTCTTTAATATGTCCTATTATTTAATAATAGATTGACACAATATCAATTAAATATGTTAGTTTTATTCAAACAGCTTAGCACGACTTTCCCCTATAACTTTGATGCAAACTTTTTGCTTCATATGGAAGGCCCAAAAATTTTCAGATGTCTACCCAACCTGTTCTTTCAAGCTGACTACCGAGAAACGCATACTAAACTTTCAACATGATATCAAGCAACTTCTGTTTTCTTTCTGAATTTGCTATGTCCAGAGTTTACTTCAAAAATTCTTGTTCTACAACTTTCAAAAGATATTCCATTGACAGGCGCCCGTCAAGGGGACGCAATCAAATGCAACATTTTGTGGAAATCAACAAATTGGAGTGCTAGGTGAAAACGGTGTTAATCTTACTTCTGAGTTAATTTTCCTTATTATCTTTCTAATGCTCCAGATTGGTTGTAAAGCCTTTAGGAGTAAACGATTGAAGATTTAGGACGCAAGAAAGAAAGCGGAATAAGGCGGTGTAAATTTAACAAGGCGGTGTAAATTTAAGTGACAAACGCAGTCATTGGCAAAATAGCTTATCCATGTGTTACCTTACCTCTCTTTTCTTCGTAATATCCTCTTCGGTCATCACCACCGCTGTGTCGTCTTTTTTTTCGCTCAGACATTTCGTCCTCCATTTCTCCAGTGCTATTCGACATGTGTTCCTCCCTCCCGACTCACTCTCACCCATTCTCCTAGACGATACCACGGCCATGAACTTTTTTAAATAAGTTCAGCGAGCATGCGCAGTGATTATTTCGGGTACTGGATGAGGGGGGGGGGGGGGCACTCTGATGCTTCATATGACGGGATGTGCTTCAGAACAGAGCAGAGCTGAGAACAGAGTAACCTCTTCCGATAGAAATTATGGGATAGGGCATTAAAATTTATTAGACAAGAGATATGTGAGACAGCTTACGCTGTTCTCAGAATATTTTTAGAATGAACATGTTTCAGTAACATTTGCTACTGTTAAAACTCACGAGACCTTATATATCTTGGCATTATTGTGCCGTACTTTTGGCATACATTTTTTGGACAGGGTATACCTTGTGCAATCCTTTTATGGAGCAGGGTCAGGATGCCAAAGGACCTTCCGCACGTCCCGAAATACTTCCCTAGCTAAGTGCCCTCGGACTATAAAAATGATATTAAGGTGGTTTGGGTTACTAATAGATAAAGAAATTTATTTTGGAAAAACTCAAATTTAGAATCTTTCATAATTGCAATGCAACCAAAATCCAGCGACTGCCACTGACCGTGAATCGCGATCTCGTAAATACCGTAAATTCTCTTTTTAGCCCCCTATCTCAATTAAGCCCCTCTCTCTTATTAGCCCTCCTTTTCAGAAGGAAAAATTTAATTAGCCCCCTCTCAATTTAGCCCCCCCTAATTTTCACTGATGCTGAAATAAGTAAACTTGAAAAAAAGCAGAGATTTTCATTTCATTTATTGGTCGTTCAATTCTTCGCATCAAATCAAAATTCACACTATGTCTCTAGAATTAATAATTATTGACGATGACGATGACAATATTATTGATATAGAAGGCTGCTTTGATGTTTTTTATTTCGCAAATAGCAAAAAACTTTATCACTATCAATGGCTTTTTATTTACAAAACATTTATGAAGCCCCTCTCTCAATTTAGCCCCCCTCTCTTATAAGCTCTCTTTAAAGTGCTGAAGAACGACAAGCCCCCCCGGGAGCTATAAAGAGAATTTGCGATAGCCCAGAACAATTTGTTCTTTTCCCTGCTAGATGCTCCTCCACTTCTCCATCTCTCTCTTCTATTTCCGCTTTCGAATTTATGTGGATCTGCTCTAGAAGCCAGGGTACTTTTAAATTCTTGCTTCAAAGCACATAAAGTACTTCGTTCTTGTTTCTCTTAGTTATTAAATTTTGATCATTATGAACAGGGGCGTCTACCCAGGGGGCTGCTGGAGCAGCTGCCCCTACTGCCCACTTCCATGAGACGTGGAGGGGGCAAGCAACGTCCTTTAATGTATGACTTCTAAAGAAATATCATAGAGTCTTGTAGATAATTGTTTTGTTTATTTCCATCAGAAAAGTTTAGAAATAGACAAATCTCCTTTGGTCAATGTCGGACTTTGATACCAGAAACTTCTTTTTTTGAAGACGATAACAACTTTAAAGAGACCAACAACATCTTATAAGAAACTGACTTGTTTCCACATTCAGAACGAGGATCTGTCATGATACGCTTATTTTTGCATCAATAGATGAAACACGCTGAAATAAACAATTATTTGATTTGCTTTTGTATCTTGAAAATATTACTTTTCTCTTCTCACTCTTGATGATTCTCCAACCACGGAGTTTAAAGATTTAGAGGGCAATCATCTCCGTTATCATCATGATCACCATCCAAGCTAAAATTTTTAGTCTATTTTTCAAACTTGAGTTGGATATTTGTCTTTTCTTTCAAATGTTTTTTTGCTGTGATAACTTTCTGTTGGCTTCTTCACAGGTTTTGCAGATTGGATCACAGCTTTTCTCGGGGGTGTTTCAGATGTTAGCCTCGTGAAAAGAGCAAACCAGAATAATCTTCTTTTCAGGATGGCAATGCTCCAAGGTTTTGTGTTGATGTGTTGATAAGAGTCCTTCATTTGAGATTTTTCTTGGGCAGTGGATGTTTATGACTTTCCTCAAAAGTTTTCTCTGAAAGGTGTAGATGGTTTTTGTGAGGGTCCAGATCTCAGTGTTGTATAGAAAGACAGTCTCTACATATTCTTTGAAAATTCTTATCTTGATCTTTTCACTGATGTATTTGCTGTTGAATATTGCATCTATCGTCTTGTAACTATTATAAGCAAGACCTTTTCTAAGAATTATGTCATTTTCGGTATCTGAGCAAAGATTCCACTTGATACACTTTTTCGTTTTCCATCACTTTCTTTGCTGGTGTGGAACTTCTCAGTTTTTCTGTGGTTTGTATAAAGACCTTCTTCATTTACTTAACATTGAGGGAATGATTCGTTCGATTTTATTAATTTTTGCTGCATCCTATCGTCATCACCATAGTTACGGTCGATTTCAACTTTGTGTATGCCTCGATCTATCAGCCAGTCCAAAGCAGACCAAAGTTTTTTCTGTAGTCTTGTGATGCAATATAACTTGGAATAGCGCTTTCCTCACGATACGTCACATTTTTCCCGCAAGGTGTGATGGGATTGATTTTCGGACAAACAAATTAGGCTCACTGTTTGTGAGGGTACATCACAACTAGCCTACAGGTCTAAATCGTTGCCTTAAGATTAAAATTTGTGATGGAGGTAACAATATTGAATGAGAAGGATGTACCTGGAGCTTCGTTAGCAAAAGATCCAGCTAACTGTTCCGTTCTTGAGTTGAAACGTTGGCTTGAGTGTCACGGAGAAAAGAAATCTGGCAGAAAGCAAGAGTTGATCGATAGAGTGCGAAGGTGTGTTGCCATTGGTAAAACCGTTGACCCAAAAGTTGATGCTGGTAAATGGTACGAGTTGAAAAAAATGCGCTGCAGAGGAGAGACATCCTCTTCTGAACAACTAGAAAAAATACCAAGTGGCGGTTGGAAAAAATTTCCCTCCTATGACATCCCAATAATGTTCAACTATGGTCACATATACCATCACTTGGTTGAATCAATCTCGGATTTCACTATTGTCGAAAGTGAAGAAGATGCCGAAGATTTAGACAGTGGCTATACATCGACTGCAAGACCACTTAGAAAAGGGCTGAGCCTCTTAAACAGTGGGTTTGTGAGAGACATTGAAGACAATCTTCTTGGTGACAACTATTTTGTTCGTGCTCATGTTGACCATTCAATGAAGGTTGGGAAGCCTTTGAATGTTGAAATTGCTTTATCTTGTCTAAGTGGTTCAGTTAGGTTTGGAAGGTGTGACTGCAAGGCATCAGCACTTGGTAGGTGTGCACATGTAGCTGCTGTACTTCTGAGCCTAAGTGAATATTTGAAAACTCATGGTCACTCTCTGGTCACGCCATCCACATCAAAACCTTGCATATGGAATGTTGGTAAAAAGAGACATAAAGATCCCCAAGCCATTCATAAAGGAGTATATAAATGTGGTAAGTTTTCTAGCAGTAGAATCATCACATGGGATCCAAGACCTGAAGAGCTGAGAGGAAAAGTTGGTATGAGAGAAACAAATGATTTTTTGAAAGACCTTAATGAGATAAGTTCAAAAACAAACCAAGTTTCAATGTGGGAACTGTCCATTCCAATGTTCTATGAGGATTACACATTGTCTGAAGAGCGAAAGGAGGTGCTTCAGATTTTGACTCAATCTTTAGAGGAAACTCTTTATGGTTTCAATGAGATTGGGGCAAAAGAAATTGAAGGTACATTGGGTCAAAGTGCTTCCCCAAGATGGTATGAAGAGAGGCAGCTGAGGATAACAGCTTCCAGGTGTAAGCCAATCTTTACATATGGTAATGCAATTATTGCTGGAAATGCTGACAGTATTATGATGTCAATGCAGAAATGGATTTGGAACAATTTATGGTTTCCAAAAACATTTCAATCCAAATTCATGAAATATGGGATTGAGGAGGAACCAAAAGCTAGGGAAGCATATACAACTGCAACTGGTAACAACGTCAAGGAAACAGGAATGTGGGTCAATAGTTTATGTCCCTACCTTGGCGCCAGCCCTGATGGGTTAATCCTCAACAGTGCATGTGACATTGCTGGCATCATTGAAATTAAATGTTTAAAACTATTGAAAGAAAATTCAGTAGAAGAACTTATTGAGAAGATAAAATTAGACAAAGTGTCAAGCTCTGTGCTAGGAAGGCAATGCTTCACAGTTATTGACAATAAGTTGCTACTGAAAACCAGTCATATGTACTTCTACCAAGTCCAGCTACAACTGCTGGTGCTTCAGCTACCATTTTGTGACTTTGTTTTGCATTCTCCCAAAGGACCACCATCAGTTCAGAGGATTCCATGTGACAAACAATTTCAGGAGAAGTTGAGAGCCAGCTTGTCTTCTTTCTGGCACAAAGTCTTCATACCTGAGTACTTTGAGATGCGTGTTCCAAGAAGACTTCATGCATTTATTGTTTAGTTTTTGCATAGAAACAAAATATTTTTTAATTGCACTTTTGTAGCACTACGAAATTCCTACTGTAAGTGGTAGAAACTCAGCTCTTTATTGGCAGATTCATGATTTTCCAAATAACAGCAGACAACATCATAAGTGTATAAGGTATTATTTGCAAGCTTCAAGAGTATTGATTTCCAATAGCTCAAGCCCCCTAGCCCCCATAAGCCTACCTTGGATGCAAGATTTGTTATATGCAACTTAGAATTTTTGTCAAATCCTAAGTTGCTTATTTAGTTAATGATTGCTTTGTTTTAAATAAACATTTTCCACTAATTGCATAACACAAATGAAACCAAGAAAAGATATATTTTGAGGATATATATAAGTAGAGACAGTCAATTCATTTTCTTAAAAAGTTATGTTTAAACTTGTATATTTTTATCTATTTCAATCTACTTCTGTTCCTTGTTAAGATTGTGTATCTGAATACCATAAAATCCCAAATATAAACCATGGACTTTTAAAGGTTCTTATAACTTTCTTGTGGGTTAATCTCTGGGGGATGGAGGCTTACATCTGGGAGGACTATTGGGATAACAGGTGACTTGCATGTGCCAAAAAAATCAGAATTTGGCTTTCAATCAAGGAGGTTTACACCAACATACTCTTGCCGGGGGAGGGATAACTTAATAGCCAGGGAGGGGGGTGGTTTAAATAATAATGTCCTGGGTAGAAAATTTTGGAAAAATTAATTAGTGGGGAGCATCTATTAGGCACCAAAGTGTACTCATGCAAACATTTCACGAAAGAACAAAAGTAATAAGAGGCTTTATGGGCTCTGCCCATACTATTCATGCAAACTCGGGAACAGCCATTTTATTCAGGCTACCTCATGAAACAATTTTTTCATTGAATCCTCACTATACACAGTGAATCTCAAAGGGAAGCCCTATGCTTTTATTTGGGGGCCTACATCTGAAATGATATGTAGGTTAGTACACAGGGGCCTATATCCAGGGGGGCCTATAGTTGAGTTGATATAATATATATTCATAGTTAAACAAACTATCTACACAAAGGCTCTTGAAAATTTACTAAACAAGCAGCAACATAGACCATTTGAGAAGCTAATGGCGTTAATGACAGTGGAATTGTCCTTCCAATAGCCATGAACTTCTTTAATCTTTCATTGAATCGTTCAATGTGAATACGTGCTTTAGCAATCCGTTTTGTTTCTATCTCCTCCTCTGCCGTTAACTTTGACCTATTTCCTAAAAATGGTGGTATTTTGATTGTGGCTTGTTTTTCATGCACAAGATCTTGAATTCTGAAACCTTTATCTACTAACAGAAGGTCTCCAGGCTCAATGTAATCTAAGATCCCACATCTTTGAGTAATGGCAACATCATCAAGGCTTCCTTCATAGAGATCAGACACAAAACATGCACTCCCATTGGGGGTCACTGCAATCAACGCTTTGAAGGTAGTGTGGTGTTTGTATGAGGAATATAGATTTCCCTGTTTGGCATAGTCCCGTGGTGTCTGGCAGAAGAACTCTGTACAGTCGATTGAGCATCTTACGTTCTTAAAGCTTTTGAAAGCAGCAGGCAAAGACTCCTTTAAAATATCTCTTGCTGGAAACATGAGGTAATTCAGCTCTTTAAAATGCAGATATATGAACTGGATCCATGTAGTGAATATGCTACTGACCAAACTGACTGAAACATCATACATATATGCAATTGTCTGGTGGGTAAAGCCTCTTCTCAGCTTAAGTAACGTCAAAAATAATTCCTCTTTTTCATTAAACTTTCGGCTTCTTGTGGATTTGCATTTGTATGGGTTGTCCTTTTTCTCCTGTGAGAAGCGCCAATATGTCAGTTGATATTTAGCAGGACCCAAAAACTTAAAGAGCACCTCAAACTGATCAGGATAAAGGCCTATAAAAAATTTAGACTTCTTTCTGTCAGCCAATATTACATTTGGGGACATTAGATTTAAATTATTCATTGTGCCTGCATCTTTCATGTCTTTCGCGATAAAATTAGACTGAGTCTTTGCATCATTTCTTAGAATAACTGTTTCGATTTTCGCTCCAAGCATATACTTGTCGTAAATGGTTTGAGTGGAAGCATCTGATTTTTCTATTGATTTAATACTCGCCACCTCAATCGACTGGTTTGACCCTGTTGCAAGTGCTTCCACTTCATATGCTGATATTTCCTCCATGCTTTCTTTGGCCTTTTTTGACGCCGTGTTGTTTGCGTCAATACTGCGATCTTTTGGGTGTCTCCTTCTCTTCATCCTGCCTTCTGCTTCCTTTTCTGTTAATGTTGCAAGAACTGGGTCTGGGTTTTCCTCTGTTGGACCCTGGCCGTTGAAAAAGTGGAGAGAACATATATATGTATCTTTCGTTATCTGTTCCAATTTAGAAAAGTCCTTCCTTCCACAAGCATGCAACCAGCGCTTCGCACGCTCTGTTTTTATCTTGGCTTGCTCCAGCTCCCACTTTGTCATTCCTTCGCGGTGTCTTCCTGGCTTTGAAAATGGTAAAAAAACTGTACCATCTGGCATTCGATCTGGATACCTAGAGTCGCTTTTACATATCCCCCAGCAACAATGCTTCGTTGTCGACTTTTTACTCATTGTTCTGCTATTGATGATAGCTTAGGCCACTAGCGATACTGATTTGCTTGTCCGAGTCTCGATCCCATAGTGCACCGCGCCTTGACGTCAGAATCTATTTTAAGCTTCCGAGGAAAGCGCTATTGGTTTCAAAGCAATAGCCAAGTACAAATTAAACAGGAGTGCCGACAAAGGGGCACCTTGACATATGCCAATAGCAGTGTTTTTATCTTCTCCTGTTTTGCTTCCAATTCTTACATTCCGAGTTACATCATTGATTAGTAGGTACATTATATAATACAGCTCACCTTTGTTGAAGGTATATTCAAGGTGTTTCATCAATGTGGGACGGTTCACAGTGTCAAGGCTTTCGATAATGATCGATAATGATAAGGCCATTCAATATGCACTTGTATTGAGAATTTCGTCAGCATTGTGTCAATATTCAGAGCTTTTGATGGCAGAAAACCTAGCTGTATAGGAGGCACATATCTTCCATTGAAGACTCAAGTCTACCTTTTGAAAACAATTATTAACGTAGATTTTCTAAGGGGACCATTATGGAAATAAGGTCAGCTAGACCTTTAATCAGGGATGTAGTCGTGAGGGGCTCGGGGGGAACAACCTCCTTTGTTAAAATTTTAGTCCGCCCTCCCCCACATCGCTCGTGCTTGGATATGGCCAAGAATCGTGTAACGGAAATAAAGCTGCGATGAATGCTTGGGGTTTGGATTACAAATATTATATTTGATAGATCGCATTACAAGCTTTAGTGCATGAAAACGAACATAAAGTTTGACATAGATAGGGAATTCTTGAATGATTTCTTACTGATTATTTTTAGTTGCAGCTTTGTATAGATAGTTGATTTTTTGTCATTGCATTTAGAAATTGGGATAATTTTCTGAATCAACAACTGGTTGCTATAATTTGACTCTGTCTCGCCTACTTTTAATATTTCTCTTTTAAGAATAATTCAATTTTTTGCCGATATCTAATGTTCTTATTTTTTTGATAGTTCCAGGCTCGGTTGTTTCTAATGTTGTTCTTATTTCTAAGTTTATTTTATCTGGAAACTATGAATTCTTTCTAAGTCCCCTGATAACAATTTTGCATGACATTGTAAGTAGCACAGTTCTTTGGGTGATAAAATCTGCATTGTTTTTTAAGCACGAGAGAAAATCTGTCGATTCAAAATCCAGCTAATTGGTCATGATTATTAAAAAGAAAGCTTACAAATACTGCCTAAAATCCTCCCTATCAATTGTTGTAAATTTTTAAGATACATTTTCTGGCCATCCTTTGAATGTCATATCTCAAAATTATACTCGCCGCCAACCATGGTGGCGGCTTTGATTAAAACCCCGAGCAATATAAACATTTTTCCCCCTCACTTGCAATGAAGTCCCCCCCCCCTTTCCATGGTACCAATGTCCTTATCTCAGCTCAGGTCAGCTCAGTCAATGTGCCTGGTTGTTCAACCAATGATGGAAAAACACCAACCCACGTCAAGTTCAAATTGCAATGATTTTATGATATAAACAACTTAGAAATTCATAGAGATAGAGCCCCCCTTGTCAAAATTTTGCGACTACATCCTGCTACTTATGCTATTCCTGCCACTGAAATTAGGAGTGTTTATATGAAATTATGTACATTTGTCCCCTAAAAGTGTCTCTACTGATACATTCTATTAAGTAAAGACATGAACTCAGTTTTATTTTGCATTGTTTTTTGTATTTTATCTTTAGCGATGTTTAATTCTTTTTCAAACTTTAGCTATCGGTAACGTGCATGTTTTCTACGATCCACTGCGAAGAGTAGTTGTTTTTGAAGTGAGTCGTTGTCTAGTCTTGTTATATGCGCAATGCATTGAAGATGTTGTTTTTTACAAAGGTTAGCAATGCTTGAGTTCTTTGTTACCGTTCTTAGACGGTTGTTACCAAGCCCGTAGCCAGGCCTTTGACGTAGGGGTGGCAAATGCAGGCAAAGTTTTAAGTGAGGTTTTGTGTAGGGAGGGGAAGGGGGCGGAGAGTTAGTGGAAACAAAGAAACAAAGAAGTTGTAAAATGTCTTCAGAAATTAAACAACGTTCTTCCTCTTAATTTTCTATTCAGTCAGAAAAATTGTAAAAGCCATGTCTTTCATCAAAATTTCATTTTTCAAACGCAAGACATGCAAAAATTTTCTCCCTCTTTGTCCGCTAAGAACTTCACTGAGAGGGATCTATCCTTGTTTATGAAGAAAACTAGCACTTTTCAAAGTTTCTATGTGTTGATGTGAAGCCAGCAGCAAATGCAACTTTTAGAAATTAATAAAAAACAAGTATCGGCTAGCTGAGCTCGCTTTAAGCATTCGAGAGAAGATTTGCACACTTCTTGGAGAAAAACAACAAGCTCCTTAAATATTTTCTGCAGAACAGAAAATCTTGACGCTGCATATTTGTATAGAGGTACCAGGGTCCTCCCAGCAAACAATTTTCCTTTCGCCAAAGTGATCTTGACCCAAATTGACAATCCAATGAAAACAACGAAAAAGCGCATTAAAAAAATTGGAGGCAAATTCTCCGTGTGGCAAACAGCTGGTGTTCTCTGATCCAGGGGTGGCAATGTTAGCAAATGAGGCCTGGACACCTCCCTAGAGCGAAAAGCTAGCAATCGCGCTGCTCTTACAGTAAATCCCCGCATATAAGAACCTACTATTTTGAGGTTCAGGCTGAAGGAGGTTCTTATTGGAAAGGTACTTTGATTAATTTCAGGGTTTGAAGGTTCTTATTCGAAGGATCTTTAATTTCAATTTTTAGGATTAATTATCAAGAGATGCATTCAACCCTGTTTTTTCCTTTTGGCAATGTTATTAATGCAACATTACAAAGATATTTACAGGAAGACATTTGAGTGCACTGGCTGCCTTATGACAGTGGATGGATCTGGAGATGATCTCATACGTCCTCAGGAATTGAAAATTATGAATTCTAATGCTTTTTTCATATTTCAACATTTTGGATTTTGCTATCTATGATTATGTTAAAAAGTCAAAGTGATTTTAAAGTTCTCTTTCGTTAAAGTGTATAAAATGCTGAAAATGCACAACTGAAAATTTTTTATGCCGATTGTGATTTTACCTCATAATTAAAAATCTGGGAGTAAAAAAGGACGATTGAAAACTCTATTTTTTGCCCTTGGGAAAAGAACCTATTATATTTTATCACACTGAAACAGGTTCTTAATTACAAGGTGCATAATTTAGGAAAAAACAGCCTCTAGGTTCTTATTTCTGTAGGTTCTTATATGCGGGGATTTACTGTACCCTATAAATTTAAGAACAAATTAAGAACAATTCAGCCTCAGATTTTCGAAAAAATTAAGAACAACCAGCCTGAACTTCAATTTACTGGCTCTAATAAAGTAGAGTGTAATGGTAAATTTTATTAAACCCCCTTAAGGAACCGCAACCCTTTGCCCTAAATTATGCCGTCATATTCATGACAACATATCTCGAGCAATGCCCCGATGGGGTGTAGTCGAATAGTTTGGAAAAGATTTATAGATGACACAATCTTCATCTGGCAAACACAAGCTTGAAAACCTACAGGAATATATACAATTCACCGTACATCATCCACAAAAAATAGATATAAAAACCGTATATAGTCGACTCCTTTCTCAAATCACGCTTCTGGTTACAGTCAAGAAAGTTTAGACCAAATTATGCAAAACTATTCCATCAAATTTTGACCCAAAAAGCACCGTTTACAGTGTCTCAGTTTTCTGGCAAGCGGTGCTTGTCTTTCTAGTATATGGTTTTTAAATAAGACAAATATCAACCAAGGGTGTAACCATGGAAATGGGTGTAACACTTGAAAGGAAATCAAAATCAATTTTATCTAATCCATCCAGCTCAAGATCACGCTGGCAATTTCTACTTCGTGTCACATCATTTTACTTTTGGAGTAGACAAATTACACGCAGAACATACTTTCTTGTTACAGTTACATAAAAAAACAACAAAACAGATTCGTTGGTAGAAATCATTTTCCCTGCAAAAATCCGTTTTGCCCTACTTTCGTGGGTGAACCCCCCCCCCCCCCCCATACCTCCCTCAAGTGACGCCCCTGATTGCGTATGTATCTGTCTTGTCTTATTTTTTTGAATTTTAAGATCTTTTTACTTCTTTGGAGTGTGCATTATTGTATGTTAAGGAAAACTTGTGTATATCCTTTTTAACCTATATACTTGTAAATACTTTTAGTGTGATGAATTATACCCGGCGGGGGTATTCCCATTAAGGCCTAAAAGCGGGTCCAGTCGATTTAAGGGTCTTACCAAATGGCCATCAAATGGGCTCTTTAACATGTTAGCTTTGGCCCTCTTTGACCCTGACTGGACCCCTCTGTTAGGTAATAATGGGAGTACCCCCCCCCCCCCCGTGAATTGTACGTACATACACACATTACATACATAAAGGGTGTTCGCCAATGATCTCGCAGGGAAGTTGCAGTGATTCGGAAAGTGCTGATTGTTTCATTCCGAGGTCATTTGATAAACAAGTTGATAGCTCTAACAACCTTAGCCGCGGGTTTTGGGCAGCTTAGACGAACGGAATTCCAATTTTGTTCTGTTTTTTACCATATTGATGTAGTTTTTATATTTACTACAGAGATACTTCGAGAAGGCGGGCCCGGATTCTGTTTTCTTGCTTGCAGTTCAAGATATTACTGATATGAATGAATGAAGGTCAGTATGATCCAGACTAGGCCCAACTAAATGATTTCTGACAAGACATGTCCTTTTAGTATTTTGTAAGATAAACTAAGTTTAAAAATGGCTCAGGACACCTTGAGAAACGGCGAAGCAATGCAGCCACCATTCGACTCTGCAAGGACATCTAAATCAACCATTTGCCCGCCATTATCAACTAAAGTGAGCACAACGTCAAGCGAAGTATTGCATGGATCACCTGCCTTTGGTCATGAAAAAGTAACAAATAAATTATCAATGGAGCAAAAGTCAACAAAGATTCAATCAACTGCTGAAACTGACTTTGACAGGAGAGAATTTTCAAGTGCCATCCGAATGGATACTGACATTGTCTGTAATCAAAGCTGTTTGACAGTAGAGAACCAGTCACACGAGGTCGTAAATAGACAAGTTTCGTCGTCAAGTTTATGCAGCTGGAGTAGCTTTGACACTTCAATTACTGATGACAATCTGAGTGATAGTGAAAACACTGAAAACAATGAAGCATCTGAAGCACTGAGTATAAAACCTGGGAGGCAGGTAAGATGACCAAACTTTTTGTCCACATTTGTGTCAACAGAACAAAGAAGAAAATCCTGATGCCGGTGTCATATGCGTTTCGGTAACCTTATTCATTTCGGTCCGGGTACTCAAACGCATGGCAATTTTGGTTATGCAAAATCGTACCCAAGCACTTAAACAATAGGGTACTAAAACAAATGGTGGAATTTAGCATGCAAAACGGTCCAGGTACACTAACGCATGACAATTTTGATAATGCAATAAAATACCCAAGCACTTAAACAATAGGGTACCAAATTGAATGGTGGAACTTAGCATGCAAAACGGTCCAGGAACACAAACGCATTGCAATTTTGGTTATGCAAAAATCGTACCCAGGCACTTAAACAATAGGGTACCAAAACGAATGTGGAATTTTGCATGCAAAACAGTCCAGGTACACAAACGCATGGCAATTTTGGTTATGCAAAATCGTACCCAAGCTTTTAAAAAACAGGGAACCGAAACGAATGGTGGAATTTAGCATGCGAACCGGTCTGGGAACGCAAATGTTCTGGTTCATATTGTTCAGAATGTAAAGAACAATCAAAACTATTTCTAGCAAGGGGATACTAACAAGAAGCGGTGCTATGATTTCCCTTGTTAAGTTTATGCAAGAAAGTACAACATTAATAGCGACTCCAAAGTTTTCTTCATTGAAAAGTGTGAAATTTTAAACTCAAAAAGCATTGTGCTCAATTTGTTAATTATAACGTGTCATAATATCGCACTACGATGAAATCACAGGATTTGAAACACATTGCGTTTCACAATGTTACACTTTTGCATAGGGTACCAAAACGCATATTACACCCGGCAGCATATTCTTTCAAGAAATCAAAAAGTAACGTCAGAAAAGCTCTTAGATTTTTAGACACATCCCCAAATTTGAGTAGCCCCTAAATAAAGCCCCAACATTGTATGGCCCTTTTACTTGTTTCTGTTCCTTAGGCATCAGACTCTTTCTGTCACTATGTTTTCCTGTAGTATGTATGCATTTAAAGCTCCCCTTTAAAAAAGTTCATAATTTCTGAAGCTCCTTATATCAAAGGTTCCTTTCACAGGGAGTTTTCCAAGGAACAAGAGTTTTAGTTTTTAGTAGCCAAAAATTTGTAAAATGGGGGTGTTGACAAAGTGGGATTTCACTTTGTAAAAAGTGGGCTTGTCACAACGGCAAGCACACGCCTGCACATGCCTAGAACTCCCAAGGTTCGTTTTCTATCGCACAAGCAGTTCAACCTTTTTTGAATTACTATTTTTTTTCTCTTTTAATCCTTTTAATTTCTTGTTTATTTCTTTAAAGTAATTTTTAATTTCTTTTATGAACCTTATCTTGGTGGAATTTGTGGGGGGCATTATAACTCTTTAGCCCAGTTTCCACCACTCTTTTTGTACCTGCTACATTCTATTTTCATATTTTCTTAAAGACATTACCTTGGGCCAGTTTCTGGGTTCTTTACTCCCTGTGTGTTAATGGTCCATAAATATTGCTGATAGTGAAAATTTTGTGAGGTTATTAAATTGTGATTAATTTGCCCTCCCTTTTTCTAGAGTGTAAACTTTTATTCCTTTCAGCATGGCTTTGATCCTTTTCTTACAACTTCGATTCTAATTTTCGTGATTTTTTCCGAGAAAGAAAGTCTAGTCCCTCAATACAAGACCTCAGATTCTTATTTGCATACCGATATCCAATATGCTTTTTAGCCACAGGTCTTTTCACATAAGGGAAACATATGGGCACCGGTTTTCACAGGTTTACAGATAAAAATAGCCACCGGTTTCAATATTGACGCATAGATAGCCTACTCTAAACTGTCACTTTGAGTGACGACTGATTTCCTCGTCTTTAAATAATTTGGATGCTTTGGGATAAAAGATGAATTAGCATCACCACCATCACCATCATCATCAAATTGAATTGAATTAAATCAGGAAGCTGGAAACTCTGTCAGAGTTTTTGCAACAAGGAATAGCTGTCCTTACGTAATTAAAAAATTGTGTGGGGGCTCAATTATGTAAACAGAGGAACTGTAGTCAATCAGGGAGAAATTCAGCAGTTGTTGCTGTTGACATTTTGGATAGAAATTCAAGATTCACAGAGAAACATAGCTCTTGGACTTTGACCGGTTTTTTGAACCTGTGCAACCAGTCTAGATCCGTGCCTGCTGTTTTGGTCAAAACGATAATGTGGGTTTTTCAAGTACTTCCTCATATTGTTTGTTCGAGCTCTTTGTGAATCCAAGATTGAAAGACTCTGCTCCTCCCTATGAAATGGTTGGTATTCAAATGATTCGGTTCTTGAATGATGCAACTTTGAACAGTGTTTTTGAATACATTAACTACAAAAAAATTCATTGTGACAAAATTTTGGACAAATATTTTGATGAAATTCTTGACCAAATTCAAAATGGGACGAAACTTGGTCATGACGAAATTTTTTACATTTAAGATTTTTGAGAATTCACACGAGGTCAGAAATGAAAGTTATGTATCCTTTTAACTTGGTCAATGCCAACCTTGCCATTATCCTCATTTACATCACCTTCATAACTATTTTCATCATTGGCATCATCATCATAATCATCATCATCCTTGTCGGTTCTTGAACTAACTTTGTGAAAAAAAAGTTCCAACTGTCCCTTATCGCAAATGATAGAGAGTAGAGACTCTTTGAGTGCTAAAATCACCTCTTTTGATTTGCCTTCGCATGAACTGAGAAAATATACAGCCTCCCAATTCTGAATGGGTGCTCAAGCCCCAAAGTCTCCATGGAGTTGGTACCTATGGGACTGAATATGAAGCAAACTGTATGGTTTTGCCTCTTATACCTCTGTGTTATTGGTAATATCTCTGTGTTAAAAATCTTCGCTGAAATTTTGTCACAACAAAAATCTGAAAAGTTGTCCGAAATTTTTTTTCGACAAAGTTTATCTGCTGAAAATTTATCTGAAAAATTTTTTTTTTTTTAATGTACCTGTGGTTTGTTATCAAATGACTCTGTTTTTGAGCATATTTATGGATATACATTTTAGCATACTTCTAACGTTGATGCTCTGAAGAGTGTTTGATGAATTGTGCTTTAGTATGTTATGTTTCCGGGATTTTATGCAATCTTTAAATTTTGTGGTACCAAAAGCTTATATAATGTAATTGCAGTGGCATAAATAGTGCTTGAATTTTTAACATGTATTCTGCTCTTACAATATTGCTTTGATCCAAATAAGCTTTCGGTATTTCAAATTTGACGATAGCAAACAAATTCATAATCAGGTGTTAATTGAAGGTAACAGGCCATTGTTTCTTTCATAAAAAGGAGTTAATGATCAAACTACCCATTTTAATTTCCAATTTTAACATATTTGTTATTTTGATTTTCACAGACTTTTGTGTTCATTAAACTGTTTCTTAGTTTTTACTCTAAGAAAAATGGGCACAAATTTGTTTTGTTTCTTTTTGACTAATTTGTTTTTCTATAGAAAAAGCTGTGGGGACAAGTCAGAAAAGCCATTCACTGGTCTCCGTTTATTCAGTCATACAAAAAGAAGTACCCATGGGTCCAACTAGCTGGGCATGATGGTAGGTACATTTGGTTTTTGTTAAAATAAGGCTTTGGAAATCTTTAACTCTTTTTATCAAAATTTTTGCACCCACAAATGACTGGAAAGCTTTTACAAAAGATCTTGTGAAGTAAGGTCTTGCTCTAAGCTCCATAAAGCAAGCTCCTAAGAAACTTCCTTTGCTCTATTTCACACCTCTTAACAAAATTGCCTTGAGAGCATCTTTGGGAGGAGTGCAAAATTTTGTAAAGCAACAGTAGAAACCAGTTTCTTTATGCATTGAGAATGGGGATTGATCCACCATAGTGCCACATCCCCAGGCCCTTATTATGATGTTGTGTGGTATATATTATTTGTAAACAGTATCAGGCCATGTTTATATACATACATATTCAAAAAATGATGTTTTATTTTTAATAGAACAAATCAAATATTTTGTGTCCAAAGTAAACAATGCATTTTGAATTGTCGTTGCATTTTCAAATGATTCAACCCAATAATAAGACCCAATAATATCAGAATAAAATTGATAAGACATCTTGTTGTAGAGCACATTGGAGACCAATAGTCATAGAAATTTGGACTGTTTCCTGTAATAATCATTTTGTGTTTATTTATTTTTATTTATTCAAAACATATTTACCCTGGGGTACAATACTAATTAAACTGCTTTCCAATTGTCCCAACAAGGAAACAAAATAAACCTAACTATTAAAGATAAAAAACTGCTTACAATTAAAGATAAAAACTATTAAATATGATAACCTGTTTACAAAAATTTGATAAAATAAAGAGGCTACTAAATGTAATATAAAGAAAATGAAAATAAAGATGCAGATCAGCTTTCCTTGAATGTTCTCAGTTTGAAGTTTTTAATTTCGTATTAAATGACAGAATTGTAGGGACCAATCGTTGATATGAAAGCTGTTAAAGTCATGACTTGTTATGATTTAATGACTTGTATCATGACTTAATGTCAAGACTTGTTAAGACGTATAGCTAATTTCACCTCTCTCAGCTTTTTCACCATCTTTATATGCTGTTGTCCTTGTATTTATCAAAGACAGTCACAATCTTTGTGTACTTGTTTGGAATGGTAGCAGTATTTTGGGCTCCATTTGTCCCTTGATAGATCTAGGGCAAACCAAACATTTGGCTGCAGCAAGTTCTATGTTGTACCTGTTCAATTTATCCGCACGTTATAGTTCATCGGAGCTAACGTTGGTCACTTTTGCCAGTTTCTGCAATTAAGCCCTTACAGTCCTTCTGATGGCACCATCTACAGTGCTGAGAGCCATTGACACAGAAGGCCAAAAATGCTTCCTTAAAATTGTTTTCTTTCTTTAATTTTCAAATTAATTTTGCAGACAAATCCTTAAAGGTTGCAAAAATATTATTCCGGTTTTTTTTAAAATAGAAGGCAAGTATTTTCGAGGCCACTGTCAGGTTTTAACTCCTCTTAGGTTTTAGAAAATCCCGACAACACTGTCTGGTGTACCCAAGCTCATCCAGAAGACCTCTGATAGAGGGGTGGGCTTTGGAAGAAGAGGTACATTTTTAATCTGGAAAAGTCACTTAAAAAAGGTGTTTTCTACAACCAGTCTAGGCCAAGATTTGGCTGGAGCAAAGTCTTTGCTGACGATATCACATGATCTCAAAGATTTCTTTAGAAAGAGCACCATCTAAATTTGATTTAATGCAACATTTGCAAGACAAGATTTTTGCATGTATAGAGGTCATTTGCAACCTACAATAGAAATGTTGGCAGTTTTGTTGTACAATATGTTCCTTAATCACCATTCTAGACGAAGCTATAAACCTATAGAATAAGAATCATATAACTTGAACTTCAGCCTTTTACAATAAGTACAGCTGTAGCCACAATAGTGCGACAGAATCGTAGTGTAGCAGAGCAGGAACCCCTATTCACTTTCTTCTTTTGTAGAGTATCATATTATATTTCAGTAAAATGGATATAAACAGTTTTCATAGAAGTCAGTGGAAAGGGGTCTTTTTTAAATCACTCGGATGAGCTTGGGTACACAACTGAATAAGAATGGACAATCCGGGCAATGATAAAGCGAAGTTTGTCATGTGTTTTAAAGAAATCAAAGAAAATCCAGGTTTTTACTGCAGAATTTCGAAAGAGAAAAAGGAATCATAGTTCTCAATCTCTTGCTGCCATGCAAAGAAAACCCAAGGATTCATATTCTGTATGCAATCTAAATCGCTATGATTTTCAAGGTGGTTTGGTGCTTCAGTTGGGCTTCCTAGTAGATAGATCATGGTTGGTATTAATGAGGATTCTATCGTCAGAGTGATATTTGTTACCAAGAATATACCTGAATTAGTTCCTATGGACGACAATTCAAAAATTAGACCTAACAAAAGATGTATTAAACTTTTTAGATGTCTATTCAAGGTTAAAAAATTGAAGATTACACAATTTTCTTGTGACAACGAGGCTTTTGACCCCCTTAACAGACCATAATTCAATTTTAAGCATTTTTGCGCAAGAAATATGCTTAATCGATATTAAAATTGTAATTTATTTCTATTTAAACTGTTTTCTCATTGATTAACTTCATATACGCAAAAACAAGATTTCAAACGCGAAAAAGAGGCTGATTGCCCCCAAAATCCCCGTATAACATCGATTTTCGAAATCAACACCATCGAATTGATCAAAAGCGCTTTTTCCCACAAATTTCGCTCTCGTATAAAGGTCCCACAAAATGTATAAAGATATTAAGAATGAGCAGATCATGGTTGATGGTTATCAAATCGCACTTGCATCCTTGTACTAGGGGATCTCCACGCTGATTTGTTATTTGAAAAAGGAACTAGAAAAGACATGATTCAAGGGAAACGTCTGTTAAACAACTTAAATTTGCTTAATTTCAAAAATGTCATGAAAAAGCCTACAAAGATAACTGAAACTTCAAAGACAATCACTGTTAACTGAAACAACTGTTAAAGAAATGCAAGGAAAGAAGAGAAATGCAAAGATTGGTCTTGTAAGAGGTGAAAATGACCAAATCCAGAACTTGGACAAAGAGAAAGCTGATCATTTAAACATTTTCTTTGCAACAGCAGGAAAGAATCTTGCCTCTGATATGCCATAATGATGAGCTTGGGTCGGATCAATTCCTGACTATTCCCAGCAAGAAAGGATTGAAGATTTCTGTTCCGACCCAAGCCCATCAGTGAACAGAAAATAAAAGAAATAATAGACAGGAAAGTAAAATTTAATGAACCTGGTGGCCGTGATAGCATATCCTCAAAAGATTTAAAATTTTTTGGAGATTTTGCAACTGAAGGATTAAGATTTGAAACTATTTGGAGATTTTGCAACTTAAGGATTATTTGAAGTCATGAAAATATGCAAAGAACAATCAAAGTTCCCACCTGTATGGAAAGTTAGTAAAGTTAAGACCATTTTCAAAATTAGAGAAACTTTAGAAAGGGGAAATATAGACCTATCTCTCTCTTAGGAATTCCAAGCAAAGTTTTAGAAGCCTATCATTTGTGAGTAGTTTGATAAACACTACATCGGATCTGCAATAGCAATTCCAAACCAGCAGGCATATAAACAAGGTTGTTGGTCCACAGAACTTCTGTTATTAGATCTCACAGAAACTTGGAAACATGCTCTTGACTCGGGAAAAATTATTAGGGTTTTATTCAATGACTTTAAAAAACAGATCGGCATAGCCGGTGGTCTTTATAACATCTTTGAAACTGAAACAAATCGGCATAGCCGGTGGTCTTCACAACATCTTTGAAACTGAAACAAATCGGCATAGCCGGTGGTCTTCACAACATCTTTGAAACTGAAACAAATCGGCATAGCCGGTGGTCTTCACAACATCTTTGAAACTGAAACAAATCGGCATAGCCGGTGGTCTTTACAACATCTTTGGTCTTTACAACATCTTTGGAACTGAAACAAATCGGCATAGCCGGTGGTCTTCACAACATCTTTGAAACTGAAATTAATCGGCATAGCCGGCGGTCTTTATAACATCTTTGAAACTCAAACAAATCGGCATAGCCGGTGGTCTTTACAACATCTTTGAAACTGAAACAAATCGGCATAGCCGGTGGTCTTTATAACATCTTTGAAACTGAAACAAATCGGCATAGCCGGTGGTCTTACAACATCTTTGAAACTGAAACAAATCGGCATACCGGCGGTCTTTATAACATCTTTGAAACTGAAACAAATCGGCATAGCCGGTGGTCTTCACAACATCTTTGAAACTGAAACAAATCGGCATAGCCGGCGGTCTTTACAACATCTTTGAAACTGAAAAAAATCGGCATAGCCGGTGGTCTTTACAACATCTTTGAAACTGAAACAAATCGGCATAGCCGGTGGTCTTTACAACATCTTTGAAACTGAAACAAATCGGCATAGCCGGTGGTCTTTACAACATCTTTGAAACTGAAACAAATCGGCATAGCCGGTGGTCTTCACAACATCTTTGAAACTGAAACAAATCGGCATAGCCGGTGGTCTTTACAACATCTTTGAAACTGAAACAAATCGGCATAGCCGGTGGTCTTCACAACATCTTTGAAACTGAAACAAATCGGCATAGCCGGTGGTCTTCACAACATCTTTGAAACTGAAACAAATCGGCATAGCCGGTGGTCTTCACAACATCTTTGAAACCGAAACAAATCGGCATAGCCGGTGGTCTTTACAACATCTTTGAAACTATCTAGAACAGAGGAAAAAATTTGCAGTTGTAGGAGATCAAAGATCAGACATGGCAGAAGTAAAATTTGGTGTACCCCAGGGGTCCTTGCTTGATCCAAGGCTTTTTGCTGTCCAAGTAAACGACCTACCTAAAGTTCCTTCAAAAGGGATGCTAAACATGTATGCAGAGGACACTGAATATTTTTACATTGGGTTATCGATGGCCACTTGAATTTTGGTTCGCTAAATTTTTTTGCCGCGGTGCAGCCATTCTGTTTCAGCCTATGCAATACTTTTGCTCACTAAATATATGT